ATCATCTTTTAAAACTGCTTTGATCAGCACTTAATATCAACAACAAAAGATAAAGGAGATAAAGGAATGTGGATATCTCTTGCAATAACTGCAAATGAGTGGCTGCTTTGAGATGATGTGTAAAGAGGCAATTAAAAAATAAATTAATAATAAAAGAAAGCATTCAACACCAGTTTTCTATTTCTATTAGGAATGAGTGGGTCTTATTGTGCAGATCATTCAGAGAACGTATGCACGTGTGAGGCCTCTTACGATTGAATGGATACATTTGGCTCAGGAGCAAAAGGAGTTTAAGTTTTTATGGTTTTGGTCTCTTCCATGACAGAGAATGTGATTTTCTTCTGAACCAGACAGCCTGTTGACGCTGGATCACTCGGCTGCTTTTGGCCACAACGCGGTGACAAGCCTCCGTGACTCAGACGGCCTCTGACCCCTGCCACATCAAATGAACTCTCCGAGACCATCGGCCTGGAGAGGACCTCACCCACACGCACACATGCACTCATGCACACGCACTCTTTTTGACCCAGAGAACCGAGGTCGACACTGAACATGTGATCAAATCTGGATTATTCAGAAATCGAACAAGAGGTGGTAATATTGTCATTGTTTTTATTTAAAGGGGAGCTGCTATTAGATAAAATACTTTGTTACCAGGGCAACTGAATCAACCAAAAAAGAGATCCATTAGATTAGTGGACCCTATTGTAAAATATTAACTAACACTAACTTAGTCACAGAGAATCGAAGAACTCCAGAAAAAGATTTTCAGGCTTTTATCTTCTTAATGAACATATATTAATTGATATCAATATTCAGTCAGTCAACCCGTGATAACAATAGCTGCTAAATTCATGCGATTAATTCATCAGCAAGTTGCTGACTTTGCACATTTTCCATGTCAGAGAGTTTGGTGATAATTATCTTGGTTTGTCCACAAGTGATGCCTTTCCCATTGAACATTAGATTAATTGTTAAAATGCAAATATGAGGATGTGCTTCATTTTTTATTGTGTTATAAATCCCAGTGGGCCAAATACTCAGCTTCATATCTCAGATCAAACCCTACATTTTCAATCAGTTTTGCCGTGACTATATTTTACTGGAGTCTATAACTTCCAATAAATCTGACAGTCTGTCTACTCGTTGTGCTCAGAGAAGAGGTGAGAAACAACATGACTCAGTCTGACATACATTCTGCCGAGCTGCTGTCAACCTCCATAAATATAACTGCTAATAACATTTGATACACTAGAGGAAAGTCCAAGACACTAGATGGATCCTGAATGTTCTGCTGTTTTCAGATCTACTTCCACCCGTTTGACCCGTGTTAAACCCACGTCGGTACAGCCTGATCAACCATTACATAGACAGCCATGACAATTGGTACAGACTCATGGTCCCCAGGGGATAATCCTATCCCGATTTTGGAGATAGCCTGACTTTTCCTCAAGATCCCCAATGAGGACATTTGCGGCTTTACATGTTGCAACGTACCAAGATCAATGTTGAAACAGTTGAGAATATACAAAGACATCTTGACTGACCGAAATGTCAAATGTGTAAAGTATCTTACCAGTTTTGATACTTTAACTGGATGTGACACATAATATTGTGTTTACAGTGACTTTGTGTTTTTGAGATGTCTCTTGAGGTGTCAGAAGACCTTGAAAGACTTTGATCGCAGCAGCAGTGAATGCCTCAGGATGTTTTATGATTATAAAGTGGCAGCTTTTATACCTCCGGAAGTTAAAACACTTGCAAAACATGTTCAGAGAGGAACGATTCCATTTTTCATGGGTTTTAAACATCAAAGGACGGCGCTTTGGAATTCTAACACATCGCAGCAGAGTTTCATGTAGAATTTATGATTCTGTGATAGATTGGCTTTGGATTAACAGTGTTACGGTCTCTAAAATACTTCCCAGTGTCCTTCAATATAGAAACATACACATAAATGTGGACACAAATTTCAGGAATCAATTATTATTTCTATTTTTTCACATGTATGCATACCAACCTTTTAAAACTTACAATGCAGATCACCTTCTGTGAAATTGGTGTGGTGAGGTCTCTGTAGTATTATTAGTAGTAACGTTTTCTAAGAGCGATTTCACAGCACCGCTGCAGTGTGACAATCAGCCTCGTATGGATTTGTGTCACTGCAGCAGATTTGAATTTACAGCAGAGTCCCTATGCTGCTCCTCTCCTCTCGCCTGCTCCTCCTCCCATCGGTGGAGTCAGACCCAAGACGCTAACTAGGTCAATGAGATTCCTCAGAAGAGAGCAGGAGAGACATCCATGGGAAGATGTGAAGCAGAAGTGGGAAGCACACATGAGAAGTGCAGAATCCTCTTGGAAGCCAACACTTTTTCTGCTGGGAGATCCGACATTAAACTAATCACGTCTGCAGCGAGTCTCGCTCAGACGTTGTTGACGCGACTCATCGAGACTGGAGGCATTTCCCTCCGGTGCCTTTGAGGCAACTCTAGGAGATGCCCGATATCACCAGATGACATATCTCTCAAATGACTGCCACTGAGCTGCCAACACCCCTACACATGCTTTGCGGGAAGTCTATTTTAAATATGTTGATTCTGGCTTTTTGCTGTCAAGTCAATGCTGCGGTATGTCAACAAGCACAACACACCGAATTGTCATTTTGCCGCGATGAAAGATGAACTTATCAGAGCGGCGAGAGAGCACCTAATAGATCACCTGACGCTTGTGTTGTGCACGCTGACATTTCATTAGTTCCACTTCATTACACGGAATCAGTGGGCCTTTCTTCAAGTGTCAGAGGGAATGGAAACACCTCTCCGCCGAGCGCTTGTTTGCCTTCCTGCCGACCGAACGAATGCAGCGGCAACAATGTCGCTTGTTGGAACAGCGGAGAGTCTCGTCAACCGGCCCTGCGAGGCTTTCCGACATCAGGTCTGTAAGCGTCGGTCATATCGGAGGCAGACGGGGGCCTACAGCCATCTGATTACAGCCAGTCGCTGCCACTCTGCCTCTTTGTCTCCCTCGCTCTCCCCTCCGATCAGAGTGTGCCGAAAACACGCCAGGCTGTTTTATAACAGGTCTTCTTGTTGGATTAATCCATGCCGGGGTGCCAATCTCTGGGCCGGAGTCACACTGTGGGGCCTCCAGTAGCAGAAAAGGGGCTGAAGTGTCTGAGGTCAGCGGCCCGTTTACGGCCGTGGTGGGAAAGTTCAACAAGTAAAGTAACTGAAGAAGCCTTTTGTAACATTAAGGTGTGTTACCGCTTACTGTTAATGGTCCAACACATTCCTGTCAGTAAAATGTGCTCATCTCTTTATCTCTGTGATGAATTCAAAGATGAATTCAGTCAAATACATCCCTAAACTAAATGTCCGTAAGTACCGTTGTCCTCCACTGCTACCAACCATAAAAAGAACAAAGTCGCTCGCGCCTTGTGCAAACCAATACATGTAGAATGAATGACAATATTTTGGGTGCCGCATCAAAAAAACGCAGCGTCGCGGTGAGGACGTGGGCGGAGGAGACGGGGCATCGTGTGATGTCAAAGAGTGGACTTGTTTTTTTTCTGGGGCAGTCGTCTGGAAATACAATAAAAATCTGCAATCATTCGGAGCCGCCGCCATCTCGGCCTTCTCCCTCACGTGTTTATCTGCATACAAGAGTGCGTGTGTCATCCTGGGGTCCTTTGTGTCGTAACGCTGCTCAGAACAACGGATCTGGAGGATAGAGACAGCCACGAAAATGCAACTGCTGGGGGGGTCGGAGGGGCTTCTCTCATTTCAGCCTTACTGTTCGCTAATCATTTTCTTATACAAGGTCACGGGTGTCAAGCGACTACGAAGGATTCCGGACACTGCACTTGCTGCACCAGCACATCTGGACTAGACATGGATTTTCTGTCTTCGCCCGAGCGCACGCAGCTCAGTCGGCGCGGCTGTTTGGTTGCCTTTACAAAGCGTCAATGTTGCGAACGCAGACAGTTGCGGTCATGTCATCAACAAACAGAAGAGCTATTTAGGGCGTCCTGCGCCGGACGGAGTCGCCATGGGCGCGAGCTGAGAATCTAACCCGCGGCCGAGCGAGACGACACGGCGTCTCCAAGTAGCAGACGAAAAGCCACGTCTCCATGCCGACCCGTCCGGCGTTGGCCTACTTCCTCTTTGCTGCCACACGTCATTCTACCTGCTGATGTCAAAATAGATTAGTCTAAGCAGCTGAAGCCCGGCAGCACTGAGAAAAGCCTCCGCTCAGGTTATTACCTGAAAGTACACCTTACTTCAAGCATTCCCTCCACTGAGGAGCAACAGTGGCGCTAAAGGCTAAATTACACATTGTGAAATAGGGGCACACAGTATCGGTAATAAAGTTCAACATGTCAACGACAACACCAAGTGGCAAAATAATGACGATGATAAAAAGGTGAGGCTCGGGTATATCAGACTTTAAGAGTCTTCAGTGATATTATACCTGTTAAGATCATTCAAAGCTGGATAGCAGCAGTGGTCCCAAAGCACATTCATAATATTGGAAACAGATCCATAGGAATTGATGGTTTTAATGTACAAAATGAACACTTTTTTTAATCTAAGCGTCCATCTAACTGCCTCGCGTGTTCTTGAAACGCAGACAATTTACATTGCGGCAAGGTTTTTTAAAATAACACGCACCATTGCACAGTTGTGTTGATGGGGCTGTCGACAGACGTCGAAGTGATTGATGAAATTATTTAACGAATTCACTGATGCCGATCAGGCTGGTGATCGACATCGATCCCACTGCTTCATCTCTGGGTTAAATGCAGATTCATCCCGGTCAAACCGCATTGTCACCAAAACACCACACAGCTGTCATTTCCCCATCGTTCACTCAACACGGAGCCAAAACACATTCTCAACATTACGGTTGTCCCTGTGTGTATTGTATAAATTGTATAGATCCTGCAGGCGATTAGGATCTCCTAAAGTGAAAATACCACATGTCCGCCATCATCCCCTCACCTCTTTGGTCCTCTCCAGCTCGTTGTGCAGCGCCTGTTTGGAGATCTCCACCTCGATGATCTTCTGTCTGAGCAGCTCGTTCTCGTCCTCAGCTCTGCTGCGTTTGTCCTCCACGCTCTCCAACTCGTTGTGCAAACGCACCGACACGTCTTTGGCCACCTGAGACGACGCAGTCGGACAAACGCGTAAAGTTTAAACAGATGAGATTTGTAAATATTTCATCATCCGAACATGAACGTATGGTTGGACCCACGATTGAAGCGGAACAAAACAAATCAGTAAATCAAACATTGGAAGTTTGAATTATGCATAATAAGCTGCTCAGAGTGGAGCAGCGACTGGGAATATATATATATTTTTTGTCGATCTCCTGATTGTATCAAATGAAACAGGACTGCCAATAAAACCGGTCAATCCGCAAACACAAAGACACACACAGACATACCTTCAAGTCCTGCTCCAGACTCCGCAGCATCTCTCCGTCCACGTGGCCGGTCTGTGCGACCCGGAGGCTCTTCTGCTCGGCCTTTCGCAGGCGGTACTGCAGGATGCGGCAGTTCTTGTTGGAGCGGTCCAGGTCTCGCCGCAGCTCCTGCAGTTGGTAGACCTCCTCCTCCAGGTAGCTGTCTCGCACCTCCTCCATCTCCGCTCGCAGCTCATCCACTTCATCCTGAAAGACACACAAGGTGTGACATTTATAGCACCTTCGTGCTGCAATACTAAAATACAACATTTGTATTATTCTCTTTTTTTGCTGCAAATAGTGCCGACTGCTTATGGTGTTTTCGTGTCATAATTCTGCTTCACACAGCAGGTACTTGAAGTTTCGCGCATGCTACCTTTTATCCGAAAAATGTAAATGTACAACTTAAGAGTAAACCTTTTTAATGCAGCAACAAATTGTTAAAAACTTGGACCAAAGGACAGCAAAGGGCAGTATGAAATATATATATATAGAATTCAATTGAATAGATGGTTTCCAATGTGACTTATATCATTAGATCCTGCTTTTTTATTAGAGTCAGTGGAGCAGATATCTGATATCGGTACCCGCGCACGCTTCATCTGTTTGCTCAGGAGATTTCCTCCGGGATGCATATTCAAAGGCTTTGACTGGCACCTGATATAAAGGCAAATGTTTGCTGAATGGGGAGTTTGGAAGAGGGTGTAGATGAATGAAAACAAAATGTATCCTCATTTTGAAAAGCATGGTTTTCTGAGGAGGACCCTGGAGGACGGCGTCAGTGACCTTGTGTGCGCTCGGCCCAATCGATGGCCTGGTTAAAAACTGAGTGAGAGCAACATCCTGCAGGAGCGAATATATTTAGAGAATAACACACACACAGAGTGTTTATGCGGAGTACCGAGTCATCACCTGTAAATCATCTCTTTAAGGGTGTCGTGTGATGTCTTAGCCAAGCAGCCCTTTATTGATCAATATCTATATATACACTGGGAAATGTCAAACATATTGTGAATAAATAAATTACAATCTCCTCCGACCCAAGATGATGTCTTCATGCAAGCTGTTTTTACTAACCAATAGCCCGTAACCAGATTATTATCACTTTGTTATCAAAGGTGACAAAGACATGCAGGAAGTCCTCACTTTTGAGGAGGTGGACTTGGAAAATAATGACTGAAATGATGAATCACTTGCAGTCAAATAAGCCATTGAGGATTTTAAAAACAATATTTGCTGGTTCTAACTTCTTAAATTCAAAGTCATGACATTTGTCTTATTTTTATATCATAAAAACTTAAGACTTACACTGGTGGATCGATTCCTATAATACATAGTTTGTTTTTGTCGATTGACTACTTGATTAATTGAAACTTATAAGTGTCAAATAAATGTACTAAACTGTCTGCCCCATGAGCAGTATAGCGGTGGCAGGACTCCCAGACATTTGGGGGATGCACGGGAGGAGGGGGAGGTAGAAGAGTCCCAGCTGGCAGACTGACACCAGGGAAGAGGGCGTTTGAACCCAACACACACGGGACATCCGACTGTTATCAAGTCCTGCGGGATGAAGCCATTACAGCCAGAGCCAGTAAAGCTGATTAACTCTCTTGTGTTTGCACCGGGCCAAAGAGAGAGAGAGAGGGAGGGAGGGAGAGAGGGAGGGAGGGAGGGGGGGAGGCACAGACGTGCGTGATCAAGTTGTAAATAATACTCAGACTAAACCATCTAAAAAGACAATAGAACGCTGCAAGATCGTTTGCCGCATTATCGGTTCGCCTCCACTCCCCAATTTATGGGGGTAGCCTACTTAAAGAAGGGGGAGGGGGATCCGGCATGGAGTCTCCAGCAGGACTTTCATGCAGGATGCAGAAATTAAACTATTGCAAACAAAACCCTAATTTACATTCTACTGTGCATCTCGGTGCACAATTTGACATGTTGTTGTGTTACTCTCGGTGATGCAAATTAATGGGAGGGGAATGGGGAAGGGGGGGCTGGGGGTATCAGTCTGTGTCACAATGAGTCTTGTGGGACAGCAATATTTTAAAAAATGAAAGTCTGCACAACACATGGGGAAGAATCCACTATCAATAAAACTCCCATCAATAAAAGGTCAAACCCACAGGGAAGCCAGGGAAGAGTAAAAAAAAAAAGACGACATGATGGATGGAGAGTCCATGGAGGGACATCATGGGGGGGACAGCCGGGCTTTAACGGGAATGCGTTGACATTTGAATAATTTATACAATTTGATGCTGCTGCCCGTTAGTGAGCAGGTGGAACGAACAGGTGATGTTGAGGACGGAACCCGGGACCTGTCCTGCAAAGGGACACCCTGTCTCTTGCGAACAGCTGCCTCTGGGACAGAGATTAAACGAGCGTGCAAGAACATTGCTTTCACATTGTATTTGAATGTGTTTATATAAAAACACATTGCAACGAACACAGCCACCCCCCGTCTCTTTGAATAAACGACACTGTACCTTGAGGTAGTCGTTTTCGGATCTCAGATCTTCCACCTCCCGCAGCAGGTCCTCCTCCGTCGCATCTTTGGTGCCCGGCAGTCGGACCGCTGCACCTGGTGAGGGTTTCTCCTTCTTGCGTTTCCCCGGAGCGGGCTGAGCCTGAGACATGCTTCCCTTGGCGGCGGCCGCCTCGGTTGTGCGCAACGGACCAGCAGCAGCAGCAGCGGCAGCAGCGGCGGCGGCCGCTCCGGAGGCTTCTGCCCGCAGAGGATTATCGCCTCCCACCTGATCCCGGTCGCTGGAGCCGGTGCCGGACTCTGCGTCGCTTCCAGCAGCCGGTGCCAGCTTCTGCTCGTCCGACAGGGGCTCGGACTGGCAGTCCGACAGGTCTGAGCTGCTGTCGGTCTGGCTGACCCGGCCGAGGAGCGCTCCGGTCGGCACCCGGATCGGGGATCCGTGGCCGAGAGGCCCCGGGGCCAGTTTCCCCTTCTTGCCTTTGGCGAGGATGGGGCTGCTGGTGCTGTCCGGTTTGGTGCCGGCGGCTTTGGGGTCCGCCGCCGCATGCTGAGGCACCTTGGAGGGCTTCTTCACGACGGACGACTTGGTGTGACTTTTGGTCGTGACGGGCTTCTCTTTAGCACCGGGCGCGTGGCGCCTGGAGCTGCGGTTCGGATGGCCCAAGGGCACCGGGGCGGACTGCTGCTGCTTGCTGAGTTTGGGGGATTTCGGTACGATGCCAGGCGGTTTGGTGGAGCGGCAGTGCACATCCTTGAGGAAAGGTCTGGCCGGGGAAGGCGCCCGGTTCAGTCTCTTCTTCTCCAACTGGTGGTTCTGCGGTTTGGTGTCGCTGCCGGAGCCATCGGCGCTCTCCATCATACACCGACACCGGCGGCAGGAGGGCGGCGAGGGGAACGATCAACCCACGGCACCGCGGAAAACCTCCGACACACGACACCAGAAAGACGGCCGGGTTGCTCTACCTTGCTCCCGGCCGGGGATGCGCATCCTGCGCTGCGCCCGACGCGTTCACTCCATCTCGTATTCATTCACCAGGTTGCCACGGTGTGTCCTCCCCCTCCCCTCCTTCCACGAAGCCCCCCGCTCCCCCGTGGAGGAAAAGCCGCAACAGAAAAATGGGATTACTGGGAACAGGAAGGAAGGACGGGCAGGTTGCTTCTGCAAGACAAGGCTCAAGTTAAAAAGAAGAAGAAGAAAAAAGGAGCCATTCTGAGTCACATCGGTGGTCTTCTTCTTCTTCGGGTCTCCATCCCGGTGGCACCCGGGTTGTGACGGATGAGCCCCCCCACCCCACCCTCCGCCCCTTCCTTGGTCCTCGTGTCTCCTCTCACTCCTTCCACTTTGTCACGAGACTCGGGCTGCAATCACTGCGGTGTGAAAAGCTCGACGCCCGTGATTTTGTGCGAGGGCGCATGCGCTGTTGCGCCACGCGCACACGCACACCCCTGGTTGTCTCTGTGGGACCAGGCGGGACCTGGTCAGACGCGCTGTGGTGCGCATGCACCGATCACACGCACTCTTATTGGCTAATGAACACCTTGGCGTGACGAGTAAAGATCGAATGGGGAGGGGCCAGTACTCACCTCAGCGCTAACTCGGTGACACCTAAACGAAGTTGAATTTCTCAAGAGAAATAACATTCAAACTGAGCAAATGATCATTTCCGGGATCCCCTCAAGCACCCTGGCTGGGCTATAACGAATCCCCATTTAGAAAACAGAATAATCAATCAAGACCATAATATGGTAATAAATATAGATATCTTTAATTGCATTTAATTAGTTCAAGAATGCCACAAGTTATAAATACCACAAATCTGCTTTAAACATGCCAAAACCTTTTTCAATGACTTAAACAGGTTTAATGCAAAGCACAGTCTTTCCTCTGAAAAGACAACGTATTTCAAATAAAAACATTTCTTAAAATGTATATTTATAACACTGAGTAGAACAAGGCTTGGCTATTAAAATAAAGACCAAAGGGTTAGTGCGACAATTGAAGGTTTCACTACACAAAACAATGTCAGAAGAAGTTTGTCATTACAAGACACAAGATAACATTTTGGAAGATAAGTTGTATGGTTGTTTGTTTAAAGGTAATGCTTGATGTCATTGACAAAAGGAACGACAATTTGTTTTGGCAAGGGACAATCCAATTATTCATCATGTGTCAGCTTAAGTCCTCAGACTTTAACATAAAACAGAAACAAAATCATCAAAGTCTGTTTATGTCGTGTTAGATCGAGTCCTCACTACTTAACATGTAAAAACAAAACAGAACAACCAACAGTGGTACAATCTTGCATTAATTTACCAAAACAAGACGGAAGAATTAAATGGATTAATAACGATGAACACAGGAGGGCTTAACATGCAACGCAGTGTTTTTTTTCAAAAATGTACTGGGAAACACCCACACTGGTCTGTAACAAACTGCAAAATCAGATATTTAAATCTGTGGACTTCTTCTTATCCTTCAGAAACACATCGTCCCAGACAGATTTTATATGAAGATGTTTCTCCATCAAGATTTTATGAAATTCAAATCAAGTTTACAATAGAAATCTGTCAAAATGAGCAGATATGAGCCGATCAAAGTTTCCTGAGTCCTTCAAATACCACCACCCCCCCCAAAACAAAGGTAGCCAAAATTTGTGATATTAGTAACAACCCCCCAAAAAAGGCTAAAACCATGCGTGTGCCCACCAGCTACTCACTATTTAAACTTCCTCTATAAGCCAGAAACACACATGGAAATTGTGCCCTTTTTCAAAACACAAATCGCTCAAAGACTACATTACCCATCTCTCCTTGCATCTCCATCCCACTTCAACAGGGAGATCAGAACAGCCACTCCCTTGGCGACATCATTGATCTTCACCACATGTTGTTCTACTTTACGTTTTCTGCATGTCGGCTTCACTTGGTGAGATGGATTGTAGTGCAAAACATAAACATGTATACAAATTGTGAAATGAGCCGTTCCAGCCACTTTAACACTTTAAGGAGAAGGGATACAAAGCAATATGATCCACCACAACACAACCACCTATTGCTGGCTGCAAACATCTGCACCTTGTCCAGTCATAACAGCAACACACCGTATTTACATCATGTGCTTTTGTTTACTTCAAGTCCACTTATCACTTGGAGAAAACGCCCGTCAGTCAGAATATAAAACTTCTGTACCGAGAACCAGAATCTACACTAAACCGAGGAGACATAAGATATTGTTATCGCTTTTTCTGTAAGCTGGATGATGCAGAAATACCAGACCACCGGGGCAACTCGGACAATGGCGAACTAAGTGTACAGTATATGTGATGAGTATTCACCAGGAAGCTGTAAGAACCTCATAAATCAGCCATCCCGTACAATTTGCAACTGCTACCTCTGTCTACCTCGAAGGCACCTGCGGGGCATATTCAGCCTGACGGTCCGAGGAATGAGGTAGTCGGGCTCAAGGGTGGTGGACAAAAGGGGTGGTAGGATGAGGGTTAGTGTGGTTGTTGTCATGGTGAACAGTTAGGAAACAGGAGAAGAACAAGGGAGGATAATACTGCTTGTTGAGAGTCCATGCATCCTACATCAACAATTAGTGACACCAAACGGCTGCTTTTTGCTTCCCCCTGGTGGCCTGGCTGGTACTCTGCATATCTGTGTGTGTCTGTGTGTGTGTGTGTGTGTGTGTCAGTGTGACAGGGAGAGATGGGGGAGCACTCTGACCCTCAGCAACAGCGCATGCGGGGAGGTGACAACTCCGGAGGCACTTCCGGTTCGGGCTGCAGAGACAGGACGCTGTTGGAAAGCTCACTGTTGGGAACCTCCAGAGGCATCTGTTGCACCAGGAAGAGAGAAGAAGTCATGGTGAACGCATCAACAGGGACTTCTTGAGCTCAGTGAATGAGAAACTTCAATGTTTAGGAAAGAGACGGATAGCTGATTAACTAAAACTTAAGCTCTGAAATACAGAACGAAATAGTGTCTTGATAATTTCCTGGGAATTACTGTTGTGCTCTGTTATAAAATCATTCACAACTAAATAACATTAAATATGAACAGAGATAGACTCAAATGTTACAACATTTACAGATTGTTGCTCATTATCTGACCCAACACACCAACCTTGCTAAGGATGTCATCCACAAGCTTCAGGAAGATCTCGTCCACGTTGAAATTATCCTTGGCACTCGCTTCGCAGAAGCGCATTCCACTTATTCGAGAGCAAAACTACAACACAAACACAGAATTAATTTAGATTTAACAAACTTAGCCGATTTAAAGGGGATTTTGTGATAAGCTCACTGCGATGTTACACATGATATCAGTTTCTGGAGAGGGGCATGAAAACGCAGAAGTCCTGGTTCTGTAATTTGATGGTGAGCCAGAGCGTTGCGTGTTGAACCCACCCTCTCTCCCTGCTGCCTGGAGATGATACGATCAGTCTCACAGTCCAGCTTGTTGCCGACCAGGAGAAGCTCTGCTTCCTCTGAGGCGTACTGACATGAGACAGAAAGCCCAGAGAAGACACTTCAGATTACTGCAGCGGTAGATGTTCAGCATACGGTCAACATAAGAACTGGTGCTGCAGTTTCTACAGTACGGCAGCTAGAGTGAAACTTCACAACAATTTCACCCTTGAGGTTGTTTTCTTTCAACTAAACATTTTATGCTGTGGGATTTGGTACTGACTTGGAAAATCATCAGAAAGGCTCATTGCAGATCTATCTTTGAGGTGACTATGTCAGCCAACAAATAAGAAATATAGGAATGTAAAAGATGTTTTGAGTGTGTCCATTTTATACTTGTATACATTTTATTTTAATTTATCAATGGTAAGAAAATGTCCCGGTACATTTCATTGTCACAAACTCTGAAAAGTAGTAGTAGAAAAGTAATGGCAACAATACCAAAAATATTTTACGGAATATGTTGCACTCAAACATAAACATCGGCTTAAAATGTAAACCTCCAGTGCTAGATGTATGAGATAATCCAATTGTTTTAACACTACAGAAGAGAAAATTGTGTGAAATAAAGGCGAAGGAACACTCAAAAAGACAACGCGGTAAAGAAAGAGTTTATAGAATTCTGCCGTTTGTTTACCTTGTCAATCATTTTCATCCATTTGGGCAGGTCTTCAAAGGTCTCCTGCTTTGTGATGTCATACACCAGCACTATTCCCTTGGCGCCTCGGTAGTAGGCTGATGTGATGCTGTTGAACCTCTCCTGACCAGCGGTGTCCCTGGGTGACATGAACGAAGGGCAACATCATCTCAAGTCAGCAAGGCTTCTCTCCGACTACCGATCAGGTGATTGACTGATTCGAACAAAAGGTATTTTTCACCCATTAAAGATGACAATTAAATATAATTCTTCTTTTTTCTTTACTAAACTTAAGCCAAGATTGAAAAACAAACAAACGAGGAGAATCAATTATGGGACGAGCCATTAGTCAATAATGCTAAAAGAATTTACAAATGTTGTAAATTAGTAATCTTTCCATCATTCATTTCTTAACAGTAAGCATAATAATTAAACCAATTCAAACATGGGATTTGGGAAAGCAACCTTCCATTTTAACGACCTACAGGATCAAAAATATTTTCAATTCCATTTGGGAGCGCACTCTTTAAGTCGACGCCATGATTCAGTCGATCATCTGGTTCTGGGTTAATTTTAGCAGCACGACAAGCGGATTGAGCTGCACTCACAGCGCGGTGTTACTGTACCTTCGGCCCGCCAGCCTCTCCCTGTTCCCTTTGTGAGTCACCGTCAGGCTCATGAGCAGAAGAGAGCGGCGAGAGAGACAGCAGCACAACGGCGGGGTTAAATCGGGCCGGGTGTGCGGCAAAGATGGAGCTTGACGTGAGCAGTTCAACGTGAGACACAAAACACATGGACAGAGGGCATCTGGGACGGGACGTGTCGCGGTGGTGGGACGGGGAGGAGGGTGAGGGGGGCAGAGGAGCGGGGATAAGGCGGGCTGTGGTAAAGGGTGGCGATGTGGAGCTGGAGAGGGTGGACGGGTGTGGGTGAACACGAATGATGCGTTAGTAAAATAAGCGACAGAGTGCTTATTGCTTTAGCCCAACACCGTCGCACACAATCAATGCAGACACACAACCAGTGAAGTATCTCCTATGAAATATCAATTCTGCAGTTCAGATTAGAGTGTTGACCTGCATCGGGAGGGAGCGATGTCACATGCGGTTCACGCACACTGACCAGCAAGTACAATCTGACTTCCACTCGCACCTCCAACGACATGGTTGAAAGGTGTGACCAAGTCACATGAGCTAATATTAATGTTTTCCCCCCTCTGCCTCATAACTACGAAAGAATGACGCAAATTAGGAAAATATACTAAATGTAACAACAGCAGTACATCATGTAACCAAGAATAAGTAACTGCCAACTTAAGACAAGAACAAGGTGCGTGAGATCATGTGCTGCTGGACATTACTTTTCAAGTTATATCTCCACTGGACCAAACGCTTTTTAATTTTAGACTTTGGACAGAAAATGCTACATTGCATGTTAATCGTTGACAAACATGCAGTAATGATTTTTAGGACACCTTATTTGCACAGGCATCGCCTGCTTCACAAAGCTGAACGGCAGTTTTTTTTTTTGTTGGAGCAGTAGTCCTGCTTTGTCACAGGACGGACACAGGAAACGCCCCGTGCAGAGGAGCAAAGGGGCCCGGAGACATCTGTCCAATTACTCACCATATCTGTAGTCTGATCTTCTTCCCTCTCAGCTCCACCGTCTTGATTTTGAAGTCAACTCCTGCGGAGGGGGAAATCAGACACACACACATCTGGACACACATAGCATTTCCTGTGCCGTTCGACAACCCTCAATGCAAATGACATGTCATTTTGGATGAAGACAATATTAGTGACACACTGTGGCACTGGAGTGACCAGGCACAAAATGGAGCTCTACCACAGCAGCTGTTTGTGAGTGACTATTCTGGGATTGGATTGACTGTTGTTTGGGTCACGGGACTCTTTGCCCAACTATACTGTATATATATGAGGCTGGCAGCCTAAAACTATGGCACAGCAGTTCGGTACAAGGTTATCTTGCTTCAACAAAAACAAAATACAGCAAAAGTTAAAGATAAAGTGACGATATAAGTTTATGTAGAAATGTGGGACATTAATGTGACAGCTCATAATATTATGATTAAGTCAACTAATTAATTACTGGAAAGCTACAGATGCTATAAATTACTTTAATTCCTGCTCCACATACCCTATAAAAATATATATAACAATAACCCATTAAACTGTCCCAAGTCTTAAACCTGAGTTTATCTCACGTTACTTGCTTCATTGCAGCCTAAAAGCCGAGACACATCTGACAGCTGCGTCGGTGTTGTTGTTTCTGTTAGCTTAAGTTAGCAAGCTTCAGCCATTATAGTGAGTTCCGCTGCGTCCCGTTAAACAGTATGATAATATGAAAACAACGTCTAGTTCATGGTGGTTTAATAATAGTCCCTCCAGTAAGTAGACAGAGCCCCGCTGAACGCTGTCAATAAAAAGTTGACGTAAACGCCCGCTGTCCTCACCTACGGTCGACTTGCAAGCTTCGCAGAAAGTGTCGTCGGTGAATCTCTCCATGATGCTGGTTTTACCGACCCCACGGGAGCCAATGATGATAATTTGAAGTTTAAAATCAGCGGGTCTAGGCGGCATCTTCCTGCGGCGCGACTGCGCCCCCAGAGCCGGGGACGAATTCGAGGAGTCCCCGCCGCCACCGGCGGCCCTCCGCGGTATGTCATACCTCGAATCCATCAGTAATTCCGCATTTGTGATAACTAACAAAAATCAGAAAAACGCGGATAAACTGCTGTACGAACGAAATACTTCGCTACTTCCAACTTTCCGTCGTCCCAGTACAAGTTTGGCAAAGTTTGTCTCGCGCCGACAGTTGTTGTTTCCCAGCCATTAGCGACACTAGCCACCGTGACGTCATCCACCAAATCAAAACAGACTTCCGTTTCCGTCGCCTCTCGGTAGTTTTCTCATTTTATTTCAGTAAAATGTTGTCCTAGAGCACAGATCTGTGGTTTGCACTGATTTTTTCGAACCAATGATTTCCAAGGAGCCACGAGCCACTAAACCAAAACTGTGTCTGCTCCAAAAATATGGCACATTCCAATATGTCCACAGTGGTCAGATTAATAAATGTTGTCTGGTATCTTCAAAAAAAGAAACATGTACAAATATAAAGTCCTACCTGTTACGACCATAGTATGCTATAGAAAGTATGTGTTAGTCTACATACGTAACTGTATACAATACACTAGTATTCTAGTTAGTAAACAGGAAATAGATGAAAATGTGACTAAGGAATGTCAAAAACCCTTCACTTACATCCCCTTCAAGTGTTTCAGGGTTTAATGCATAGTCCACTTTTTAGTCTGCTGTACATTAACTATTTTGCATACATTTGATCAACCTTCAATAGGTAGTTTCAACAAACAACTTTGGGTATATTCCTGCACTGATATACACTTATATGCATACATATATAGTGAATATGTATGAATTTATGTGCAATTGTGTATGTACACTGTATCACAACTGTTATCAGGACATGTGTAATAATTATTCAGATAAATATGCAGCGTTTGCTGTTGTACGTCATTTAACACAGATTCTCATTAGCTGTTCATCTTATACTGTTTAAACATTATAAACTGTAAACGTACTTAGAGAACAGCCAGCGATACATGTCTTTAGCTGAGCTGTAAATACTAACAATATAGTATATGTTACTCTATACCCTGTATATTTATTATGCTAATAATATATAGTATATTACATTATATTCTGTATACATATTATGTACGTACTGAGAGAGTCCCTGAAGCCCATGTACGAGGGACTGGCACAGCGCTACAGCGCTGCAGGCATAGAAAAGGCACAATAACAGTGGGTAGACAGGTAAATAATATCAATATTTTTGACCATCATTGGTGACACAAACAGCTCATAGTCACAACTTAGATTACTTTTCATTTTTTTCAGTTTCATTAAAGAAAAGCCCTTTGCATTCAATTTTATTTTGATGACCATATCCACTGGAGCACACATGGTGGTCTATATAACTGCTGTCACATTGAAGGCTTTCCTTTTATTTTTTCTTCTTTCAGGGATTGCTGTGTTGCACTCAAGGTGGCAGAGTCGTCTGCAGGAGAACATCTGAAATGGGATTCTTGGAGAACAACAGATTGCCAATGTCACTTCTGGTAACGTCCGAAACACATGTGCTTCAAGATCACATTTTAATGCAAACATTAATATCAAGCTGGACTTGTTTCACTGCATGCGTTCCTCCGTGAGTGTGTGTCGGAGCATCAAGCCCTGTACAGTTCCTTTGCTCAGTTCCTCTGGACTGGGACAAGCACAACAGCAAGACAGATCACACCCAGGCCCCGAATCCACCTCCTCAAAGTGATCCACTCACGACCCAGGCGGAGGTTCCTCTGTCATCCTCACTGGCACCATCAAGGTTGTTCCAGTTTTCTCCATACATTTGTGTCACTTTTCCATTTTTTTACAAGATGTGAAAATATATTTAGGGTGTTATTGAATAAACATTCACATACAAATACCAGTCTTTCATGAGCTTTTAATGAACGTTTATATTTATTATACAAGTATTTGATTCTATAGGTCAGAATGACTTATTATACTCCGTCTTTTGTTCCTGTAGAAACTCCACGTCCGCCGTCGCTGGCAGTTATCGACCAGCTGCTCAACAAACACTGTGAGCAGAAAGACATGCTGAAGGTTGTGGACTAGGACTATGCTGCTCTAGTTCACAACTCCTGTACAGACCCCAACAGCATGCTCCACCCAACAACAAAACTACATATTGTACAATATGTAAAGCACCTCAGCAAATTGTTGAACACCAGTTCCTCTTTAAACGTCAGTCCAGAAAAACTGCAAGAGAGGCAGAAACTCTGTCACTCTCTGACAGAGTCGAGTGAGACCACTAGTGTGCCAGTTGTTGCAATGTCGGTTGCAATTGTTCACCCACCTCCACCTGTTCAGATGCTGACACAAGCTTCTATTGGGAAGATTGTACTCAACATCATGGAAAAGCAGCAGCAACATAAACAGGAACAACAACAACAACCGGGGGAAAAGAAGGGACTCACCAAAGACAAAGTTCTTTCAGCTAGAACTGGATGCCACACAGAAAAGTTCCATCTAGCATTTTAAATCCAATTATTTGTAATATTCATGTTGTAATTAGTTCATATATTGGTTTCTTGCATTTGTGACTTTGTACATTAAAATATTATCTTTTTATTTATTCTTTATATTTGGTTTTATGGTTTAATATTCATTATTTTAATTATTGTCTTTATTTCTGTAACATTTTTGTTTGTATAGGACTAAACAAATCGGTTGATCTATCTGTGTTCAACATTTACTGTCCAAGTTAATATATTTCAATTACTAATGTCTACATGTGTCATCAATAAGTGCATCACTGTAGTGCACAGTAAAATAAGTTGGTCTGTAAGTACAATCTAGTGATAACCAGTAGACAGCAGATTGGGGTAAACATTTCCTTTATTTGTTATTTGAGATGGATGAGGTAGGATGGAGTGGGAGGTGAAGGAAGGTGTTCTTACAGGTGTCCGGTCTCAGGCACGTTGATGTTGACGTCCTGGATGGTCTCCTTTTTCTTCTCTTCTCTCTCCTATTTCTTTGTCTCCTTGTCCTGCATCTTGCAGCTCATTTTGTCCATCTCCGTCTGCCGGTCTTGCATCCGTCTCCCAAAAATGCCTCTTTTTTTAAGTCAAGGCAGATGTTTTCAAGGACTGTTTTGTCGTCCTCTAATTCTTGGATCCTGGTGATAAGGATCTGATGTTCTTTGGGGATGGTATCCTCCGTTTGTTGGATCTTAGAGATCAGGCACAACTCAGTGAAACCACTGCATGTGACCATCTCGTTATGCTTGCCTTTTCTGGAAAGCCGACCAATTTTAAAATAAAAACAAAAATATATAAAAATACAATATTTACCAAAGTGTACATGAAATAAAAATAAGGCAGAAATGAAGTAAGGGAAATGTGCAAAACAGAGCAGGTTGTAAAAAAATGAAATGAAATGTGTGCAATATAAATCAATAAAACAGTACAGTACAAGTGAAATCCTAACAAGCAAGTTAGGTTTTAAAGCAGCCAGAGAATCCCTCTGTTTTTTTTTGTTTAGTCTTTTAGATCTTTTTTATCTAGACCTTTTTTTTCTGATTTTTTTTCCAAGGTAGATGGATGAGGTAGGATGGAGTGGGAGGTGAAGGAATTTGTTCTTACAGGTGTCTAGTCTCAGGCTCGTTGATGTTGACGTCCTGGATGGTCTCCTTTTTCTTCTCTTCTCTCTCCTATTTCTTTGTCTCCCTGTCCTGCATCTTGTGCCTGAATTTGTCTATCTCCGTCTGCCGGTCTTTTTTTTTTTTTTTAAGATCGGACGTACCGGAGGGGGGCGTGGGTGTTGGGGCGTGCCGGGGGATACAATGGTAGGGAAAACACAGTATATGATATTAAGTTATATAATATTAGAAAATACTAAGTATGATTACATGTTTGTTATATTACTCCTACATAATGCTATATGATATTAGTCCTATATTATCTTGTTATTATCTATGATATGACAAATACGAAGTATCATAATATGTTAAATATATTGGCATGGCATCACTGTAATATTGGCATGGCATCATTGAAACTATAGAGGGGGACATGTGTGTCTACCTTGCCTAATGCGTAGCTTGAAAAATCAAACCGAGATCCCAATTTCCAACGACGGACGAATGAAACTATCGGTCTACCGTCACAAGTTGTCACTGTTGATTCGTCAACCCAGCCATGTATTTGTTTAAATGTTAATACTTCTCATCCAAACACAATAACGGATAGCGCCATTGTTGATTAGGAATTGAGCTGTCCTAAACCATGGAAGTATTGATAACATTCAAACTTGAAGTTGGTATTCCGTTGTAAATTACCTAAATTATGTATTAAATTCTAGGTGCCAACTTTGTCTTGGAACTGTGGCCGAACCATGCCACATAATACAGATAGAATTCCATAATGGTTTTTGTTTCATATATTATACATAGATTGCGTTGCGTTACTTCTTCTTTTTGGTGCTCGGCGGCACCCGTAGCCTGCGACTTTGGATGACGTAGCGGCCGAGAGCAGCATCCTGATAATCCAGACGTCGACGAAACAACGTCCATTGCTGTTATTGATAACAAGTCACATCCCATCGAGTTAACCAACAGTATGGCTGCTCAGAAGATAAACGAAGCTCACGAGCACATAGCCAAGGCTGAAAAATGGTGAGTTACGATGAATAATGTAATTTGTTTCCGGTTTGTCTTTCTGTTGATGTTAGCTAGCTGTAACGTCAAAGGCCACCGCGGTACGTATGCGACATAAATGGACGCTTTCTGCATCGTCGGCCCATTATAGCTCTCCTATAACTCTTCTATTATTGATCCTCAATCCTGTCTTTGTAGCTTAAAAACAGGTCTGACGAAGTGGAAGCCGGACTTTGACAGCGCTGCGTCAGAATACGCCAAAGCAGGTGACTTCAGATCCATGTCATTCCTTAATATGAATTTACCATCCAACAAATTCCCTGAATATTCATCGCAAACGACCTGTCTCCCTCTTATTTTAGCCGTGTGCTTCAAGAACGCGAAGCAGTACGACCAAGCAAAGGACGCCTACCTGAAGGAGGCTGAATATCAGACGGAAAACAAGACGTATCCATTCTGCACTGCGTTCAGTCTTATGACACCATACTGCAGTTTGTTTCTGTTCCCTTTGTTTCCTTAACTCGTCCCGCAGGCTTTTCCATGCTGCAAAGTAAGTACCCTGTGTTATCACATTGCTATAAGTCAGCAGTAAGCATGAAAAACGCTCCATGTATTCTAAGTGTCTTTCTTCACGCAGGGCTATCGAACAGGCCGGTATGATGATGAAGGTGAGTGCAGTTTAAAACCTTGGATTCAATAACAGGTGGGTGGATGTAAAGCGTCTTGCAGCAGAATCACAATTCGGCTGCGTCTGTATTGCAACAGGAGCAAAAGAAGATGCCGGAGGCGATCCAGTACATAGAGAAAGCCTGTATGATGTACATGGAGAACGGGACTCCGGACACTGCTGCCATGGCTCTGGACCGGGCTGGAAAGTAAAAATATCCCCTTATTTCTAGAAGTTGACTCGTCGCTCTGACCTCGTCCTCGTCCGTTAACTTTGGGTGTTATTATTGTCTGTCACTGTACCTTTTTACTTGTAATGAAATTCCATCCATCCAGGGGAAAAAATATTCTTCTAATTTTTTTTAAAAATTCATCAGACTGATAGAGCCTATAAACCTAGAGAAAGCTGTGGACCTGTATCAGAAGGCGGCTGGCGTTTTTGAGGTGAAATTGAGTCTCCAACAAAATCAGGATTAACTGTCTAATAGATAGCGACTCATTTTTTTCACTTATCAAAATCCATGTTTTCTTTCTGTAGAATGAGGACCGCCTGCGTCAGGCAGTTGAACTGCTTGGAAAAGCCTCCAGACTTCTGGTCAGGCTAAGAAGGTGCGGCAATGAAAAATATGTATAAATAAGTATGGTGAAGGGCACAAACCTGTTTCTGATGATGTTTTTGTTTTTTTCATAAAACACAGCAAATACTGATGTAAATAACTTTTAAGCATGTTGAAAGATAATTGCGAAACCTTAATTTGGATCACTCACTCCCTTGTCATCATTGCTCACTGCGCGGCCTCTTTTCACCAGGTTGGATGAAGCATCAGTTGCCCTGCAGAAAGAGAAGAACATGTACAAAGAAATTGAGAACTTCCCCATGTGCTTCAAGGTTCGATTGTTGTTTTTATGTCTTCAAATTATTAATGCACCTTAATCAAACGTAGAAAATTACCACAGCCGGCTAGAATTTAATTTTTACTATTCCTCTCAGACCATCAATATACCACAGCAGTTTAAACATAACACTGTTGTTCAGTATAAACTCAACATATTTGATGGAATATGTTACAAAATGCGACAGTATTATGAGTTTGTAGATGCTTAGAGATTTTAGTGGCCGTAGCTGTTAGTAGGATACATTTATTGTTGGTTTGGTATCATAAAGGGAATTATTAATGATAGTGAAGTAGAGTAGAGTGAAATATTGAGCAGCAGACTGGAGATCCTACCAGATGTTTAGGGCCTGTTCTATAGGTAATCCTGATCCTCACCCCTTTAGAAATGTTAAAGTAAAGGTCTATGCTTTTCATTCTTTAGAAAACAACAGCTCAAGTACTAATTCATCTTCATAGAGGGGACTACGTAGCAGCTGATAAATGTGTCAGAGAAAGTTACAGGTATGATCTTCTTTTATTCATATTCGTTCGTTTCTTAAATCTGTGGTCGGCTGGAACTTCAAGGAGACAATGTTTCCTTGTGCAACACATTAAAACTCCTCCAGTCGATGGTATTATAAGGGCTCTCCTGAGAGTTTGTTTACCCCGGACATAACCTCAGGTTTGTGTTGTAATGAAAACTGAGGGTCATGACCTGAAGTGCTGCTTGGTGTCATTAGCCTGCCCGGGTACAGTGGAAGCGAAGATTGCATTGCCATGGAGACACTTCTGCAGGGCTACGACGAGCAGGACGAGGACCAGGTCCACCGCGTGTGCAGCTCGCCTTTACTGAAGTACATGGACAATGACGTGAGTGCTGTTTACACATAAATATACTGACTGTGGATAAGTACCTTTTACAACCACACTATAATGGCCACTCAAAAAACTCACATATGTTATGCATGTTGTATGCATGCATGACTGACTGCCTGGTGTCTCACAGTATGCCAAGCTGGCCATTTCCTTGAGAGTACCTGGAGGAGGAGGAAAGAAGAAGAAGGCAGCTGCTGCTCCACAAGGCGGCGCTGATGGTGCACCAGCTGACGAAGAGGACGATTATGAGGGAGGCCTGTGTTAGCCGTCAGCCTCCGAAGGGCCGACTCTACCCATCTGCTGCTCCTCCACCGCACCCTCTGTGTACGAGTTAGAAACCTTGACAAATCCTTTCTGCCCTGAAGCCCAGATGTTTGGCTGTTTAATAGTTATTGTGCAAGGAAAAAAGTTGATTTAACAAAAAAAAAACGACGTTACAGTCTGCAGAGTCGACGACCCTAATTCAAGCAGCTGTTTTAATTTGAGGTGGATAATCTTTGGTGTAATGAAAAATCTTCAACGTTCTATTATGTGTGAAAGCCTGTTGTATGTAAATGTTCAATTATTTCTTGTCTCCGCAAAGCTGTACATTTTGCTCTCATAGTTTGTGAGTCTTCAGATTACTATATTAAAATCATAAATTCAGAAAAGTGTATCTTATGAGTTGATCAGTGTATAGGTGTTTATTTGTACAGTTAAATTATTCAGTATTCCTGGCTGCAACCCGTTGGAAATGTTACTGTAACAATATGCCCACCAGTTTGTCAATGCATGTATGCAATAATGTACGATTTGTGAATATTAAGGCTTAAAAATGATTGATACTTCAGCATTAGGGCTTATTGAAAAAAATATCAATAACAGTACTCTTCCCGATGGCGCAGCTTGTAGCCAATTTGACTGTTTTTGAGGTGTGTGTGCTTCTTACCCTTAAACAAAGATAGTCCATAGCTGTGTGTTTATTTCCTGTTTCCGCCGTACAATCCTCAACTTAAATTGACTTAGACATGAAAATGGAACCATACAGTTAATATAAGAAGCTTGCTATTAAGGACAAAAACAGTTTACATGCCAATTAAAATCATTCATACAATATCACTAAAGTTAATAAAGGGACTGTTTACATTTTTTATTTGTGCCGTTGCCCACTTGTATATTCTTCAAAAGCATATCTCCAAACTTCACATGCATCAATAAACATTTCCATAGTGTGGCATTTCATCGTCTGTGCATTTTTTTAAACAATTCAGCAGACTCCCGGAAGAACATCAGACATGTAATGAATTTGTAGCTTCCCAAGACCGATTTGTCTTCAATGAGACGAGTGCCCTCGCCCTGTTAATGCGCACACACACGCACACACACACACACACACACACACACATATACATGCTGCTTTTGTGATGCCCTCATTATCCGAGAAGCATCTGTGCATTAGCAAGATCCAAACCAGACTAATTTTTACATTAATGCAGCCTTTCGTGAAAATAGAAAGATAAATGTAGCTTTGAGTTGCTTGTACAGTGCTAACAAAAGACTAAATTCGACATAAAAAAACATGGAAAGTCAATGATTTTCAAAAAGTCCAAATGTACAAAAGTCAATGCAATCCATTCCACACTACACATGCCATATTTAGATTAGATTCTTTAAATTTGATGAAAAAAAACCTTTCCAGCGCAAACGTCCCCAGACTGTAAGTATCTCAGTATTTGGAGATGTGTTGATAAAGGTGCCACAGAGAGAACACATTATTTTATTAGATGTATTTATTGCTGGACTTTGGCTGCTGGGAGCCATTGTTCTCCCTGTAGGAAGAAATAGACAACAGCAGTGAGTGTCGGATTGCACCGACCTGATCGTAATATTGTATGTGCGGACCAATTGTTTAAATATATTGTCAAGCTAAATAAAGATCAAAGTTATTATGAGTATTGCAACAACTCACATCTTTCCCTCCATTTAAAATCTTTGTAAATAAATTTGAAAAATGAATTCATTAATTGATTTTTTTTTTTTAATTGTGTTGCTAAAATCATGTAAACGTTTATAGTGCATATATTGTTGATATACATCCACTTACCTGCAGATGGCTTGTCAGGGCTGATTGGAGAGCAATATATCGTCTGACATGAAAACGGTAAAAAAGGGTTGGGGACCACTGATCTAAACAACTGCAGTAGTTGGGTTTAAAATCAAACTCGTGACAGCCATAGTGACAAGTAATGCATGTTAATAAAAATAAATCAGAACACATTCAGAAGACAACGGAATAACTGTTGAACACGTTTGTTTCGCACCAAAGCGGCAGCTGATGAAGAATAAATCGCCATGCTTGCTTGGCTGGGTTTAATTCAACCTGCTTTCGTGCAACAAAGTCAAAGCTAAATTCATCCAGGATAACTTGAATATCCCGGCTTAATCCCTTATTCCAGTTTCGTGCAATAGCCCTCAGGTGAGTCTGGGGTCCCTGTATATTGCTATTCTCACGTAGTGTCTAGAAACACCAGGTTATTGTTTGATGCCTCCGCTGTATTTTGTTTTACCAAAGAAAATTAGACAAGCGTGCATAACCATTTTGTTTCTAGAGGTCAGGCCGAGTTTTGTTATATTCATTTCTGTTGTTTGGCTTCACCAAAGGTCCCTGCCTCCCCCACTTAGAGTACAACGTCATATTAAGAATGGCCTGTTTGATAATAATAAATTGTGTAAAATTGCCACCTGTTTAAATAACATTTTCCAAATGACTGACCTGTGTTCGTCCCCCGACCCCCCCCCCCCACACCACCTAGACAACCCCAAAATGGGACGTAACACTCATCCACAAACAGCAACGCTACATATCAAGATCGAACCGTCTACCGAGTCAGAAACCAATTGACATTTGAGACAGGACAACACGATGGCGCCTGAAGGGCCACTGTGGCATTCCAAACACGATTACACACTTAATAAAGAAGTCAATGGATGCAACGTCATGCAAAGTCATTTGTCACAGAGCTTCATCGTCGGGACATCAAGCAGGACGTTACACTCCTGTTCCTTTTGGCGACCGACCGGCTCAAGATAGAAACTGCAGGGGAAATAAATGCAATTCGGTGGACATTGTGGGAACAGCTGGATGGCCTTGACTTTGCGGATGACATCGATCACCGTTGTCCCACACAGATACAAATGCAGGAGAAGCTTCAGTCAGCCGCACGTGTTCTCCATTAAAATCCGGTTGAAATACTGTTGATGACACACAAACTCTCCAGCTTCTCACTCACAGTCTCAAAAGCAAACAGCATCAGAATGCAAAAACTCAAACCTTTCCAGATGTTTTATTTGCAGATCTTTCACCTTAAACATACTGGTACGATTTCACATTTCATTCCGCCGGTCTCCCCTTAAACTTGTATCTACATGTAATGAAAATTAGTCATGGCAATAATTACGTTTTTTTCTATCATGCTACAATGTCCTCTAATGCATAGTTTGGACTTTGTGTTTCAGCCCTTCATGTGAGGAATCTTTTTTGAGTCTGCTCCTTTCTTCTTTGACGACTGAATGCACACGACGCGCCACAGTGTTCACGAGTATTAGTGTTATAAACAGCAAGAGGTTCACATGTGATGGGCAAGAATCTACCAACTAATGCATGTTACCCTGATTCAAAAACAGCCCTCTGCCGGTCTCGATTCTTGCCAACCTGTAGATGACCTCGAACATGGATTATTGGCAAATAGTCTCTAAGAGAAAAACAGTCAACAATTCAGCCTTAAACTGTACTCTCTGTGCAGTGTACTCATACTCAGTGCCAGTCCTCCTGAGCAATATCCACATTAAAATTCATGCCATTTAAATAGTTCCCATCTTTTTCGACCATGTCATGTTCTTTTAGATCCATCGCAGCGTACATATTGTAACATTTAACTTATACATGGATATCTGTGAAAAGAGCTCTTCCTGAGAAAGATATGCATGTGGTAGATAACAGTTCTCCTCATACAAAACAAAATAAGGCAGTAAAGATGTGAGTAAAGATGGTCTCATGTTTTCTGCGTTGTGTCTCTCGGGAGGACCCCATGTGACCTCTGACCTACAAAAAAAAGGTGGTCTTTATGTTCATGTTTCTTGGTCAAAACCAGCCTTTTCCCTTAGTCCAAATCCTTTAAAAAGTCTTGAGGAATGAGAGCTCAATATTGCACAGTCCCACAGTCCAAGCTTTCCAGTTGGGAGAGGATATGAGATTGTGCTCATGTGGTCATTATTGTGCACTTATTTGTTGATGGGAAGCCCTTAAAGATAAATGTTGCAGCCAGTTTCTCTCTCCGCCTACCACGCGACTGTGAAAATGTTTAAGACGGACATGAAGCGCTACGACTGTTCTGGGCATTTGTGTTTAAAAACATACCTTTATGTTAGGGATAAAACTTTAAATAATTTAACAACATTGTCAATGAAGACTTCTCCGTCTCCAACATGACACCAGCTGCTCGTTTTATCCACTGGACGCCAGGTTCTGTGAGATAAATACAACAGCAAATCTGTCCTCCATTCTTTATAATATGACGGCAATTGTGGCTTTTCATCAATTAATAGTATTAAATACTCAATAAGTCAAGTGCTCGTATCGCTGCCATCGCAGCTCAAGACAACAGGACAGGGTTGGTCCTCAGCTGACTTTCTGCCCTCTCGGCTGACGAAACAGCTGATCGCGCCATCGATCACTTCCTGAATGAGCTCCGACCTCCGTCGGCCTTCGCCTCCTCACTCAGTCTTCTCCCTGGTCCACTTGATCATAGTCTCTGGGGAGCGGTAGAGGAAGATGAGCTTGGCGTACATGTCCTCCTCCAGGTCCAGCTCCCCCGTCTCTCGTACCAGGAAGATGTCCGTGCACAGCTTGAGGATGCGGTCCACGTTGGGCAGCTCCTCGAACATGATGGTGTGGGAGATGCCGCTGAAAAACTCCCGCACAAACTTGCCGATGACCAAAACCACAGACGCGTACAGGCCCATGATCCTAAACAGGAAATGAGAGGATGGGATTTAATCTTTTGTATCACAGACGTGACATAAGGTTATGTATTTTAAAATCACCACACACCCATATCCCGCCAGGAAGCCCAAACTGGGCGGGCTGACTTTGTCGCTAAATACGTAGAGCTCCAGGCCTGTTTCAAACTTGTTGGCAACCCTCTTTTGTATCGGGCCCGGCTCCGTCTGGTTTACAATCCACCATTCCTGGATCTGATCTCCGACTTTCGAAGCTCTCTTCAATGTCAAGGTTATGTCCAACATCTTTTTATCTACAAAGATAAGGAATGCAGTGTTATGTTCCTTCCAAAAAACGTTGTGTATCTGATTTGGGGGATTTTGGGGGATTAACGATGAGATATGCTGGGCACGTTTTACTTATTTTTTCAAGGTCAATTTGCAATTTGCATTGAATTTTTACATTTGATTGACATTTTTCAGATTATTCTCTCAACATTCAGTCCTGCTTAATACTGGAGCCGTTTTGAGACTTCTACTCCAAACTTAGTGGCTTTCACGTACAAACATTAATCAATCACTTTCTATTGCAAAGGCACTTTCAGAGTAGCTGTCAATTATTTAAAAGGGGAAATTTTCACTTTTTTAATGAGGCACTTAAATGACCTTCGCTGTCGTCAAATCAAGTGACGAAAAAGAAAAACAAGTCCAATCTACAAACAGGGATGTTCACCTTTATAAAGATGATCGACCGACTTGGCATCCGAGTCACTGGGGGCTCGAATGAAACGAGGGAAGATCTCTTTAAGGGTCCTGAGGAGGAAGAGAAGCCGTTATTGCACTAGAACACATTTTATTATGTTACAAAAAGAGGAGCCGCTGAAATACTCACACTTGTGAAATATTTTCTGTGCCATTTAGCACCGCTATGAGCGCCTTCTTTGTAGGTGGGTCCAGAGCGGTCACTCGCTTTCCTGACGCTATTTCAGCCTTGGCACCAAAAGTGAGGTTTCTGAGATCATAACAAGAGAAGCACAACGTTCCAGTTATTAATTTAAAGGCCACACACTCACAATACACATAACACAGCACACCGTGCTGCTGCTCTTTGCACTTTGAGCTGGTGTGTTACTGCATTTGACATTTCTGTAATCCCACAAGATAAATACTTCATAATTCATCCACTTTTGTGTCACGTAGTTGAGATACATGAAAGGACTCTTTTTCATTAGGGGGTTGCACCTTTGCACGGACCAGGACACGGTGATGGGGAATTCCTCGTCAGTGCCCAGCATGTCGATCAGGTTGGCTCTGCTGGGGGGACTGATCGTCCACAGGGAGTTGGAGCTGCCTTTAAGCTCTGCAATGATCAGGTCTTCTGGCATGTAGCCCTCCAGCCACTGCAAGGCGTCCTAACCGCAGGAGAAAGATCACAACAGTATTTTTAAAAAGGTGCGTTGTGTAGAATTCTTCGCCAACGACAGACTCCCACTTTGGTTCTAAATGAAATGTATCAACAACTATTGGGTGGATTTACACTCAATTTGGTCCTCAAAGCAACGGCTTTAATAACCGATTTAGAAACAACAACTAACACAAAAGTTTACATTTGTATTTGTATTATAGTTCTTATACTTACGTCAAAGGCTTTATAACTGTTCACAAAAGGAAAATATTCTTTTTTTGTCACATTCTGCAGTTGCTTTTGTTGAGCGCTCATGGTGAAGACGGGCTGTGAGAAGAAAGAAAATAGTTTGGTGGTTTTTAGTGATACACAATCAAACATTAAACCCTGCTGCCGGAATGCACGCACAACCTAGAAAATAACTTTTTTACTTCTAATGCTCTAAGAAGGCCGGATTTCATTCAATTTTAGAAAGATTGTTTCTATTGGCAGCTAAAGCACCAAGCCAGCTTGTTTTGGTTGAAATAGGAGAATCTGTGGTCCCACCTGAAAGCCAGCCAGGGTGATTTCAAACGACACGTCCAGCGGTGGGTTGACGACCCCGGCTACCGACTTGACGAGGGACATGAAGAGCAGGGGGAACCAGACGATACAGATGAGCAGCACCACGATCATCCCTCCCATCCCGTACTTCACCACCTTCTTCTTCTTCTGGCCTCGGGGTTGGGGATACCTCTGCAGAAAGGTGCGATAAAGGACATGTGAGATGATACAAGGCGAAACAGCCTCGCACAGCGGATGCCATGTTAATGGCTGAATGCTTTCTACTCATTCGAGTACATTTCTGCATGAATTCCTTTAATGGCAGACTGTGAAAGCGATTCCCCTTCTCCAAAGATAAACACCTTCTCAGACTCCCTCCAGCATTTCAGAATAAAGATGTGAGCATAGATGTCCTCCACGCATATCCAGCTGGACAGAGACAGCGAGGTGTCAGTCCAAACCCAGTCCATCACGGCCCGTAGCTCTGTCAGGAACGGCACCAGACGGAAACTGCAAACAGACGAATCATAGTTGTTATATACTTTTCCAATTCAGCAGATTGTTAATGTCTAAACCAGTGGTTTACAACCCTGCTGGCATTTGCAAAAAGCAGTTTATTCGAGCACCACCAAATATGTTTTTTCCCTCTAAATGATCACATGGCTTAATGTCAATAGCCGTAAAAAACATCTAAAATCTCAACGGTGTTCAAAGTTAAAAGAAAAAAAGTTATTTTTTTAAATGTATTACTCAATTAAATGTTAGAAATTGTACAGAGCTTGTACAAAATTGTACAAAGTCAACAAATTGGTGATTTTACTGATCTATACAAAAGCAAATTACCAAAATAAATATCTAATAAATAAATAAATAATAATAGGTACTCTCCGTCTCCTTCCATTCTTGTGACAGCAGCTGGCTCTCAACCTCTGATAGGACAACGTCTACCTGTTTGCCCAAGAACTCACCCTTGAAACAGGAAGAGGTTGACATAATTGTGGCTTTTGGTTAGGAAGTTTCCCAAGACGCGGGTGGGATAGCCACAGCGGATCTGATAGGCTGACAGCCCGAAGTAGACGCACTTGACAAAATACCACATCTGAGCGACTGTGTTCTCGCTGAAGCGCCTGCGAGGGGAACACAATCAAAACAGTTTGTAAAATTCAAGTAACCTATAGACAGCATAAGACAGCATTTGTTTTCTACAAAAAACACTATTTCAAAGAAAAGAACTTTCAAATTTCTTTCATCAGTTACATATTCATAACCTGTTTCTCTTTATTTGAATAGTAAAAAGAAAAAGTAAACAGATTTTTAACCAAGGATAATGACCCCCAAAACATTTTTTTTTAAATATTGAAATTTAATCAGGAGACTTAATGATTTGAAATGAATTAAAAACATCATTTTATTTAACATAACTGAGGATTGAGTTCTTACTTTTCTGTGATTCCTGGCAGGATAAAAAACATCCAGAAGTGGATACCAAAGACCAGGATGACCTGGAAGACAACCTTGCCCATGACGGTCTTTCTGAGGTAGAGGGCCCGGTCCACCACCATGGTCCCAAACTGGATCAGGACCATGACCAAGAAAGGTCCCGGGACCTGATCCTCCGACAGGGACGAGGTGATGTCTGCAGCCGAGTGTTTCTAGAAGGGATCAAAATAAATTTCAACTCAGATGGTATTTTCGTTTCTTGATTTGAAGCCGATTCTCAAACTTACACCAAACGCCCAGAATCCAAACACGATGATGATGAAGTCGACTGTGTCAGCGAGGAACATCAGCACGTAGACGTCTGTGACGGCGCTGTAGTCCGGGTGGATCAAGTTATAGAAAAACTGTCTGATGGGAAGGTAGATCTCCATGAACCTGTGATGAAAAGAAACATTCACATCATACAACAGATTCTTTCTTAAGTAGCTTGTAAGAATAATTTGGGAGAACTAGGAGCGCTTCAATTACCAATTTTCAAGTATTTTGAATTTTATCTTCGGTATAAGAATATAAATCCAGTGGTTAAGGATTTTATTGCACATTTAGTCTGATGTTGATTGTCCGTAATTCATCATTAATTCAGACTAAGTTGGCCAAACAGGTTTAAAAGCATAAAGAAATACATGTAAGTTGTCAGACACCACTGTGCCTTATTTTGAGAGAAAAGTGATATTGAGTATTTAGTAAGTTTTCCCATAGTAACCTCTTTCTCTATGTATCAACTACTGGTGCTGACGTAATATCTCAGAAACCACTTTTGATTACATTTAGTTGTATGTAATGTTTGTTTTGATCGTCTGTTGCAGCACTTACCAAAATTACACTGACTGTTCTAACGGGAATGCTGTAATTAAAGGTCTAAATTTAGACCGTTAAAAGGTTTTAGCTGCTGTCTCATTGACATCATTTTCCATTATTCATCCAGAATACTGAGCAAAGTTCTCATTACTGCTGCTCATAAAATTACAAACGCTCTTGTATAATCGCAGTCAGGAGTGTCGGCCATTAAGCGGCCTTTAGTGGAGTGAAAATAACAACAACTTTTGTAAACCAGCTGTGCGTGAGCGTACCGCTTTATGGCGAAAGCTTTTCCTTTGAGGAGCTGCTCCCTCAGCTTCTCCCCGACCATCTGCTTGCGGGTCTTCTGAGGGACGCTGGCCTCGCTGCCGTCCTTGTGGCTGCTGTTGTGGGAAGTTGTGCTGCCTGCGTAAACAATTCACATTCCACGCGGTAAGTGAGCCACTTAAACACAAAAACCTGATCCAACTGTAAAGACTACGGGCCACAAAAAACAAGCTCAGAGGATCCATTCCATGTATGATTGTTAGATACCGTATTTTACGCACTATAAGGCGCACTTAAAAGCCTTTAATTTTCTCAAAAAACGACAGTGCGTCTTATAATCCGGAGTACCTTATATATGGATCAATTGGTTAATTGGTTGATCCGACTGCGAGCTGCGTGGGAGCAGTGGATGACAGAAGGTGAGCACACGTTCACCAAGACGGGGAGACATCTGCCAATGGATCGTGGATATATCAGTCTCAACTGTGATCCGAGCTTTCACGAAGGCAGGAATAATCTCTGATCTGCCAGGCAACAGCAGCGACGCTGACTCGGATAATGACGAGAGGGAGCGGGGCAGGTTGGATGCCGTAGTCGCCCAACTGTTCAATTCGGACACTGAAGAAGAAAAATTCGAGGGATTCGTGGACGGGGAATGAACTGAAAAAAGTGAGCTTTACGTGTTATACGTAACTGAACAATGTTGAGTATGCACTAACGTTTGATTTAGTGGTATCTGACTGTTTCTTTTACTACGTCTTTACTGAATTAGGGAAAAGTCCCCCTCCACGTTTGGGAGAAGAGTGAGCAAGGCTGGGAGATATTGTTAATATGCACATTAACGTTTGAACAACGTTGCCATGGGAGTGAACGGAGTTGTCAGAACGCTTAATAAAGTTTGACTTTATCTGACTGTTTTGTTGACATTCCCTTTAGCACATCTAGTGGATGAATAACGCAAACCCATCAAACGTTTGACTGCAGTATCTGCAGTATCGGTGCGCCCTATATATGAAAAGTGTTCTAAAATTCATCATTGAAGGTGCGCCTCATAGTGCGGAAAATACGGTAGTCGCTGTCATGCCCTGAAACGTGCGTTTCACTGCTATTATTAACTGCTGCACACAGACAACAGACAGAGATCCTCACCTCTCTTGGACCTGGCAGACGAGCGGAGCGATCGGTGAGAGACGCACGAGCCTCCGCTGGAGCTCTTGCGGCGCTGGTAGGTCTGCTGTTGCGGGTGGTGCACCAGCACCTGTCCTGAATCAATGGAGGTGCCAAAGTTTATGGATCTCAAGGTGTGAGTGGAGCCTCGCCGCTCGCTCGTCAGCGAGGTGGCTCGTTCGGACCCCGCCTCGCTCTCCTGGTCCTTCGCCTCGTCCTCCGACTCACTCTGACGGGAGGGCCCCCTCTTGTCTTTGGTGTCGTCCTCGTCCCAAAGGCCGTGGCACTGGAAGGGAAAAGAGGAGGAAAATGTTGGGGATTTGTGAAGGCCGGGTCATATTTTATGTCCAGATTAGTTGAAGGTTTGGTACAATGAAACCTCATCATTAAAAGGTCACATTGCAGTCTAGAGAGTCTCTTTCATTTGTTGGGAAACAAGTGCGACTGCAAGAAACAGGTGGTGAGAAATGTTCTAGCGAGATGTCTGTGCAAGTGTCATCTAGATTTGGGCAAAAGTGGCCTTTTATTTAAGAATATGAGCCAGCACGCTAATCCTCTGTGCAAGGCGGCATCTTAGATAAAAAACAACATTTTGTGCATTTATAAATATATACTATATCTACTGTGCATACGCAGAAATATTAAGATCAAGACATTCATCTGGTTAAGAGCAGTTGTTCTAAAATGTCTGTTAAGTGTCATGAATAAGCAAACGTTGGAGCCCCGAAGTGTACAATCTTATTGTTTGTTAATTCCCTTCAAGGGAAGCCTATACAGAAGTTGTATCTATGGAAAGCACAAAGAGTCTGCTTATGTGTAACAGATGAAGCTGACAATATTTAAGTTCGTCTAACAACACTGTGTTCTGGTAACTACTACTACTGCATATATTTAGATAATCATTATCATTATTATTATTGTGTGTTTGCAGAAACCTTCAGAATGGATCTGTGGAAGAAGAGAGCCAGTAATTGGACCAGGTCGTAGTGGACGTAGCCGTCCTTCTTCTCCACTCCAATGATGTTGGGGGGATGAGTTGGTTTATTCCTATCGATGACGTTCTGGTTGAAGGGGATGAAGCCAAACTGGAAGAAGTACTTGATGACGATGGTGACCTGGAGGATAAACAAAGTGAGCGTCAGTGAAGCCGTCTGGATGTTTTTCCATTTAATATTATATAAATTCAATTCACTCTACCTCCGTGTAGATGATGGCGGTCATCCAGTAGCGCTTGCTGGGCCGGGGAACGGACAGCATGGCCCAGAGGAATATGGTGGTGGGAAGGACCAGGGTGATGCAGGAGGCCGACACCATGTGGTTGATGATGATGACGAGGTAGCACAGCATCTCCGAGTGGGCCACCAGCATGTTGTAGAGGGCGTAGCAGAGCTGGAGGATCAGAGGCTGTTTCTGGTAGAATTTATCCGACTCTTCTAGCTCCTTGTCGTAAAACATCCTAAACAGACGTAAAAGGGATGGAATGATTTGGTGTTTGATTATTCATCTGAACATAAGGGTTTATCTGTGTAATTATTGATTCACAATTCATCAGAATGAATCATAAACCCTCTTCAATGTGTTGATGCCGCATTTACACGTTTACTTTCATGTGGTCGAATGTGATCCGATTGCAAAACACATAATAATGCAGGTTGTGAAAAGCCGCAAAAGGAAAGCAAACGACTATACAGAGATGCAAAATGACTCCAAAGAAACACAAAATGACTATAAAGAGTCAAATCGGTTGATAAGAGATGCAAAACAGTGCATCATCTTCCTATAGAGGAGGGGTGATGGGTCTGTAGCACGTCTGCGCCCAGGGGTCCACTGTCTCATAATTAGTCTCTCCGAAGTGTTTAATCACAGACTGCCTCAGCAGAGACAACTTTAAAGCTTGGCTCATATTACACTTTAGCTGTTATGATGTACTCAGCCAGTGTAACACTGTAAAAGTGTAAAAGGAACGAAATGAATTCGCAGCAAAGGTCTTGATTGTGATTCTTGTGAGGCTTGACGCTGAACAGGTTTGATCCGTTTTTGTGACTCACTTGTTGAGCAGCAGTTCGCTGGCGGTCAGCTCGGTGGTCATGGAGGGCAACATGATGTCTGACCTGCTGTCTGAGCGACTGTCAGAGGTCATCACCATGCGCCTCTTCCTATCCCGGTCACTCTCGTCGTCGCTAATTTCCAGGCGGTCAAAGCTCACGGCCTTGCTGTAACTGGGGGGCACGTCGCCGTCAGACGTTTTAGAAGCGTCCGTGTCAGGGGCGGTCCCCGCTCGCCCCTCCGTCCCCGCGGAGTCCCGTGGCTCTCCTCCGTCCTCACTTTCGGTGGTGAGGTCTTTCTCCTGGGCAGAAGTGGGGGACTCTGCCTCCACCGGTGGGACAGAGGGGCTCTCATCCGGGCACGAGGATTCCCAGTGAGCCTCTTCCCCCGCTTGGTCTTTCGGTACCTGCTCACCCGTCGGCCCCTCGCGGCCCTCGTCCTCCTCCGCTCTCCCTTTGGGTTCGGCGTCACTCCAGCCGCCGCCCTCTGGCCCATCCCTCACATCCAGCTGTTGGGATTCCCAGGGAACCTGCTGCCGCTGTTTGCCTTCCCCTTGATCCTGCTCATCCTCCACTTCGTCTATGGTGTCGGTGGTGCCCTGTCTGGAGTAGAGCGGGACGCACTGGGTCGCTTCACTGCGGAGGAGAGAAGCGGTCGTGTCACTAAACGCGCTCAAATCTATCAATCCATGCTGAAGTGTTTAGTGAACAGTATTTGTACCAAGGATGACATCACCTATCACTCTGTGCATTTTTTAATACCATCTTGTCATTCACAAGCATCTCTGATAGGATACTACGCATTCTGCCTTTTGTGTACCCGTTGTGTCTACAGCTAAACTCCTGCTGTGGTTGCAGCAATTGACGCTTTTTGAAAACATACCTAAGCGATCACATATTTCATAGACTGTTATTAAAGACAATAGAGGGGCTGCATTGTGTTACTGTTCAGTGGAAGCAATATTCAGTCAGCACGAACGGTTACACAGCGAACTGCAGCTCAGCGGCTGGGAGCAAACCCGTCTGACGGATACACACGCGGTCGAGACGAGGCAAGTGTAGTTTGTATTGATTCAATCTAACATTACAGCAGCAGTTGTTGCAGACGCACCAGGAAGAGATGTGCACTCCATGGAGTGCACTTTTCTATTTATTTCGTTGAAGCTGTTGACAATTACAGTTGTAAACAACTTTATCTGCTTACAACTAAACAGTGTTTTTTTTGTCGAAGTACGATGTGTCGCAATGATCACTGAAAGAAGAAAAGGGGTATTTTAATCCTATGTTACAGACGGGGTATTGCTGAATAGAAACAATCCAAGAGCTTTAAAATGGATATCCATATCACCTTTATTGGGTGAATACCTTCTATTTTGAAATGAATAAAAAAACAAAAAGCTTTTTTTTATTTTAATTTTTTGACAGAATGTGAGTTATAAACAAATGCCATGCAACGATTCAGCTGAATCAAAAATTCCCCAAAAAATATCTGGAGAAGCCTTATGACAAAAAAAAAAGTCAGGTGACCTGTGATGACCTTTTTCCCATCCTTGACAATGAGAAGTAGCACATGTGTGTAGATGGATGACGCAGAGACCAGGCACCTGGATATGAAGCTGCTGCAGCTGTCTGACGAATTGGACACGTCCAGGCCGTACATCTTACGCAGTTTGGGCCGGGCTCGCTCGCTGGTTTTGGGGATGCACTCCGGCATTCCATCCAGGTCTTCCAGGGTGGATTGGCGAGAAAACAGCGTGGTTGCGTCGGTGAAGGCACTGAGAGATAATGAGAGTGTTACATGATTAACATAAAATAAAAATGAATATGATTTGTCATATGACCACAACAATCCCGGGATGTGACAAAGGATGAGGACGAATGGCCCAATGGCATGTTATTGGTCAACCTGACAACTGGCAATGGTTGCATTTCTACACATGGGTAAAGCAAGAAAAAGTGTACCTGGAGATGGAGTCTCTGGAGGCCGAGGAGTCCTGGCTCCCTATCGGGTGGGCTCTCCTCCTCCTGCGGACCCCGGTGGAGCCCAAGGTCGACTCGTCCTCGCTCAGCTGATCCAAACTGGCCTGCCTGGACATGTTGAGCCTCATGGCCTTCTGGTAGTAGACGTGGATGCTCTCTCGAGACGGCACGTTACCCTGGTGGGAGAAGAGGCCTTCTTAAACTACGCAAACGTGCACACAGGACCAATTGCGAGTTAAAAACTTACTTTTTTGACTTCTCTGGTCAGCATGCAGCGCTCTATGCGCAGCACAGTGGAGATGTCGATGTACTCCCTGCACATGTCATTCATCCACTTGGTGAAGCTGTCCACCGTTGTCTGGAAGAGCACCCAGGTGAACTTTATGATGTTGAAGACTCGCTTGATGATGTTGTCTGACAACACAAAAATACTCACATTGAGTAAACTTTTCAGAGCATATTAAAAGTAAAGAGTAAATCGGTGTCATATAAATTAGGGAAAACAAAAAGCCATTCAGAAAATAACCTGGTGTTTTTTTTTCCCCCATTTTATAACATGCAACACATGCTTAAATCATTCGATTATTGTCCATTAACCTCCCCAAAGAAAAAGGATAAAAACTAACGCACTATAGATATTAACAAATTTAAATTCAAAATTCAGGTTCTCTAATCCATAGTTAAAGCAGGTTTGGATACAGGAGGAGGAAATTAAGAGCACAAAGTCCATCTGTTCTTTGAGGAGATACCAACCTGGACCACCAGATTTCTTGTTCTCTTCATCTTTTTCCTGCCCATCTGAGAGATCACCAACCTCTACGGTCACATTACCTGCTCAAGTACAGTAAAGACACTTCATGAGGGTCCAAAGAGGGATTTTGGAAGAGAAATTCCTTCACACTCACAAGTAAAAGTAAAATATTTCATGTGAGTATATTTGCTTACCGTGTTTTTTGCTTTTTCGGCGTCTAACTCCTTTAGTGTATTTTTTCCAAAATTTACGTTTCTCCTTCCCTTGGGCCTTGAGGGCCGCTTTGGGGTCTGTGATCCAGGCGTGATAGAGAAACTACAGAGCAGAAAGAAGGAGTTTAGTATCGATGAAAGAATATGAGTCACTGAGGTAAATTATGGTTTTAGAATTTTTTGTATCTTACTCACACATGATGTACATTTCAAATTAATAAACTGAATATTTCTGTTATTATTATTTTTAAATTATAATAAAAAGATATATATATATATATATATATATATATTAAATTATATATTATATACAAAAATATAATATATAATATACATAGAGTCTTAAAAAAAGCCGTAAAAACACATATCTAATGTTACCGGGGATCTACTGTTCTAGTTCTTACACCCTGCATTGAATTTATGTTGAGATACTTTCTGTCAATAAACAAAATTGTGCACAAACACAGAGTCAAGGCCCAAACACTTGCTGCTGACACTGACTCACAGACCATAATGACTCACAAAATGCAAAGGTCACAGCAGCAGACAGGAAACACAAGACCCACCCAAAATAATGTCAGAATAAAGCTCCGGTTCATGCAGCCTACTTCGAGTCAAAGCAACATGCAAAAGCCAAAACATTTCTAATTCAGTTCATGTTTGATCATTTATGCCAAATTAGCATTTGCTTTTGACACAGATCTAGCAAGGCGGCGTGAGGTTGTGATCAGCATTTGGTTATTTCTGCAGGAGCATAACACCAAACATGAACTGGAGAGGCAGTTTCTCGCAGCGTTGTTTGTTACTGTAAGCGATGCTCATACAGCAAGCGATCTGTGTGAATTAGTTCTGGGGGTGAGTACCTTGCCTGCCTTGACTATATACTGCAGGATAGTTTTAGGCAGCTTAATGACAGACTTGGGCAAAGCCAGAAGAGCAGAGACAAACTTCCCAATAGCTCGCTACAAAGAGGCAGAGTGGGGGAGGGTTAGTAGAAAAGGATTTCATATTATTAGAAATAACAGAGGTTAATTGTGTAAGGCAATGCAGGTTATTATACATTGTTACTTCTATCTCCTAAATTAAAATATTCAAAACACTTTTATGTCTTTGATCCTTGAAAAACATTATACAGTTTCAAAGATATATTGAATGAAATTTATGACAGATGCAGTCATTTTCAGATTAATGATTTTACATTTGAAAAAACAGAAGATTATAAAATAAAATTCTCACATGGTTTAATCTAATAACAGTTTGAGGCCCAAGGAGGAAACATCATTATTACATACAATTATCTTAAAAAAAAAAAAAGGATCAAAATGCAGAAAAGAATGAATTAAAAAGTCTCTATCAGAAGTTACTCCTCTTATTTCATTAATAGTTTGCAATGTTGTATTGTAATTGCATTAAATAACTGCGAGAGTGACCGAATTAAAATCTTTTGAAACTAAAGCTGATTAGCCACGAGTCAAAGTCACCTGAAATGCAGACTTCTTTGGCGGTTCATCATCTTTTTTCTCCTCTTCTTCCTCCTCATCCTCACTGTCAGTTTCAAACAAGTAATAGTCTCCACTTCTAACCACTGAAGGGGGCAGAATGTAAAGTGCAGTTATATTCAGTCAAACTAGGCTGAAGTCAGTGAACACCTTTAAAATGAGGCTCAGAAAACGGTTCCCTTGCTTAAGGGAAGAAGCATGAAAATCAAACCACCTACCGTGAATTTAAAGTAAAAAGTATTTTTCCTCTTTTAAACATTTAACTGAGACAGTAAGTCGGATACAAACACATTCAAAAAACATCTAAGACAGAAAACACACATTGGTATGATAGAACCATGAGCACAAAGCACAATTAAGGTTTTCAATTAAATAAGAAATTATTCCAGAAAGCGCAGTCGCCTTTAAGCTACTCGACAGAGCAGGTGACTCGTGTCTACAGCAGTTAAGTGGGATGGACGAGGCTGACTTATGTCCTTGAACAGAACCGCGGTGGGCGGCGGGGAGGTGAGGGAGGATGCTGGGAGATGGAGATGAAACATCACATGACAAAGACGTGAAATGGAGAAATAATTTGAAAATGTCATGTGTGGGAGTAGAGCGACAGGAGACATGAGTTCAACCCAAACAGGCGACCACAGTATTGGCTCACAGAGGTGAGGGTGTTTTTCTGTTTACCATAAAGAGACGTGGAAAAGGTCGTCTTTTCATTCGTCAAATCACTTGTCCAATCGTTCCCTTTTTTATTTTCTCCTGTTTGGTGATCATGTCCACAGGCAAAGAATGAACAAACTCTTTCACCCTTTATTCCAGTACTGAGAATAAAGGCGAGTCGACTTCATATCTTTGCATGATTCTTTTTATAACAGAGTGATTCTCTACTGTGGGCTCTTTAGGTGAGATCAAGGATTAGGTTTTAAACAAGTGCAAACCTTCAGACATTAGTCATTTTCTCTTCAAGTCTCATCGTGTCTATTTAAGGCGACCCTCCACGGCACCGATACAGACGCGGCTTAACGGATCATCTTGAAACTGAAGAGCCTCTCTACACATAGTGTACATGAGAGACGCAGGTAGAAACAAGGGCCCTTAAATAGAAACAGAAAGGACTAAAGTCCGAATGGAGCGAGACTACTGTGTGTTGGTGCCTTCGGAGCCCAGGGGCAGTATGGGAATCCTCAGCGTTCTGGTCAAGGACACAAGGGCCAATCAGAGTGGAGGAAGAGAAAAAAAAGAGGGTTGGGGGGTCAACCTACTGGAAGCATGGTCAACCCACGGCCTCCACCACTGCTTTTTTTTGGTCTTGGCTTTCGCTCGCTGTGCTCCTAAAATTTCACAAATACATCAATGCAACATTTCATAAGAAAATTGACTTCAAGGCAAACGTTTTTTTTACTCTAGTAATTTAAGCTGCTTTTTAAATTTTGTTTTTTTAGATCAAATACTATTGCAAATACATCATCGTACAACATGAGTAAGACAAACAGGTTGGCATTGCGGTATTGATACAGTCTCACCCATCTGCCTTTAACACCATTAGCACACATTTAACCTCAACACCAACCGCCGTCATACCGTCATCATCCTCCTCCTCTTCCTCGGGCTGGATGAGGGTTTGTCCATCTCCAGACTCCTGTGCAATGCTCAGCATCCTCTCCTTGCCCCTCTTAAACTTTTGCTGCCTCACCTTAATGCGCTCCATCCTGATTAGATCAGAGAGGCAGTGAAGAGACACAGAGTATCGACACAGAGGAACATCACCGACGGCCTAACAGACCGACCATAAACGTCTCCGCGCTTCGTATACAGATTAGTGTACGTTATGAAACACCGGAGTGCTCATTAGGGCGGGTGGGTGGATATTTTCAGGGCTGATGAGTAACTCCCGAGATAACTGTAAGTGGTGGGGATACATTGACTGTGTAGTATGATATATATATATATATATATATATATTATATTTATATATATCGAACTATGGCTTCCTGGAAACATTAAAAACCAAGACAGCAGTTGCTTTTACCACAGAATGGATTTTAAATGGCTTTTTGAAAATGGCATGTTTAATTATGAACTCATTTGGGAGGTGATCAATAGAGAGGTCATAATATAGACATAACCGTGTTGTTTTATTAATTATATTCCATTTTCTAGAAAAGGCGCAATGAGCAAAATGTAATCCCCTCCTAATCATCACTTATGACACGATAGAAGTGTGCGGCAGAAACCATGTCCTCTTTATTGCCATAGATATTGCTGATTTTGGTCTGGTAGAATAATGCCAGCCTCATCCTTCCCATGAGAGAAAAGCAACATCAAAAAGACATTCTCGCCATAGCTATAAAAAATAGATCTTTGTAAAAAGAAATATATAAATACGAGTGTAGGGAAGGTGCAGAGCGTGATTTAAGATGACCTTTGATTATTTACACAATTTACATCAATACGTGTCCTTTAGACCGTGACCACGATTTGTTTTCTTATTTCAAGTTTATCGTTTTTGCTGTTATTTTCATATATTGCAATGTCAAAATATGCTGAGGCAGTGCACGTCGACACCACATGGGAGTAAGTCAAACAGTCTCACTGTCTCTTCAGCTGCTCCACAGATTTGCGCTCTTCCTCCAGTCGGGCTCTCACCGCCTTCACTATGGTGGCCTGGAAAAGCTCTGCTCCTCTGAAGACACAATGAAAACGATCAGAACAATCAGAATCGGAGTGAGAAGGCCGGATCCCGCTTTACAAAAGTACACTCCCTTCCTTTGGAAGCTGAAACACTCCCACACAACCGTTCAATGGATTCATCGGAGCATCGGAGCGCTCTTGTGCTCTCCATCCAATAAATCTGCTTCGTAGACCTTTTGATTCGGCTTCGTCTGCGTACCTGCACGCCAGCACCTGCGAAGCTCTGATGTCAGCCACCACATGGAGGAAGTAGTAGCTCATGAAGACTCTTCTCTGCAGCATCAGGAAGGCAAAGCAGATACTGTCCCAGATGATCCCGGCCTCGTTGCCGGGCAATTCACAGAGCTCTAAAGATGAAAGAGAGGCTTTTAGACTCTAAAGAGAGGACATTTATGAGGGTTAATTCTCCACAGCTTTGAGTCACGCCAATGATGACAAAAAAAAATATTTAGAAAGATAATTGTGCCAAAACCACTTTAAGGCACAACAAGGGTGTGGGTTTAATTTAGGTTCCTTGGAAAACACACTCACGGACACACAATCTGAAGCAGCAACTCAGACCAACGTGACCAAAAGGAGGATATTTGCTGCTCCTCACGTTAAAGGGGAGTTCTCACCTTCGCGTGACATTTATTGGAAATCATAAGCTGAATGTCGAGTCCACTCACTCTTGTCTTGTTCGGTGATTGTGGGTTTGTATTCCTTGATGGTGCACGCCAGGCTGCACAACTGGATCAACCAGCAGTGTTTAATGAGAGATTTGATGTATCCACAAGCCAGTATCTGAAAACAAGTATACTTTATTACTTACTTCAACACAAAAACACTTTTTTCTACGTCTTCGTTAGGAGCTTTTATTTCTCATAACACACACAGGCAGTATGGGCGAGAACTAAAATATCACAAACAAAGAATTTTATACCAAGTCTACTTTTCGCCCGTGCAGACATTCTCCCGTTCATCTGAGATAGGTCACTCACGGACAAAATGTTCTTCATGGTGATCACAAAGATGTTGTAGGCGATGAGGAAGTCCCAGTAGTGGAGGATCTTTTTGATCGGTTTGAGCAGCAGCTCTCCACCAAAGAGCAGGAAGTAGAAGCAGGCCACCAGGTAGCCCATGCAGAAGACGCTGATCCGCGTGGTGCCAGTGATGAAGATGATGGTGAGTACAAACCAGAACAAGTAGCTGAATGTGATGACCTTCAGCATGTCCAGGTAGGACCTAGAAGACAGAATTGAAAATGATTCGTCAGCTATTTTCCCCCCAAAAAACAAAATGGAATTCAACACATAAATCATGTTTTTTTTATAATGATGTTTCTAAACTGCTATAATTGTACTCTAACTTAAATAGAAGATCTGGGTAACTTCTCCAACACTTGTTCATTGTTATTTAAATCTTTCTTTTATTAGTTTAATTCGATTTTTAGTTGCCTGTTTTCACCTGGTGACAACAGAACCACGTCCATAACGCCAGAGAAAACTAAAATGTTGTGCTTTAAAAAGTTAAACTTGATATAAAATAAACAACAAAGGTCAGAAATTCATTTTCATTCTCTTACATATATTTATATAAACACCAAATGATAAACACCAAACAATGAACCCAAATTTGGCTTCATTGTTTGTGTTGAATAAAGAAATGCCACTGAATTGGGGGATGGGCAAAGTTTGTGAGCTGATGACGTGATCACGTGACGGTGGAAGTAAACAGCAGACGAATGCTTAGCACACCATGAAAGTCTAAACAACATTTCAGTTCATTTGTTTGCTGTCTGCATAATCCGCCCATCAATCACACTGCGAGTATCAAACAGTTTGATCAATGAACCAGAGGTGAAACCCGACACCTGTCACTCAGCACACATCCACGTACATTTCATGTACCCGAGTGTGTGTCTAACATGCTAAAAGCACGCGGGTGGACCACGCGTCCTCGCGTGAGGGACCATTAACATGACGCGTGCAGTAAAAACATAAGACCTGCGACAAAAACACGAGACCACAACAGCAGCTGCTGCTTAGGAAGCGGCTCTGATGAAGTGGGCTCGGGGACGGCGCGTCGATGGGCCGGAATATCTGAGTGAGTGTCCTTCCTCACCGCGGGAGAGAATACCTTTTTCCATACTTGAAAGCTATTTATTGAGTTAGAGTACAGGGCAAAAGCATCTGAGCTGCGGAGTGACGGACAGAGTGTTTTTGTAGATTATGGATCCCCCCCCCCGCCCCCTCCGCCCACCCTGTGTCCGTAATTCGATCCTGGAGGGAAACGATGGAATAAGTGCAGAGCTGCTGTGCCGTGGACAGACGGGCACTGCGGCTCTCTTTCTTTCTACGGGGGCTTGTTGATGGACGCAGAGTGCGTTAATAAAAGACTTGTCCACTTTGTGCATCAAAACAGTGGAATGTGAAGAGCACATAATCAATGACTGTGGACAAGTCAGGATGCTCTCGTTGTCCTTCTTACTCGCTCTGCCTTGGCCTCTCAGAAAACTCCCTTTACTATTTTTTTTTTTTTTGTGCAAAAATAAGTATCTAGGTCTAGATTAAAATATTGGACAAAGGCCAAAATGGATGTTTGTAGACCGGTTATTCAACATTCTCTTGGATAAAGCAAGCAAGCGTCTCACTCAACTGCCCCTCGGAGGTTGTTGCCAATACTGAGGAGAACAACATCTTTAATATCATAAACCTGCAATCATCATGTCACCGGCCTGCTCTGCTGCTGATTTCAAAGCCCCATTTGGTAAATTGGCAGCGTGGCGGCGCCATCTTTGTTATGAACATGCATTGATTGATTTGCTGGCCGCTTGGGTCGGCGGCCAAACCAGTCAATATATCTAAGCTGATATTGCAAACCAGTCAGTTCTCATTCCCAGGAATAAATGTAAAATATGGGCAAACATCTACCAAGGGGGATGTTAAGAAAATGAATTGCCTTTGATGCTTTACAACTACATAACAGTGTAGCATCAAGTAGACCGAGGACCAAAACAGTAATATCTACACAGGCGTTTTATTCTTAAAAGGCGCTGTATCCATAAAGCCGTAATAGCTTATTTAGTGTAAATTGCTGTACCTGCAGTGGATGAAGTCGGGGACGGGGTTGTGGACGCTGAAGGAGGCAGCGTCCAGGTCTCTGCAGATCTCCACGTTGTCTCCGGCCATGAGGCGAACCGCCGCCTTGTTTTCGTCATCGAACACCTGCCTCTGGAGAGAGGCACACAGCAGCAGCATGAAGTCATCTAGGAAAGAAGAGGGGAGCAGTGCAACTCGCGCTGAGCAAAACTCCCGCCAATACAAGACACTAGAAGGACAATCGTCAGTAGGACGACCACGAAAAACGTGTGAGACATACAGATGAGGAACGTAGAATTGGGTTGAGTCAGGAAATCTGGAACATAGAGCCACTTGACCACATTGGAGTCCGTGGTCGAGTCTGGAAACCTCCAGGGGTAATCTGAAACGGAAACATGCACCTTTCTCAATTTATGAATGAACATATTTTGCTCAGACGGCTTTCATTTAAAGTAATACACAGAGTAGAGGGTTTGGAGCCAGTAGACATAATAACGAAGATATCAAACCATAGTAGTGTGATAAAAAGAGTTGAGGAAACAACCACTAACTGAAAGCACTTTGCGTAATCCATACACACTACTGGTCATTGTCCGCTAATAAAATGTGAATATCAGCTAATTTTCTGTTATTTGTTGTTATTATAATTTCAATATTGTGGGTTTGGGACTATGAAAGACTACAGCTGCAAACACATACGCCAGATGATAACACAATTGACTATAGAAACACATTCTAGATGAATCAGTAATGACCACAGTTGTCGATCGTGGTTTAAAATCATAGCAGTCCGGAATTGTTGGTCTCACGAACCTATGCAGGCTGCTGGCGGGATCCCGATGCAGATCAAGTACTGGACGGTCAGCATGCAGGCCAGGAAGCAGCAATACTTTGGCCAGATCTCAGCGATGGCTTTCCTCCTGCGTCTGTACATCACGGCGATCAAGGCGAAGGCGTGAAGCATGGCGAAGAAGTCCATACGCTGCCCGATGACGTTGACCACCAGCAGCAGGCACGTCTGGGAAGAAGCAAAGGAAGGAATACAAACGTGAGGCGATGCTCCAAGGCAGAATCATACGTGTCGCGGAAGCCTTTCTCCACCTCAAGTCCGAACTTGTAGAAGAAGTAGTTGATGAAGTATTTAACAAAGCTGACGATGCCGCCGTCCAGATGCTGCCGCGTGATGTCATGGAAGATAATGCTGGCAGCCGGAGCCGACAGCTTGTTTCTCAGTCGGAAGTACTCCTGGTGTCGATAAATGGTCACCTCGAATGCTAACAGAGCCAGCATCATCAGGTTGTTCTGCACAGGGGGAGAATATTTGTAAGTATTTATAATGTTGTACAACTGATTGCTCATTCATCAGGTAAAAAATTATGGAGACATTTTTTTTTACCTTTTACCTTTTAACTTGTGATCGTCATTTTTGTTGTGCATCCAAAATGCTGGTGCTTATTATCTTACAATCAATAAATTCACAAATGATCAGGAAGGTGCTAATACATTCCTTTAAAATAACATTTTCAGTTGATCGATAACTGTTTTTGTAGCCCGGCCAGTTGTTTCACCCCATTTCCAGTATTTGTGTCAGGCGCGACAGAAATCAAGATCAAATATTTCCCAGAATTTTCCAACAAATTCCATTTTTGAAACGCTAATGGTTGTATGAATTGTTCTTCCCTTGCTGTGACGACGTGGATACGCTGCAAAAGCTCCCCCCTGCTCACCCTTAGGTAGCCCAGCAGGTCAGCGGACTTCTCCAGGCCGACCCAGTTGGCTGGATCCACTGGTCCCCTGTACAGCAGGGACTCCTCCAACTCAGTGGCCTGTGTCTGTGAGTAGTTGGCTGGCTGTTGAAAAGAGAAAACAGAACAGTACGAATGCAGTAGACACGCGTTGCCAGCGAGGCGAAGGATCGTAAAGACAGCGTTTAGCCACATTCACCATGGAGCAGTTCTTCGAGTAGGAAGGGGGGTCGAAAGACTTCAGCTGGTACAACATTTTGCACACGATGATCACACACGTCCAGACGGTGCAAACACTGGAGGCGAGGCGACGATATTGGCTGTAAGGCAGCGCAAAGGCCCAGGACGCCAGGAACACGTAGTTGAACAGAGACACCTGCACGTGAGAGCATTTAGCCGATGAAGACAAAGGAGTAACAGCCCACATTCATCTTTCTTTTTAACCGACATTCTCTTTTTATTTATCTTCGGTCTATAACAACACATATTACTATTATTATTATTATGGTTTGTTACGAAACATTTTGACACAGCAATTTACGTGAAATGAAAACAGGAAAAAAATTGGAGAATAATGTGAGGGGTCAACAAAGATCATTATGTAAATGTAGACATATCTATACAACTTTTAATAGGAATCTAACAGCCAATTCAGCTTATTCACACTGAACCTCTCAAACTCAAAGAGCCTCCATGGCAAGAAACCGCTATTATAGTTTGCCCCGATGCCCCCAAACTATTATCAAGCCAGTCTGTTTAACTGAAGTAACTCGTTCATAGAGCTTAGTCATAGGAGGTCGTAACCTGATAGTATTTGATTTACAAACAAATCAATGGCCAGGAAGTTGACAGTATTTAACAAGAGAAGCTGAGCAGTCAAATCGGTCAATCAAACTGATCGGGTGGTTCCCTGCTGTCGTTGCAGATATTGATCCATGTTGTCGCCTCGAGCTTTCATACCTCTTTGACAGAGACCAGGACAATGTAGCAGGACACGATCTTGATGATGTGGATCTCCAGTAACCACCAGATGAACAGCTGCAGTTTGTGGAAGTACTCGAGGAACTTGAGGAAGAGCACGGTTAGACGGTCCACCACCAGGTGCCATTTATTCTTCAGATCTGAAGAAGCAGAGACAAAGGCATTTAAAAAACAGCAGTAGGTGCAAATGGAAAATGTTTCATATCTTAATTACAACAGCATGTTCTCGGAATTTATAGATATCACTACTTCCTTTGGGATTATCCTGTCTAGTTGTGTTGTTCTTTCATGTGTTGGTCTGTACTGTACTGCTTCAAAAGACGATAAGTAATACAAAAAAATAATAATAAAACAATTTCAGTTTTTCGAATGTCACCTTAAGCTTTAGGAATTCTTATATGCCAACATTTTAAAGTCAAACAAGGAATATTCTTTCATAATGGAAATAAAATAACCATTGCTGGCAGCCCCATACATCATTAAATCATTTATTACATATAACTGATATAAAGTGGTATCACATTAAAATCCATCCAGAAAACATGTGAATAACTAAAGAATCGTTATTGTTCTGTTCAAAGATTAAAATGTGATGTTTGACAATCTGCCTGTTGGTGAGGGAACGATATATTTTAATATGTATGCCGTTTACCCCATGCTATGTGTGTTTTAAAAGGTTCTCTGAAACTGTAAAATTACTGTTAATGTAATATTTTCCAGGCGTGCAGTATGTCGAGATTTATGAAAGCACGGCTAACATCTGCATTAACAGGCACATTCAGATATTAAGTTTCTTTAATTACCTGAGAATGGCAAAATCATATTTGCTTTTATGGTCTCACAAAGGATATAAAACCTCGAGTCAGTTTGGTAGGAGCATGTTTTCACAAAATCATAGGTTTTTATAGAGGCACCATTGTTTGGATAAGAAAGCTCATTATAAACTGAGAGGCTCTGCAGTGTTTTATCACATTATTGTCTGTGTATAAAAGCAACATTTTTAATTTAAGACCAGTGTGACTGGACGTGTAAATATGCTAATAGTGCAGCGTTGGTTGGCTTTAGCTGCGCCACGTAACGGGTGAAAGTGACCACTTGAGCTACACTCCCGGACAGAGAAGACAACCAGAGGTAAATCTTACTGAAGCCAGAAATCTTCAACGCAACAGATTTTCACAGCTTTACTCAAGATGATTAATGGCAGGCTGAGTGCAGACAGCAGATACTTGAACCGCAGACGGAGCTTCTCCCAGAGAGCTCTGGCCTTTAAAGACTCAATGCAACATACAGCTTTCGGCACATGCTTCAGAACAGCAAATGTGGGGCCTCGACCCAGGACGTATTTTACATGTTGTGTATTTTCCCAGAAAGTTGCAGCCGCTCAGCACCTGAGCTCTGCTCGGTGCTCGGCTCCGGCTCCGTCCCTGCGCTGCAGGCTTGGCTCTCCTCTGTGCTGGACTGCCGCGGGTCAGAGGCCCTCCTGGGCTTCTCGGCCGCCACGCCGGCGTCGTTGATCATTACCACCAGGCCCCGCTCCTTCTCCTTCTCCTGCTTCCCACACTCGCCCTGCTCCTCCGGCGGCTCCGGTTCCTCTCCGGACAGCATCGTGGCCTCTGCAGAGTTGCCACTGAGCATGGTGAGGTCTGCCAGGCTGCCGTCCTGGTGCACAAGCCTGTGGACGTGCACATAAGTTATTACAAACACGTGCCCGCGGACTCACACACACGCGCTTTTTAAAACTTATGTTGTTCGAGAGAGAAGATTTTACATATGAATAATGTGACATACTCATTTATCGTTCCCAAAAAAAAACTCTTACCTTAACTTTAATGTATGAGAATAAGTGATCAAAATCTAGCTAGAGGGAAATAATCCACCTATTGTTTCCACGTTATGTCTTTTATGTGCATAGTTTTGTCCCGGTCCTCTCTCGTTGGATGCATTCTGTCCGCATAAGTATTTTAGTACAACACACATTCATACACATGACTCCGGGTGATTTTCAAAAGGCTCTGATGCAAATGTTGAGATAGGAATCGGCAAACATATCCATTAAATGAACAACAGAGCAGCATTTCATCAGGCATGAAACCGACCAATAAGCAGTGCACATTCCTCATAACATTCTGCAAAACCATCTGCGTTTAAAAAATTTTTTTTTAGTGTTTCAGGAATATTTTGTCTCACAGCAGAGCAATGCTAGCATCTTAAAGGAGGCATTAACCCTTAAAATTCTTCTCAGGCAATGGGGAAAGGTCAAAGGTCAGGTTTGGCTTGCACGAACCGGCCGCATGTCAAGGCAAGCATTTCGTTATCCAGCGGTCACACTTACTTGCTCTGTTGAGTGGGAATTTTTTGCTTGATGCTGCTCAGAACAATAAAGTTACACAGAAGTCAAGATGAACAGAGAGAAACTCACAACGGGAGGCTGACACACATGAAAATATCCACCTAGTTTTAAACACATTGGAACAGCCAAAAGGCTTCTGTAGTTTGGGGGTGAAGCGAGCTTTTGAGGGTTCGGGGGGGGGGTCATACTTTCCTTAGAATCAGTGCAGAGAAATGGGTGTGGCAAGATATTAGGAGGGAAGAACAGTCCTTTAAATTCAAACATGCTTGTTTGAGTTTGTAAAACGCTATTGGAAGAGATGTGGAAGAGAAGTCCAAGGACTTTATGGGGGAAGGGGGGGGGGAGCTGGGTTTAGAGGGTGTTAAAGATCCAGAAATACAAGAGTGAACCCTGAAAAAAAGAAGGCTACAAGCAAAACAATAATACAAAAACCTGAAAACAAACACCATTCATGTCAGTCTAATTCCAGGAGTAAGATCTTTCAGAAGACATGTCATCATCGGCAAAAAAAGGGGTATCATAGACAAGTTGGGGCGAGACAAAACCATCTGTATTGCAACAGGAAGAGGAAGCGGAGGCTCAGAGGTGAAGTGGGATGGCGATGGATGCCACAGAAAGCGAGCAGATACCCACCTATTCATGATCACATAGACGCGACCATTGACTTTAGCGTGGCTGTGTGGAAAGGGTGGCAGAGGAGAGACGGCAGCAGGTCACAGGGGGAAGAAAGAGCGAAGACGAGCTAAGCGAGCGGCGGTTAATGACAGTGGAAAGTCCACAGCAACGACGGCGCCGAGTTAAACACGCACCGCGACAAAGACTGTGGAAATTTGAATGTTGTAACACCGAGAACACGACAAAGCACACAATGACAGATGTGCGACGACAACAGTGGTTATAATGGGTGTTTTAAGGTTGATTATCCAGACCAGTACGTTTACGCTCAACATGAATACATTGTCAGTATGTATTCTTAAGGGGCATTTTGAATACAACGCATCTCACATAGCCTTATTTTAGCGGACTAAATACAGTACATCTTAAAGATTTTCTTTGTATTTAGATAAATGTACTTGTTTTTACCCTTGCCACTCTCGTTTTATATCAGATATCTGATATTTTCATTGTCTTTAAATCTCAGCAGGTTAAATTTGTCCTGTCGGCAGATAATTCTGGTTTATAAAATCCCCTTTTATTCCCGTTTATTTAGCACTGACTTTTTGCAGTTAATTACTTTTCCTGACGCAGTGCATTTATATTTGACACTGCTAACTCAAAATACACAGTTTATTAAATCAGCTTTATGAACCTTCACAATTAAGATGAAGAAAAATAAAGTAACGCAAAAAAAAAATGGGGTAAAAATAACGCATCAATTATGGTTTGAAGTAAAGAAAATAAAGAGAACTTGTCTCACCTGTAGATAGTGCTCTCCTCTTTGGCCACCACGGCCTGGAGATCGGTGAGCTGGAGGAAGCGGTCGTGGAAGTAGTGCAGGTGGAGAATACACACCAACAGGAAAGACGTGGGAATGAAAATCCTGGTGAACAGCACGGGAAGGCTGAACCTCAACAGGCCAAGATCCTCCAAGCTGCATAGAGGGAGACGGGGAGAAGAAACATCAGACTTTAGCTTTTTAGACTAAATCTTTTTTTTGAGGTACCTGTAAACAGAAAAAAAGTGAATAAAATATATTTTTAAATAATGAAATGCTTTTCTGTCATTGTTGGTTGTTGAACAATTATTGTTGATGACTTGTTGAAAAAAAAAAGTTTACCCCGCAAGATCTTCAAGTCAAACATTTAACATTTAGATTCATCTACAGGGGAGAGTCATGACAACTTTGTGTCGAAGAAACTCTCTTCGGAAGTCCTCCAAGGCAGGCAAAAAAAAAATTCTGGTGATCCATTTTCTAACACTGATCCAACTTATTTTCCCATCCTGTGTTTTCTACAGCAGAATTTTATTGGCAGGATCATTTCTCAAAAGGTACTTTTTTTCCATCAATGAAAAAAAAGATGGTTAAGAGTTTGTTGTTGTGATACTTGATTCGCCCACAAGAGGCTGAGGTTCACTGTTACCCCATTTGGTAAATAGGACAAAAAACATTAACATTTTGCCTTATGGCTTATTAATACTGGTTAAAGTACATTCTAGCTAATGTTACTTAACTGCCTTACTAACAATATTACGTTCCTTGTTTTCATACAGGATTAGGAAATCAACAATCAGATGGAAGACGAATGCTCGGTCTTATTCAGCACCCTGGTTACCTCAGCATTTTGTGGCCAAAATGAGAATGACAACAACAAGTCTCTACGTGTCAAAATAAATTCTGCCGACTTGGATGTTGTGGAGCCCATTAAGAAGACAGTTTAGATCAGAAAATCACCAGAACTGTTCTCACTTGCCTCTCAGCGTGTCTGTAACTACCAGTAATTCAAACTGCAGGTGATTCAGAGAAGCTCACCTTTCTGTTTCCATGTTTAACGTTTTAGTCCAAAAGGTATTGCTCTCAAACTGGTAGGTGTAAACCAGGATGAGGACCAGCATGGTGTACATCACCACCGACATCCAGAAGTACTTCAGGATCCTTCGCCACCACTCATAGTGCACCTAGATAAGAACAATTGTGATGATTGCATTTCAGGGGTTCCAAATTCTCTGACTTGAACCGCTACAATCCATTAAATTCATCAAGTAAATTAAAAGTAAAAATACCAAATATTCCAGAGATGTGAAATATGTCTCTGAATTGTTAATAGATAAGTACTGACCATTGTTATATCTGCATAGATTTGACACATTAGAGCAGCTATAAGAAAGTGATATAGCTTATATAATATATATAACATTGTGTGTGTCTTCAATCACTCGGTTGAATAAGAAAATAAAGAAGAATATATTTTAAGAAACTGGGAAAAAAAGATAACTGAGCGGAATTTGAGATTGTTATTATGCGGCTAAATGAAGTATGTGCACAAGATACTGATGATCACAGGTGTTTTGTTACCTGGTAGAGTGCCACACAGGAGAGGAACATCATCATGTAGATGATCTTGTACATGACGATTGTTCCCTCGAAGCTGACGAGGAAGAACATGCCGCCACAGATGTAGATCCAGTATTTCACCAATAGAGCCATGACCATGTTACCCAGAACCTGCATTATGTCCTGCTCCCCTCCCTCCTCAGAGTCCTCTTCCTCTATAGAACACAGCAGGGATTCAGAAAACTCAGACACGTGCAATGAAAAAGCCAACATAAGTAATTCAAATTTAAATAGGATGCAACAAGTGAAATATTTACATGACCCATGATGCCAACAAGCGACTAAATGGTCCATGTCAGAACGGTATGATAGAGAGATTATTTCTACCATAATCTAAATAAAATAAGAGTCCAGGGCTACCCTTCTTCTTCTGATCCTCCACAAAGACATCTGAGAGACCAGAGCTGTCATCCTTTTGTTTCTCCTGCCTCTCTGTAAGCGTTTGTCTCAGCAGCAGCCAGAAGCTCAGCAGGCAAAGGACCTGCACGCAATGAATAAAATGTTCATCAGCTGGCGTATAACATGTTATTCTAGACATAGTTTGGTCGTTGAGACCTTCAAAAATAATAAAGTAATTGACTATCAGAGAGAAACAGTTTGAGTATATTCATTTAGCTGCATGTAGAATACATCAGAAATCCTTTCACAAAGTATAGATTACAGGTTCAAGTTAATGATCAGTTTCAATGAGTGCATTGATTTAAAAAAGGAAAAAAATCCTGGCGATGTTAAAATCAAGAAAACGCTGTGTGTTCCACGCTCAAACCTTGGATGAAAGTGAATGGAAAGCATTGTTCTTCTTGACAAAGAACCCGAGGACTTTGGAGTGATCCATGATCTCGAAACTCCAAATGTACTGCAGAACTATCAGCAGGTTGCCGTAGGCCACCATGAAGGGGGCGGACAGCATGGCGTAACGCCTCCTGTCCCTCACCATCCACAGCGTGCAAGACCAGATGAGGAAGACAAACGTCAGCCAGCTGACGTACGTGATGCTCCAAGCCTGCGGAGACCGAATCGCAGAGCATATTGAACAAATGCTGAAACTCTGCTATTGATGAAGAGCCGAAGATAAAATACAAAGATAATTTACAGAGGCACCGCATGACTTGTGACGTAGCTGGATATGTCATTTATTCTAGTATTTCCTAACCAAAAGTAGTACTGCCAAATTGTGAAAATACACCAATACAAGTAGAAATCCTGCACTTTAATTAAATTATTTTTTATTATTATATTATATTTATTATTTTTATTTTTGTAAAATCTCCACATTTGCATGTAATATAGCACTACAGTACCCATCATGCTTTGAGTGAAACGGATTTTGTCAAGACAGCTCACCAAAAAATATATATATATTTGATCTAAATAACTAAAATGACTCTCTCAGAAACTTGCCTGTACTCCTTTCCTTAAATTACTACTATATTTATATGTTATTTACAGGGAGCTTCATAAAGAAATGATTAACTGATTAAAAGCTAAATGTAATGTTTCTAAATGTGTACATCCTCTACAAGCGTCTCAATGTCTATGCCACAAGGAATGAAACATGTTTTTTAGTCACATCCTTCCTCACGCTCAGGCATGAAAGTGTTATTTTTTGTCAAATTAAACTTTAAATAAAAAACACATGCTGAAAAAAACCAAACCAAACAAAATCAGTACTTATGGGATTTAATTTTTGGGAAATTCAAACAAACACCACTTAAAGAGAGTTGTTTTTGCCACAGTTTGTATTTGGTGCGTTACAAGTTCCTAAATAAAAGCGGTTTTGGATGTTTTCCTTTCGGACATCCGAACGCACAACAAAAACCCCGCAATGAGGCAGCTTCTTTGGCTTCCAGAGTGCACCGTCAGCGGGATGCATCACTCACCATCATGGCTATGAGAGCACAGATGTAGCTCTGTTTCATGACGAAGTGGAAGATTTTGACTATCGCGCCGACCCCCCTCTTCATCCCGTGCTCTCCTCCCTCGGGCTTCTCCTCTTCTTTCTCGAACGCGGAATCCTCCGGAGGAAAACACACGTCGTACGCACATTCTGGCTTCTTCTCTGGTCCGACACAGAAACACAAATCACCGTTAGAAGAAAAAGCGTGACACATTCTTGCCACATTGTGGACTGTGTTAAGAGTAACTGTATGTTGCTGTACATTCAGTGTGGTGGTTTTAAGGACATTGAGACAGACGGGGCAGTTGACAGCTCACCTGGTCCGTCACTGGGCTGACCCATTTTATACTGAGGGGTTGAATACAAGTCCAGACCCACTGGTCCATTATCAGTTGTGAGGAAGTCAAAGGACGTCCCGTTCGAGGTGGGTGCAGCCTGTGGATTGTCATCACAAATTACAGAAAAAGTACTAAGAAAGAGGTTTTTTATGGGATCACATCACTGTACTGCTTCCTGCCCCACACACGCAAACAGGTACAACTGCTGTAGTGTGATCAAATGACTCACCAATAAGGTATTTTAATTCATTTTGCGGATTGTTTTTGTTGTTTTCAGTTACAGCTTAGTAATAAAACCTTTGGCCTTCGTAGGGCAGTACAGGGATTTCCTCTGCTTTGCACACTGCACATTCTTTATTTTAACGACACACAGGATGCTTTATAACTTGTAAAGCGTTTTGTACAAGCATTTTCTAAAAACACCTTTCTCTGCAGTCCTCAGGTTGGGAAATACAATTTTCTGACTTGTTAGAGTCGCCTAAGACATGCTTTTTGACATTCGGCTAACTTTTAAACACGGCAGGTGGACCTACCATGGGTTTTTGAATAGATAGAACATTTTGTCTGTGGTTAAAACAACCTCGAGAGTAACAGGTTGGCCTACAAAAGTACGTCAGCACTGCACAAATGTTATCTTTGTGACATTTACCGACTCAAAAGACACTTAATCAGCGGTAGTTTTTTTGTCAGACACAAAACGAAAAAGCAGCTTAACATCCACTGTGAGGAACTCTCTGTTCTACCAGGGTGCAGTGTGAAGAGCGCTTTGCAGTGATTTATTTTCCCGCAACAGGACTGAGGGTCAAAGGAGTGTGTGTGTGGGGGGGGTTAAGATGCACAGATTTAAGACACATGCAGAGCAGCCCCCACCTCATTTGTACTGAAGCCATCCTGGATGGAGAGGAGCTGGGAGGAGAAAAGAGCATACAAGGAAAGGTGCGTTATCGATGAGCTGCTGAAGTCAAAGGGCCTCCTTGTTCTTTATAGTCGCGGATAAACAGGAACAAAGTCGAGCAGCACTACTCTGTAAATCGAGCCCATCGCTCATCTGTGTCTGCACACCCTAAAAGCTTTTAAACCTCAGGAGGTGCCCGGTGGAGACAGACTACGGACCTTGATATGGGAACAAGGTCAGAATGTGTGTGCGTTTTCTGCTGAAATCTTTCCAGGGACGAGTCCATTAGGAAGGAGAAAGCTCGGATGAAACGAGACGCAATATAACAGTTTGAGTCTACAGCTAAAGAAAGCTGATTTTCAAGGTTTTTTTCCTAAAGCTGAACTGAATGAATTGGTAATCAGTTCATTAGTATTAATATGTCTCCTGTCCAATAATAAATACTTAGTTGTTCGTGCGTGTGTGAACCCTGACGTACGTTTTTCTCATCCGTGCCTTGGCGGGATTCCCACCACAGCTGCCTCTTCCTGTTGGCATTGGAGTTATTTGCTGTGTTTCCATCCAGATCGTCCTCCTCGCACATGTCGCCGTCCTTGTCGTCCTGAAATAACAAAGATAGACAGTTTGGATGAGATGCGTCTTCACCGCTGGACTTTGAAGTCAGTCCGCTATCCTTCAGCAGACACAAAATAGTGAAGAATCAGTTCTAATCAGCTCATATTTGAGACTTTTTTACAGAGTAGGAGTGGCAAATATGAGGAGTAGGTGGGTGACATTTTAGAGAGGAAATTATGTAGTTTTATCGTATTATTCAACATAGCTTTCTGCATTGTATTCACAATAAACACTTTCATCTCAAGTTCCCAGTTTTCATTATGGGCTCTTAACTTGGTTCTAGTTGTGTGTGCAGTTCCGATGAGGACATTGTGTTCTTTAGACAATAAAAGTTAATTGGACACTTGTGATTTCAACTCGATCATTTGTTAATAAAACATGAAATCCAGACTGCACCATTAAAACGTTTGCTCTATAAAAATAAAAAAAAAACGTTGTGCTGACACTTGAGTGAGCGCCATTTCTGGCATTCCTTTGGTTTACGTCTGGTGTCACGCATCGCTTCCTTGCATCTCATGCCCTTAGCTACTTTAATTAAGACGTGAATGTCTTCACAGTTTTTACTGCATCGTCAAACTGCTGCTGATCAAACACATTGAACTTGAACTCAAGCATTAACTGTATTGAGAAACGGTAACAGAGGCTCCAGATCTTTCATAATCCGCCGCGTCCACTATCGAACAGAGCCGTCAGCCGGGGATTTATGCCGTAATCATGTCTTATTATTAGCGTTGTCCAAAGTGTAAGAGTAGGTGAAAACACACACACACTTACACACGCAATCACCCTTCGGTGGAGCGATCAATAATGCATACAGGCCTGCAGGTTCACGGGGCAGTATTGACCCCGCTATAAAAACACTAATCTATAACTCCATTACAGGACAGTGGCTCCGAGGTGAAGGAAGACGGGTTGAATTCAGGGGTGAGGGTCTCCATTTACAACGTTGCACCTTCATTGAGAAGCGCAGTAGTTCCACTTATTATCGTCATTACCAAGTAGATCCCAAATCCTCCATTCAGAGTTTGAAATGACAAACTCCCTAATTTAGTCACGTCAGTGTTGTAAACCTTTTGCTTTCATTTTGTCATGTTTTAGGTTTTGTAAACATTCGTACCACTCCCAAGCACAAAGCATTTTCCTCACAGTTGTTAATTAACGGTTTAACGTTGGTACCGAGATGCATCCTCCCTTCGCGCTTTGTCAGAATCAGGCCACCCACGTCTCAGATGACAGCCGAGCTCCAGCGGACAGATCCAACCAAAAGATCGATCGACCTGGAATCTTCCGTCAATATAAAATCTCCTCTGATCACGAGGCCACCCGGCTACCCGTTTAATTCAATCTGCTTCTATTTCAGTTCGCTGTCTGGAATTAACTGAGAAGCCGCATGGAGGCGTTTGTGCTTGTTGAATTCCACGAGACGTCTTTCACACCCGCCTGCATCCACCCAAGATTTGTACGCGTTCATGTTTAACATCACAAACAATAGTTTAATCAAACGGTTTCAGTGTCCATTTCAGTTCTCAGTTTCACGGGACCCTCCTCTCGTCCAATCTGATTGGTTTTACATAAGAAATCCACCCTGAGATACTGTGGCTCTTATGTACTTCAGCTGCGATTTTGATTATTTTTTGTTATTTACTCCTTGTTAAACTTTGTATTGTATTTCATGTTACGTTTCATCTCTCCAATTAATGAATAAAGGCCAACCGGAGGTGTGAACTGGGTGCAGTTAACGGCACATCATGAAGGATGTGCCGTTAATTGCATTGCTTCTCCGCATGCTGTCCTCACCGTCAGCTGGTCGATGGGCTCCTGCAGCCACAGGCGGATGAGCGTGGCCAGAGTGTAGTAGAGCATCAGCAGGATGATGGGATTGACAAAGTGGTTCCACTTACGCTCCGGGTGCACAATGAGCTTCCATGTGTAGGAGCAGTTGCTCTGAACAATGGGGGAGATGCCAAATATACTGCGGAGACAGACGGACAGACAAAGGGATGAGGACAGGAACAACGACCAACGGATTGACTTGAAGAAAACCAGGAAGCAAGAAGTTGTGTTAAAATACAGGATACATAGTTCAACAAACGCTTGGAATTGTGTTATTCGAGGTGAATATTTAAGGGAAATTGTCCCATGGATTTCATTTGTAAAGAAGATCATACAACCTTATTATTCCAAGAAAATCTATCTTCGTTGTAGAGCTGCAATCATTTGTCCGTTATTCATTTCGTCGGTCGACAATTTTTTTTTGATTGAAACAGAGAAAAATAATTTTTCTTGTATAAATGCCAAATATTGGCATTGGTTGATATTATAACCAGTTGTATATTTGGGCGGTTCGGACGACAATCAAAATAGTTGCAGCCTTTTTCTGTTTGGCTCCCAATTCGCTAAAATAGTTTATGAAGATGCTTTAGACTTCGTTCCTGAGAAAAAAATACAAACCTTTGTTCCATGAATATGTCGTAGAAGTCAAAATTTTATTCTAGAGTCATTGAAAAAAATAGATTGTTTTTGTTGAGAAGAAGCCAATGCATTAAAACTTAATCTTCAATCAGCAGATTGGACGGTTCTCGTTGAGATAAGTGTATTGTTTAATTGACTAAATTAAATCCAGGCCTTTGGCTGCCTCTTTCCTTAAAACTAATTATCGATTTAAGAAACAAAGCCAGGATGGTTGAAGTAAACGCAACAAAAGACTGTAAGAACTGCCGAGTCATGCTGTCTGTGCTGGATAAACATCAGGGGTTCTGCAACCTGGAGGCCGCGACCTTATCTGAGGAGTGTCAGCGCGATGGTAAGGAGTGCAAAAAAAAAGTGCAGCTTCTGAAATGAAGTGTAGTCTAATCTGGACTTTCTGTTTGATGACATTCCTGCAAAGACCATTTCCTTCCACGCACTGAACTTGGAATCTGAAAAATGCAGCAATACAAAAAAAATCTTTTTGCACCTCAAAAGGAAACCATTCGATTCACTCCTCTTCCTCTGAGCAGAACAAAGATCATCCCCTCAGGAAGTGCACCGACGTATTCCGGTGACAACCGCATGGATTCAGATGTCTCCTGAGTGTCTGCCATGCGGAGGGGCAAAGCCCCCCCCCCTCCTCCCCTCTGACCTCATCCCACTTCCTGAAAGGTTTCTTGTGGCAGCTGCGGGGGAAATCCCGCTGGTCACATGACTGGGGACTTCCATTGTGAGGAGGGAAGGCAGGAAGTGGAGTGGAAGCCAGGCCTCTCAACGGCCTCACTCGACACGGGGCCGACGGCAAGGCCGAGACAACTGTCAACGAGCACAATTAGGGCGAGCAACGGGACGGCCTTTTGTCCAGCGGGAGCAGCACGAATTCCCGTTTGTAAGTTTCCCTCAGACGGCGTGTGCAAGGCAACAAGGCGGATCAGAGAAGAGCGTGTTACCTTTATCATCACATCGGGGGGGGGGCCTCAGTGTCCACGTAGCGGCGGACGGAAATACCTCATCGTTGTGGAAAGTCAACATGAATGCACAATGACACGGCCTGGTCATATAAAGAGCTATCCAAGAAAAATCTAACTTATTTAACTTAAGGATTCAGATATTGAATAGTTGATTCACTCACATATTTACTGATCAATTGAAGTAATTGGTCATTTCTGGTAATTATTTAGGCTGGTATTGATTACACCTTCTGATTCATCCTAAAAAATGTTCTGTGCTCTTGCTCTTGGAGAAACAGGTATGTATGTGAAACATTTTATTCTTAAATTTTATTCATAATTTGGAGGGCTCTTCAGGTAGTTTTGGCCTCATGACTGGAAAACGACTGATTTACTCCTTAGTTAATAGAGCGTTAACGGTTTAAAAAGACTATTGATGACCATTCTAACAAGATGTTCATCAATACAGCACTACAACTGCACTTTATCGGCCTTCTGAAGCCGAAGACGGATGGTGAGGGACACGAGGCCGCTTCCTCCATACATGGCTGTAAATAGCCTCGGCCCTGACACACAGAAGCACAGCTTCCCAATGAGAAACCATGAGATCAATAAAAACCTGCTACACCGAGTGCACTGAGATAACATGTGTGAAAAGCTACAATGAGACAACAGCTGTAATGAGACAACAGCTGTATTGAGACAGATGCTTGGAGATTATGGTTAGCATACATACAAGTAATTTATGGCCCAATTCAAAAACCAAGAAAGCACGAGATTTCAGTTCCCTATTGCCTTTAACTTTCTTTCCAAATAAAGTGAAGATGGCTTTTAGGAAATACATGTTATAATAATGTAAGATGGGACATGTTTTACATGTTTGTACATTACATTTTACGTGATTACAATTTCATGTAAAAATATCTGATAGTTCATAATAACTAAATCAATTTTTGACGCATATTTAGACCCAAATGGAGACTGGATACGACCACTGTCCACTGTTATAATAGAGGATTTAAATTTTAGTGGATTATTTTAGCAACTGGCAAATAAGCGGCATTCTTTGCATGCCAGGTTCTCAGTCTAACACAGGGTTTAGTGACTTACGGTACTTTCTGCTACACACTTTGTATTCATCCCAGCTGTGTCTAACTTAAGTCGGCAAGAAGTGCAACGATGTGGTTTTGCTCCGACCGCGACGTTCCGCCGCAGAGGCCACAGAGAGACGATTGTCTCCTCTCTCATGCATATTAAAACAACACCGCTTGTACCGAAGAGCCGGAAAGCGCTGCTTCGCCAATTGATGAGTTTGCGAGAAGGAGTTTGATTGACATTCCCTCCAACTGGGTTTGCCCTTTCTTTCTTGTTTGTACAGATAAGAAATATTTATTATCATTTAAACAAACTTGCCTTGGGTGCAATAAATATTGTAGCGCCAAATGAGCGGTTGCTGCTGAGCGAGTGTCATCACGTTGTGTTACTTTAAGGAGGCAAGTGGCAACAATTCATCACAGAGGCATGAGATCTAACAAAAGTACATTTTCTCAAGCTCCAACCATCATTCACTGCTGCATAAAAAGTATTTTGATTAAGTTTGTATTCCATTTATTTCAGGAGCAAAAAAGGATGTCAGTTTTGAATTGGGAAAATAATCCAAACGTAATTAACACGTGTTTTGATCCGAACCTTGACACCGGCAGAAAATGAACACAGACGATTTTGTGTGCGATATTAAGCGTGCATGTGTATCACCTGATGTAATAATCGTCTGGCGGTATGGACTCCTGGAAGAACTGGAACTGGTAGAGGTAGAGGACAATGAGGTGTCCCCCGCTAAAGATGGCCATCAGGACGCACATGCAGCTGAAGATGAGCGTGTCGAAGGTCCGGCAAAGGGACCACCAGGTGCACAGGAAGAGGAAGAGGAAGAAGTAGACCGCTGAAGTCAACGACGGCAGCATGACACCTGAAAACACCAGAGAAGGAACACAAAGTCAGAGTTCTCATTTACTTATCCACATAGGATAAGTTGTAATAAAATCTAAATGTAAATATTTGATCCAAATAGACCACAACACTTCAGTTGTTATTGGATTTAATTATATAATGTCGGAAATGGTGGACAATTTCTTTCCTTCATTTCCTAAACGTTAAAACACAGATTTTTCACATTTTAATGTGCAAATGATCCATTAATGAGCTATTGAGCTGGTTTTGCAGGTTTTATCCCATGCAAAAAAGAAAACTCAAAAGGTTTGTTGTAAGCAGATAGATGTATTCATTTGTAAAATCCACTACTTGTTAAACGTTTTACTGTTCCTTAAATGTTTTCTAAATGTATTCCTTTTTGATTTTTTTAAGATCACCTGTCAGGCCCAACAAGATGGTGACCACCACCTTCCCTGCCGTCGTGATCAAGTTCCCGATTATCTCCTTCACTTTGGACGCAGCCTCCGCCACAATCCGTAGGATCTTCCTCTTGGTGCTCTCCTTTGCCTCTTCCTCTTCCTCCTCCTCCTCTTCCTCCTCCTCCTCTTCCTCCTCCTCATATTCTTCATCCTCCTCGGCCTCGTATCCCGCTTCAAAGTCCTCCCCTAAATGGATGTCGTCGTCGAGGCTCAGCTTCTCCTCGTCTTCCTTTGGGATCACAGACACATCAGGTTCCAGATTAGAACGACTTGCAGGTCGGAGCTCTCCGTGGTGTTGAAAACACCTTTCTAAACATGTGCTGATTGAAGTATGAAGTACATTTCTATGGGCTACTGCTTAAACAAATGTGCCTCATTTGTAATTCAATGTTTTGCTTCTTAATTTGAGTCATTCGTTTTTTAGCAAAAGTCTAGCTAATCTGAGAAAATTGTACCTACTCCTCTTACTTTTTTGCGCATACGTGTTCAAAAGTTACCCGCTTATTCTAAGAGAACAACTATGTCCAAAATGTTTTATTTTGTCACGGAAAAATACCATACAATACAATAATTGAGGATTTTGTGCTTTATTTACTGATTGATAAAATTCTAGTGAATATCTTCTGTTTTGGACTGCTGACTGCAAATAAATTGAAAAATAATGCAACAATAAATACAAAATATAAACTAAACAGAGGCCTCCCTCTTTCAAAGACAACCTGCTTTATTATACGTCTATTAAATAATCAAATAAATAAAATCATGTGCGTGGATGGAAAGTTCGGACATTGTTATGTTTTGTCACCATAAATCAAACCCACTTGTTCCTCGGCTTCGAAGTCGGCGTTGTCCTGGGCCATGTCCTCAGGCGGCCTCTTCTGGACCAGACTGCGGCACAGCAGCCAGATAGCCAAACCGGCCACGAACATGCCGATGTCGGGGATGAACACGCGGATGCCGTTGCCCGGATCTGCACCGATCACGCTGGAGACAAACAGAGGAAACCACGCTGACAGAAAGCAAGCACACCAAAAGAAATGTGGGATTTGGAACAATATTGCGGGAGAGCGACCAAATGTGGGGAAAACGGGGCAGAGAACAAGAAAGGAGTCTTAGATAACGGCGACCAATAACTTGTAGTGGTTGTCCCAATCTGTGTTCATGTGGAACTGGAGGGAATAATGTGGACATTATTGCAGAAATTTCATCTTTCAGAGAACACGCATATGTTCACATGGGAATCGGGATTCTTTTTCCATTATTTAGCTGCTGTTTTAATACGTGTTGAATTCTTTAGCTTTTATATGGAGTACCACCCAGTTTAATTAAATCAGGCTTGGTGCTTTAAAAGTGAGTGAAATTCCATTCAAACAAAAAAGCCGTGAGAGAGTGTGGGTTTTCCTTTTTCCCTTGGAAATTGCCTCCTTTGTTCAAAAGAACTTGTGAGATTTTTTCCCTAACTAAACTGCTCAGAGTCAGAGGCTATGAAACTACCTTCGATTTTTACAAGTCGAATGTGTTAAATTAAGTTATGTTGATGAACATAGACATCTTACCTTTTTGGACTATTCTCAAACACAGCGGATAATGATACGCTTTACTCTGCTACACACTGTGTGGGTTTTTCATTAATTGACTGGATTGACTGCCATTGTTTGCCCTGTCGTTATATTGATGTGAGTAAACAAAGCTTTTGTAATATTCGTTATTTGATTAGTCTGCTCACCTTTAACTAAATACGAGAAAGTTTGTTCAAACAGGAAGCTTAACAGTGGCGGACGACTGTTGCCAGGAGAGCTACGCAAACACCAGGATTCAATCCACTAAAATGTTTTCATGCTGCCTCAAGTTTTATGAGGTGTCATGATTGCATTTCCAATTAAGCAAATGAAAATTGTCCTTGAAATGGCTAGCAGGTTTCAAAATCTTTAAAGCTCACCATCCAAACCAATTTCTATTTCAGTTTTACAACGATGACACGTCCCGTGTTTGGCCACCAAAGGGTTTTCTTAGCATTTCATAATGAGCTGTTTTATTAAACTGTTTACAATAAAGAAAACATACTGTTGATGCTGCAGAGAGAAAGCTGACCAAATGTTTAAAGCAACTTGACATTTTTAAACAAAACCCATCTCATTCTGGCCTTGAGTGCATTTAAAGTTTATAAAAGTTAACATGTTCACAAATGAAGAGCTAATCAAACGATGGAAAACACAGAGCCAGATAAATAGTTGGAGTTTAATCCAATCAAGGACGTCTGTTTCCAAGCGCTCTATTGTCGCGAAGCTTCGTGCATCCTCACGTGATTAAAAGAGATGGAAACTATCGGAGCCAGAAAGGGTTTAGTGAGCCAGCAACTGTAATGATTACTACAATAACATTAGCAGTGCAAAGGCCTGTCCTCACCGCCTCAAGCTGCAGGGGGAAAATGACAAATACAGAGGCCACAAAATACGTTCTAAACCATAAGAATATTTGATAGTTACAAGGGATTTGAAAAGGTCAAGCTTGAGGATACTCAAGGATCTGTGTGGTTAAAAAAACAGCTGTGAATTTGCTTTAGACTCCGTAGATCCGACATCAGCTTCTGCATTTTCCCCCAGATGGGCCATAAAAGGGAGACAGCATCCGCCTCTGCAGCTGTAAATGTTGTGTATATACTGTACATGATCACCAACACAAACAGGTAAATGCAGGCGGGATCAAATGTTTATGCTCCACTTCCGCCACTTACAGCGTTCTGTCCACCGAGGGGTGTTGAGTACTGGAAAAAGGATGCTGCCGAGTTTGGGACATTCCCGTACTTAGGAAACCGCATCTAACGCGATCACGGCGGTGTGAGGAGACGGACGCAGCGGCAAAAGCTTTGAAAAGTAGGTCCGACGGTCAGACATAACTGGGTTTTGCGGGCCAGCGCGGTTAAATGCAAAGAAGGGGTGTTTAATACTATTGTGGAGTTGCTGTATTTAGAACACTCTGCACAAATGATGGAGGAAAACCCTCTTTTTTTTGCTGTTGATTTTGAAATCCTCATAAAAAGTTCTGTTTATATTGCTGTCTCTCCCTTTCATCAACAAAAGCTCATCACTTAAGAGGTATTTCCCAATTGTGGGAAATATTCAAGCTGTTAAAGGAAATCCACACATGTACATCTTATGCAATACAGTTTGTTTTTTTCCATAGATTCTTATCAAGTTTCCTACATTTTACTTAATAAAATTACTAATGTATTTGTTGTGAAAGTGTTGAATTCATTATTATCTTACCTCTCAAAGCCAACCTGTCTTATGGATTTCTCCCAGTTGGAACCTGGACAAAAACAGCAAGTTAGTGAGTCATTTATTAATTTTAAAATATAATTTTCTATTATAGTCATTTAAAAAATAATCAAGCATTTAAACAAAACTTATATTATATTATATATATATTATACTAATATTCTGTTCCGGGTATAGATAATGCAGGTAAACTGATGTTTATGATTCGTAAATAACTGTCGTAATAGCCATGAGAGAAAAACATTTTTTCCCCTCTGATAAAACCATTAGTAATAATAAATAATTTTTTTACTTCACCTTTTCACTTAAAAACAGGTTTTTGCTGCTACTGTTCAGCTAAAATGTGAAATATCTCAATTCTAAAAGTGTCAAGAAAAGAAAGAAGTCAACCATTACTTCGGGACGATGACTGTCTAAAAGGGTTAAAACTACAGCAAATATTTCTCAATTTAAGTGGTGATTGTATCGTTAATAGATAGTAATAATAGTAAATGTCACTTGCTACAATACGTACGGCTACAAGCAGAAAACAACTGTCCAAAGAAAATAAGAAGGTGTTCTCCGAAATGACGCACAGACTTACAAGTCTGTAAAGAAATGACTCAGGCGGTTCGGCACTTTGTCAGAAACAGGAAACTCTGAATTCCACCCCAGGTGAATAAAACGTTAATGGACTGTCTGTGCAAACCTCAACGTTCCTTTATTACTCATCAGTGAATAAATAACTCCCCGAGCTCACGCTATGTGTTGTGTGTTCGGGGGGGTAGAGGGGAAGACGGCGGAGGGTCGGTTGGTTCTAAATAAATTAGGACACCGTATGTTTTTGGGAGGAGTCCACATAACCAACCTCTGACATAACCTCTGACATCCGACGCTAAGAGCCGTCCTCCGTCCGCCTCCTCGCGTCCACTCCCGCTTTAAAGTGCTCAGAGACCCAACTGTGATGCAACACACCACAAGGTGCAACTCTTAAAGAGGCAACAGAAGTTATTCTACATGTATTTTGATATTTATTAGCTCCAGTCTAATGGTATATTTTAAATTATTCTAAAAGTAAAATCATCTTATATTGCTAAATATTATATTATATATAGTTATAATATATAATAATAATAATAATATATTATATAATGATTAACAAATGTATTTTGGGCCTAATGGTTATGACACATACTAAATAACTGCTTTATTCTGTTATTATAATTGAGATGTTTTTGAGAAAAATCCTCCTCAACCTACTAAATGTTAAACCGAAATTCCTGCCAAAGCTGAAAGACTTATTGATCGATATCATCAATATTAATATCTTATCAAACAATTAGGTCATGTAATCAATTTGTTAGTCATCCCCCATATAACACCAGATTTGGCATCTTTAAATATTATTTAGGCATTCCTACCTCATTGTTTAACTTTTATAGCCAGCACACAGACCTCGTGTTTGCGTCGCACTAATCCTCCTCCCCAAATTAAACCACGGGCAGTAAACAATGCCAGATAAGGCAAATAAATACTAACGGTCGGTGGCTGGTAAGGGAAGTCAAACATTTAACTAGCGAGTTAAAGACACTAAGGACTCTGTTTTTTTTCTCAGGACCGAGGGAGGGAGGAGGAAACCAGACAGTTTGACACGAATAGGACTGAAACGAAGAGGTGACATGCAGTCCCACAACATTCCCATGTACAGGACACCATAATGAAGGAGATCGGGGATGGGTGTGGTGCTAGAAGTAAAGGGGCACACACTTTTTTATTATTACCAGCTACTTGCTTTTTATTATTTTACAGTTATTGGAGCCTCGGGTCTATAAAAGTAGCTACTTTACAGTTTGTGTTATTTCAAATGAGCCTGATGCGCAGGAAATATGGTTCACTAATGTTGTTCTAATCCACATTACTCACCCACAAAAGGTTTATAAAAAGGCCACGGACACATAACTTAACGCCCCATTTAAAGTTTGCAAACATCTGCAGCACGCAGCTTCACCCGGCACGGACTGAGATCACGGGCGAAAGAGGGAACCGACGTTGTGCGCGAGGCCCGAGGTAAAGTCGGCGTGCAGTCGGATCCATAGGCGGAGGAGAGGAATGCTGCGTGATGCAGCCTGAACTCAGCGTGCAGCCTTCCGGAAAAGTGTTTGAGACTTTCTGCCCATCGAAGGCGAGGCCGCTTCCCCCCCCCTCCAGCAGAGCACCGAAAGAACCCGTCCTGGGACTTTACGTGTATGTCATAAAACACCTTTTGTACTCGCTGGGCCGTTAACCTCCCAGCACAGCGTTTCTTTGCACCGTCTCTTCTACGGGGCCTAATGCCTGTTGCCCTTTTTCCCGCAGAGACTTGTGATTTGCAGCGTCGACATTTATGACCGTGATCAGGACGACCGGTACGCAGAGTGAGAGTTCAGTAAATGTCTCATATTTAGAGAATGGTGGGTATATGTGTGTTTGCAGAGGTCAACAATGCCGTCTGCGGGACTTAAAAATGAAGGCTACCTCAGAGGAACTGGTCGCCAAAACAGCCAGTTTATTCTCAATGAGCTGGCAAAATATCCATCGCTATCAGATACGATCCGAATCAAACGTGCGAAAAAGCGTTTGCATAGTTTGTTTGCATAGTTTGTTTGAACCTTCTTTATCTCCAGATGGACGGGCGTCGTACACGGGCGTCGTACACGACTGCCAAAGAGTTAAGACAATCACAGGAAGGTATTTTCTATCTGGTGTTCTTTGACATTTAGTACGAATTGCTTGTGACCCAAAGTGGTGGGAACTGCATTTACAAACACAGGAAAGACAGATGATTCTAAAAAGGAAGCTCATCGGGTGACCGTTCACTGGCCTGATGCAACACCTGTGGGTGTCAGCCGGTTTAGAGAAGGGGCTTCTTCACTCAAACCAAACTCAGCTACTGCTCTAATGGCGTATTTGGCCGCGGGGAAGGAGGGAAATGATGTGAAGCTATCTGGAGGGAGGATAACCGCTTCACCGCAGAAGGAGGACTTCTTGTTTATACTCGGGTGCCAAAAGGAAAAGGGTGTCGAGGGTCGGGGGTTGGTGGGGGGGGGGGGGGGGGGGGGGGGCCCAAATATGAAATTCACAAAAATAAGAGCGCCGCCCGGGGGCTCTCGTGTAAAGCGGTGCCCAAAAAAAAATCACAACGGTGGCACCGACTAATTGTTGTCAATCCGCCCGCATGATGAACAGATTATTGCTTTACCGGTGCGTTTTACCAAAATAGCGCGGATAACAGTTGCAAAAAATGACCCCAGTGTGTATTAATTAATACACATTAAAGGGCCAATGGAGCTTCATGTTGTACGGTTGAAGCAAAACCCTGAGTGCTTTGAATGACAGTTAACAATAGGCAGATAACGTGGTATTTTGAGATAATTATTTGCTGTGACAGTATGATTTTCATCTTTAAAAACAAATATGTAGGCATACTTGGCACGTTGATGGTTTAGGCGAAGAACGTGCAACTGACTTTCCGTACTTCTTTCATATATTATTAGTTTATTGTCAATATAGATTTCTTTAGATTGTTGAAGTCTAGATTCTAGATTCTTTGAGCAGAACTCAGAGATACAAGGATCCTTGTTATCTTCCTATTCTTTTTTAGTGCAGCTGATGTGCGTGCCTCCCTTCTGACAACTGTGTATGACTCAAAACATTGTTATGAAAAGGCTAAACGCAAAGTTATGGATTGAAGAACATGTTGTGGCTTCAGGAGATTAGTTCATCTTTCTCTCTTTTTAAACTGCCGCCCCCTTTCAGCAAATATTTTTCCCCGAGTGAATATTTAGTCTACTCTCTATTTTACCTCCTGCTGTAAATGGAGCATTTCTTTCCTTTCTTCTGTGTGGAAACTTTCTTTGGTGATGCACAACTCTGTGACACTGCATCAATCAGCTCAGGTCAGAGTTTAAGCACCAATCGGTCAGGGTGATGGATGGGACACACATGTGCACACAGTCCCTGGAGAACATTAGAGATGTCACAGCGTTGATCTCAGTGTGAGTGACCTGTCGAGGAATCGTGGTCTGATTGTTGTTCGGACCACCTGAAAATGTATATACTCGACCATCCAACCCCCGTCTCTGACCGATTAAGACCCGTGACATGTGCTGGACCACAGAGACACCGTTAGAGGATCTGAAGAACTGTGACTGATCGGTTTGGGATGCCGATGGAGGTTGGGAAAAGTTAAAAAAAGGCCCGGGTATCTTCTTTTCAGTTAAAAGCGTCGAGTAAAGATCTGTGCGCGGCGAACCAAGTGCTCCCCACTATTGTTATTGAAACAACGTACGCAATAGCAACCGCACAGAGTAATCAGAAATGCTCAGATATGAAACAAGGTGGACTGGCACAACCATTGTTAATACCACAGTGAATGAAAGGCAACAACTATGTGAAATCCAGTTAAAGTTTGTTATCTGCAGGAGTTTAACCGCAAATGAGTTTAAAGGATTTATTGGTGTGTTGACTTCCCTAAAAACAAAAGGTTTGCACAAAGCAAAAGCTGAATTGCGGATTCTCGACCTCGCAGGACGCTCTGATTTCTACGCGAAACCAACGTCAGCACCTCCGGAGCCTCGTCCATGACGGCTGCGGCGTCCTTTACTCACAGTTGAAGTCAGATGAGATGGAGTTCCCGGACAGGAGGCTGTTGACGGTAATCTGATAGATGATGTGGAGCAGCAGGAAGGACATGCTGGTGAAGCAGAGGGACTGCAGCAGGCGTCCTGTGTGGCCTGGGGAAGGAAAAGCAGCTACAGTGAGTTCACCAACACCACTTAGTTTAACGATTTCCACATGTTACTTCTGACGTTCATGCATTGAAAGCCGGAGAAGGTCTCTTTGTGGGTTTCTCAAGCCCCTGAGAAGCTTGCCAAGCTTTTTTAGCGCTGTAGTACAAGTATTTCTGAAAAAACAACGATCAATGTTCATGTGATCAGCTGGGAGGTCAGGAGCCTGTTCTTAATAAATTAGTGAGTTGTTTCTGTGGATCATAATACGTAACCTGGCTTAAGAGCTGACAACACTGCAGTACGTGAGTAAGCTTATTTCTGTGGAAAAGTCAAATAAACATTCTGGTGCACCACAAGACCTCTAACTTTCTATAAGTTATCGTAGAAGGAGCCAAATTGATGCTTCGGTTTCTTGGCTTTCTGCTGTCAAGTGGCCGTTACTGACGCCGGGAGGGAAGGATGAGCCGTCTGCCACAGCTGTCCAACACATGGCTATTTTTATAGCGCACCTACAGGTATTTGGGATCATTTCAGGAGTTTTTATGGTGATCCGTACTTACAGTAGTGATTTCAGAGACCCACACTCGTGTTAGTTAGAGTGAGTTCAAAACTAATGAACCTCAAGGAAGAACAACGTTGATGGAAGGATTCTTCTTTGGTCAAGAGATGATGGCAGTGGCTCCTCCTGCGCCTATCGTCAGTCCTTAAATCGTCCCACATCTCTGTGCTGTGTTGTTCGCTGGTTCTTCGCAGGGCAACATCTCTGTCTCATTAAATTTACTGCATCCTTGCAGGGAACTTTTGTTTTTTACTAGAGTACATTGCACAATATCCTGGCTGAGGTGGAGCACCGCTGCGCAGCCTCAGGCCATCGACGGCGAACCTTATCAAATGTGTGTGACAATAGGCCGTGGCAGGCGGATTAAATGAAGAAGTGAAAAGAAATGATCATCCCAAGAGTATGTTTAAAGTTTGCTAAAACAGTGGGCATTGTTAAGTTTTAACAATTGCAGTTTTTCCCCTTATCAATCAGAGACCAGGAGCCATTTGACAACTTTAAGAACATAGTTTAACCACATCGTGGCGTCAGAGAGGGAAAATAAAATGTTTTCAGCTCAATCAATTGGTCTTTTTGAAAGACTGAAACCAATATTGTCCATGACATCATCATTTACTAGTTACTTTTTAAGATTGTTAATAAAAAGTATTTATATGAAGTAGTTAGCTTCATCTTTACCTGCTGCATCATTGGTGATTTGTATATATAAATACATCAAATATTAAACCAGTGACGATAAATTTTTCCAATGCTCCGTTCTGCATAATTAATATTACTTTAAGTATATTTTGGTTCCATCACTTGAGTAAGATTTTTGATGCGGAACATTTACTTGTCACGCAGTATTTCAACACTGTGATGTTGCTTTTACTTAAGTAAATATCTCCGCCACGGCCTCGCTGACAACAAAAAAGTATGATAAATGATGGATTTTAAAAAAAGGACAAACTAAAAGATGTGTTACGACCAGACATCCTCCTTCAAAAGGTCTACCAGCTACAACATAAACCTCATCAATCAGCCATAACATCAATTATTTACGAAGATTCAATGAGTCGTACAGCTCTACAAATGCTTGCTGCCCATATGAGAGAGACACAGTTTAGATTTTGTTCACCTCCACTGATAATTGAATGCCTTTAAGGGTGTGCAGAGCCAAATATTGCGATCACAACATTAGAGAGTAAATCACAACCACCAGCGATTGTTAGTCTCCTCCCGTGCGCTTGAACATCTCTGTGCAGACCACACTGCCGCGGCGTCTTCGAGGAAATGACTCCTGATGAATTATTCATGTCAAGCATTTGGTTTAAATTAACTTTACAGATTGAAGATTGACAAGACGAAATGAAACATAGCATCCAAATAAAGCACAGATTTACAATCCCTCGTTCAACTCCCTCTTAAAACATTGAAGAATGAAGAGTTCTGCACGGAGAAATGTGTATACTTGATCACTTTGCAGTTACATTAGAACTAGAAAAGGTTAAATGGATATTTGATAATTGAATGTTGTAAATACTGTCACAATTATCCTCAACAAGCTTATATTTGGAATTATAAAAATTGTACTAAATTGTACTAAATTAATTTATTTCAATAACCAGACAATGTACCTTAAATGCTTTCCATCATGTTATAAGCGGACTCAACCGGTTACTAAGACCAGGGTCATTGAAACAACCTCATACTGTTCATCCCTGACTGCCGTTTCCCTCCCTGATGACTGAGGCTCAAAGATGTTCAGGCAGCTGTTGGAACAACGTCTAAACATGTGTAATTTCCACTTCTTTTGTGCTTTGCTCGTACATATGATCGTTCCACAGTGTAAACACATCCTTTAACATTTGTTTGAAAGGTGTCGCCGTGATAATGATGTAAAAAAAGGATTATTGCCTCTAATATGACAAACAATCATTATCAAATGGTAATTAGGAAAAAAAGATATTATAATGTCAATTTGTCACAATATAGCAGCTGTAGTGTTAAGACAATGTAATCTAACCACGCAGTGAAAACACTGCCTTCAATGGCAGAATGGGTGGGATATCTTCTCTAAATTACCATGACACCTAATTATAGGCTGAATTAACTTTATGTGAAATATAATGGTTGTCATAACCAAATTATTAGGGAAGCTAATTTTTTTTTTTTTTTTAAGAGATACGCTTCAGGTTTGATTTTTTTTCCGTCTGATTGGTGTCGAAGTGTCTTTTGCGGATTCATGTCAATTAGCGTTGACCCGCGTTGGAAGTCAGCAGCCTCACTAGAAGACTTCTCTCTTTAACTATTGATGAAGGTGTAAGTGGTCCACTTTCTCTGCTCCTTCCTCACTCCTTCACTTCCTGATTGTTATTTCTGCTGGAGACGACTCTCGGGCCGCCTGCCGTTTCCTCCACCAATACGGGTTTATGTATTATTAAACACTGCATGTGGTCTCTTGCAGATAACCCCATATTAAGTGAAGTGTTTTGCGGTGAGGTGAGTGCATAAAGGCGCTCCTGAAGTTGCCGGCCGCGAACCCACATTCATCCCCCGAAAGGAGACCCGTCCCCCTCACTTGGCCTCGGAGGCTCAGGTTATATTTATATTCCTTCCCTTCAGCTATTTCCTAAACCAAAATACCAAAGAGCCAAATTAATAAACTTTGCTTCAGCTGAATGAACTAATAATACTTCAATTGAATGCAGATTGTGTTATTACAAAAAGGAAGCCGTCGCAGGAATTTATGGAGCCTTGGGAGAAACTTTTATTTCCTCAGTGGTTATTGGCCATTATCAGAACGCCCTCATCTCAACGCTCTTTATTTTCCTCCTAAGGACATTTTACGGGCTCCTTTTGGTGTCTTCTTCTGACCGCACAGTGGGTGTGTTCAGTTTTTATCATCTTTATGGACGATTATCTGAGCAAATAAACCAAACCTAAGCCTAACATGTCCATTTCCATCCGGTGGAGGTTACATCTGGTTCCAAAAGAATCACGTCTTTCTATGTCCGTCCTGCTCGGCCCTGGATCACTTTTATTATAACAGATGGACTCGGGCCCGTACAAACCGATATTACCTTTCATGGGCTGAACTGTGTGCCAAATCCATCCTCATCTCAAGGAAAGTCAAGGGGGGGGACGAAGGGGCTGGTTTACATTAACGGGGGGAACAATATCGCCGCTCACACAGGCTGGCTTTTGAGAACCGCTCAAGATTGTCCGGGCGATAGACACAGCCGAGGCCATCGGACGAGTGAGGGATCAAAGGGCGTCACGGCGGAGGTCTTACCTTGCATTGTGGTGCTCGTGGGCTCTGCGAACAGCGGGATGAGCAGGAGATAGATGAGGTAGACGAAGGAGAGGGCATTGTACCTGAACAGGCAAGCTGCACAAACACAGAGACACAAGTGAAGATTGAACAGACAAGCCATTTGAAGACCACCGATTCAACGGCGTCTTCGTCTCCGCGAGAGAAGCTGGCAGCGGACCACGAGCCGCCTGATCAGGAGTCGTCGTTGGCATCAGCTGATTTGGGAGAAACACGGTGGTGAAACTCGTTAAAATGTTCCTGATGTGGAAGAGCTGCTAATTGGTCATAAAAAGCCAGAACATTCCTTTTAACCAATTGCAAACCTCATCATCTTTTCATCTGGCCTTCATCACAAAAGGAGCACCGGGCTTAGTGTTTGTTTGGAAGTGAAATAGGCACCAGATAGTCCTCGGGTGTTAAGAGAGACACTTAACTGAGCAGCCTGCGGTCAGCTCAGCTTCTCCCTGCGGTTTACTGCCCCGCAAAGCAAAGCTTCACATCAAAAGTTAAGGTTTGACGAAGCAAAGAACCTCATAGTATTTTCCTGCGCTGTGATCACTGTTAAAACTGGATCGTTATTTTATGAGTAAACTCTACAACAACAAACACACGCACAGGATTTCCTTCAAATTTGAGATGGGGCCGCTGTGTTTTGAAAACAGGAAAACAAGTTTTGGTTGGCAAAACATTAAATGGAACACGGCCGCATGGAGCACAGAGAGTGTGAAATGTCACCACCAGTGTCTGAAAATGAGATAACACGGTTTTAGTCTTTGTGATCAAGGCCTCAAATGAGATTTGAGAACCAATAAAACGTTACATTTTTCCGTGTGATTTATTTTCTTTATATCATTTCATTTATTCCAGGGATCCATGTTAAGGAATGGATATAGGGCAACCAGTCAAATTAAAGAACATTGCTCCACTATAAGCAAACAGTTTCCCCAGTTCTTTCATATTTTTTCATTGTATTAACCTGTACAAATAACGATTATTACCAGCTGGGTGCAACTTATCAAACGTAAGCGCTTCTCCCTTTTATTTCGATTGTAAATTGCCGTTTAGACGACAAAATCAGACACATTTTTAATAAATAGATGAATAATGAATAATTCTTAATTGCACCCTTTGCTTAAATGCAATGCTCACTTTCAGCATTTAAGTGTCACTATAACACACTAAATTATGTAACTCCACACTTTACAGAAAGAACACACGCGTACACACACACACACACACACACAAAGGAAGTCTTCTGATCTCATGATGAAAGTTACAACACTTAAGTGTAAACATGACTTCTAAAAAAAACAGTAATTGATGTATTGATCGGTAACGTGCCTCATTTCTTAGTGAGATTGACCATTTGCAGTCAAACCCATCACACAACCTGCTGGCTAACGGGTCCAAAGTGATGCACGCTGTAGCGAACACTTACCCGTTTCCCCTCGGAAGTCTGCAAGAAACGCAGCTTGAGCTCTTTTATTTATTTATTTTTTTACAACCACGGCTGTAAAATCAACTCCAATTATATTTCACCTTTGCAACGGTTGCAACTCGCCGTTTTTCAGCATGCACTAAATTTATAATTATCGCCTTCCAGTCAAACATTTCTTGTTTCTCCTCATTTTGGGGTCAGGAGGAAAGGGAATACATTGAAGTACACAGTAACCTGGTACAAAATGTGGACACACTCCTAAATTTTTCTCAGCAGTTATATCAACAAGCGCGGGGGTTTACAAGCAGGTCGGCTGCATGAGTTACCGCCAAAGTCACAGAGATCTGCTCGTCTGGGTTGCTACTGGTCTTGAACTGCTGAAAAAATGACATTTCACTGCTGAAAATGGTGCTTGTATTTAACTTTGGCCACTCAATGGAACTATTCATTGACATTTGACTTTTGGCTCGGACTTTTCCCTTGCTGGAGCTCGACAGTAAGTGAACCTCCCAGTTTTTCTCTGTGCTCGGATACGGAGCGAGGGAAAGCTTTCAAAAGTGAGTCAATGTTATCCTGACACTTTGTGAAAACCACCAATATCTCTAGATAATGGGATTTTTTAAAGTTTGCACAAACACTTGATTTGCCAGACTGTCCAATCACCAACATAATATCATTATTGTTTCCTTTCCTAACAATTCAATAAGTTGACATATAATCTTACTTTTTTTTGGCTAACAGCACAATTTCTTCATTTAATGTAGCATGAAATAAGCCCTAAAACCTGCCAACGCTGGTAGTCCGGAGCCTGTAGCTCACATTATTTATCCGTTTGAATCTATAGTAAGTCATTTTGTCTCGGGTCATCTATCTTTATCTACATGGCTCTTCTCCCCGTGTTGCCTGCAGACACTTGACCGCAGTCTTCCCGACCGTTCCGCCTTCGCTGGATGACTCATCATTTGAGGATTTCTTCTACACAGGGAGTAAAAAAAATAAACCGCCATTGTTTGCAGACATCAGATTACTGCAAATCCACCCTCCCATTTACGTCTGAATCAGGCTTTGGTCTCTCCCAGGAGAAGTTATTATACCCGATACACAAAAGGCAGAGTCTTGAATGTGAAATCAAAACCAGCTGACTTGAGAGTTTGAGCCCAAAAACATAAAAGTCACGGTAGAAGATAAGGTGGTGCGGTGCCTGGCCGGACAAAGTACTGGCCGATAACAGAGGAATTTATACCCCTCTGAAGAACGTAATGAAGAACATACCACATTAACTTACATTAGCACCACTGTGCAGAGCTTTATGGTTTTCATCGGACTAATTACTGGGGGAAAATATGAGCCTTTCAGGTGATGCGATATGCCTTGTTAAAGAAACTCATTTCATCCAGTGAGGCAACCAATTTACAGTATTGATCGTCACGGTTTGGTTGAAGGAAAAAAGGGATTCACGTTTGATGATGACTGTAGACTTTTGGGCCTCTTTGCTTAAAAATATATTTTCGAAAAACATGTAGTACCATGTAGTAAACATGTGTACCTTTGTGCTTATGATGGTAAACATAAAGCAGCAGGAGGCTATAGCAGCGATACAAAAGGACAAGAGCAGCTAGGTCACAAAGTCAACTAAAGTTTTGCTAACAATAACTCAGTGAACTTTGTCCAAATTCAAACCTAAAGCATCATATTTTCATCCTGCAGCAACCTGCCTCAGACTCAGCAGCACATCGGAGCTCCAGCTCCATCTGTACATTCACAGCAGAAGTTCGATATCGGGTCAGACACTTGCCTCACATAATCGTGTTCACGCTCCAAACTCTGCCGGTACACACGTAAACAGCGTCCTGTTTGATCAGCTAAAGTGTAGCTGTGTGCAAATGTGTGTGTGTGTGTGTGTGTGTGTGTGAGTGTGTGTGAGTGAGTTAGGGGGTGGTAGAGGAGACTGTGTACACATGGGCCCAGCAGTCCTCTGCTTTTCAATAGAGGTGCTGTCAGATGGCCAACAGGAAGCACAGACTTTGTTATGTCAGCAGAGAAGTCTTTCACTGTAGGACAGGAGTAAGAGACGGCGTGCATATACGTGTATCGCACTACATAGAATATGCACTGTAACGGTGGGGAGTCAGATAACATCTGTCCTGCTGCCGTTCTGTTGTTCCCGAGAGGCCAGGAAATACTTTGCACCAAAGCCAGAAATGTGAACACGTGCATTTAAGCCCTAAGAGGCAGAAAAGAAATTAAGCTTCAAATGATCTTCCAGCAACAAGTGTTGCAAATAATACAGAAAAAAAACAACAGCTGATGGGTTGACGGTTATTGACGAACATCGGAATCCATTCACTTTAAATGAAAGAGATCAGCTGTCAAACAAATCAATGAAGGAGAGTAAGCGGCCGATCGGGTGATGCTGATGGCAGAAATAACCTCTCTCGCCCCCCGACGCAGTCGGTTCCTGTGCATTTTCCCTTCTTTCCGCTCTACATTTCCTTCATCCTGTCAGTTACAGTGAAAAGCAGCAGCAAATGACAAGTGCTCATTTGCACTTTGAAAAAACATAAAATATTAAAAGGTATGTTTACGATAAAAGGGAAAGGCAATTCTTTCCTCCCTCCCAACCGTATTATTAATTCATACTGTTAAAACGACTTTCCACGTATTAATGGAGACGATGCGTGGCCCCACAATTGCTTTTGGAAATAAAAGGAGCCGTCGGCCCGTCAAGTGATGCATTATGGTGGTACTGAGTGGGTCTTCTCCATAGAAAGCCTGCTGTTGGCTGTAAAAGTACCTCACGCCCATAAGTCTTACAAAGACACCACAGTGGTCAGACACTCATCATTTTTCACTTGCGGCCTACCACAGAATTACAGATTAAAACACAAAGTAATTGTGTGAATTTAATAGTCAGCGCGGTGTGATCACGCCTCGAGCTCCGTGCCAACAAACTCTAAATCAGCGGTTAAGAGTGTCTTCGGAGACTTTTGCAAAGCCTGTTTAGAAAATAAAAATCCCCCTTGAATCCGAATAAAGCCGACGCGTTTGGCAGTGGGTCATCTGATAAATCTGCATAAAACATGTGGCTCTAACACGGCCATCGAAATGTTAATTAACACTATCAACACTATAGGCATCTACTGAATGTCCAGTCAGCAGCAAAACAATCAATAACAAGACTGATGGTTAAAAAAAGCAAATCAGAACCCACGCTTGAAACAACATTCGTTTATAATGCAACAAAAATGTACATAACAGTTTAACTGCAATTTTAACAGTTTGAGCCCCAAAGGCAGCTTAGCCATTTCTGTAAAATAAACTATTATCAGTTCATTGATTTATTTATGTTTTATTTAAATGAGAGAATGAGAGAAATATGCACTTGATGTTTCGTTGTCATTCCTTTTACTAAATAAAATAAAGACTAGACAGCAGGTACACCAGAGCTCTGGTCTTTTATTCACATATAACAGCCCATGTGTGACACTCACTTTTAGGGTGCACCCGCACCTCAGCAATAGATTAACGAAATGCGTGACCTTTGGCATCACCGGGTCAATCACCAATCCCAATTATGTCACCTCGGGGTTTGCACATCACCGCAGAGCGAAGGAACAGCAATAATTCAAATAGAATACAACACTCACCAGCTGCGAGACACATCGGCAGCAGCAGCCTGAAGACCAGCCCGCACACCACCTCGGAGGCCATGGCTCCGGCCGGCCCGGGTTCAATTCAGGGGGAAAAGTAGCCGGGGATTTGTTCTCTCTAGGGCTTCTCTTGCATCCCTCCCCCCTCCTCGTCCCCCCAAAACTCCTGCGCCTGGTCAAAGCTCAGCTGAGATTTGCGCTCCCCCAAACGGCCACATCGGCTCTGCGCGAGGACACCTGGGCTCCGCTGGTTATTCCACACTGAAGAGTCGCGTATTCGGCCGGTTTCGCCGCCGTGGACACGTCACGTCACGGGGGGGTGATGTCACCATGGTTGGTTTAAGTTTCTCAGGTGCGTCAAAGTCATGTTTGATGCTCGGGGCGCGCGTGACGCCCCGCGTGGGAAAAACGCCGCAAGGCAAAAAAAAAAAAAAAAGGAGCCAACAAGTCCTGAAGTCCACTTAGCCTCCCTTTTTTATTTTACTTTATTTACTATAAAGTGAACATTAACGAGACGCGTTGAGTCTAGTGAGGTCTGAAAACAACCTTCCTCTCTCCCCGCTTGGTGAAATTTGACTTGTGACTTCTGGTGAGTGGATCGTGTTCTCCGACTGGGGGCTGCAGGACAGAGCCAGTGATTGACAACCGACGCAGCCAATCAGAAGTCCTCATCTGGTAACCGGTCCAGCCCCCTTCGGGATAATTGGAAGTAAGAGGTGGGACGCGGAGGTGGGATGAGAATTCCTCAAATATTAAAATAATAATAATAACACGTCCTAAACACACAACTTTGGTTTGACGATCAATCAAATAAAATCTTGTATTTTTGTATTCAATATTTAAGCCTAAGGGCATTAAATTACTACGATCATCCAACGCAGAGGTTTTCTAAATATCATGAGACTTCGGATCACAGCCTCTTCTGAGGTCCTCTGTCCTGCGGCCATTGAGTGAGAAACAGCGCCGCTTACTGGTTGAACGAAGCACTTCCACTTCAGTCTAATCCTTGTTACCACAAAACAGGCCTGTCAAAGTTCTCCTTGCAGGCAGGAAAATGTCCTCTTTTTTTTAAACAAAGATGATTTCAGTTCTTGAAATAATTAAGAGCATTGTAGCAAAAACATCTCCTCTGATTACGTTTAATCCAGTTTTAGGCAGTAAACATTTATCATGACTCAAAACCTCTGAAGCCCACAAGGGCTCAGATCTGTTTGTGACTTTTCCAAGTTCAACCCCATCAAAATACAGCGGACATGTAAGTTGATTTGCATCATTGTGGTGTTGTCAGTGGGTTGACGTGCAGTGAAAAGTGGCTCTTGTACTTAAATATGTCTATTTGCTGTCTTATCCTTATGGTTTGAGTATCAGGTTCAGGAGGGGATTAGTTTAGACTGAGTTTGGCTTTCTCCAAAGTGAATCAAAAAAGGCTGAGAACCCGTCCTAAGCTGAGTTGTCTAAACTTACCGGTGACATGGCGCAGACAGGATGACTAATGATGACTCACTGTCATCAAACATGCGTTCTCCTGAAGGAAATAAGAAAGCACAAATTTGAATGTCATATTTAAAATGACAAATGAATGATTATGAATGAATGAATGAATGACACACGTTGTTTTACTGGCTGACCCCTGACCCCTGATCTCCTAACTGTCTATGAAACCTGTTGCAAGGATCCAAACTTCCCGACTCCTTTCAAGCTCTCTGACCTCGTCGTCACTGTCCTCCCTGTCAGAGGGGACCCCTCATTTGATTGGACACAGAAATGTCTGCTGACATTATATACATTGTTTTGTATGCAGGGGCAGTGTAAGGTCTTACAACTTTGCTAAAAAGGAATTGATTAAATGTGATTAAAACCAACCCATTGAGCGTGATCTGTTATGTTTAATGGAAATCGATTGAGCCATGCTGGTTTCCCTGAAGTGCATTAGGCAAGAGGAGATTAAGGTATGACAGGAGTCGTCAGGGCCAAAGCAGCCAAATGAGACTCCCCCACCTCTAAAAAAAAACGGGAGGCGCTTTGGACGTGATGAATCACCATTTGGCCGACTGACCAACATGGATTTACTCCACCAAAAAAACAAGAAAAATAAACAGCTAAATGCTGCTGAGGGAAAAGCTGACTTTGAAGAGAGCATCAACATGCTGTCTGCCAACCTCTCCGCCCCGAAGACTCTCTTTTTGCCTGGAAATCCAGACCTCGCGTGGGAGCAGTCAGAGAGTCACCCGCGAGGCCCCGAGCTGCAGCCAGCCGTGATCAATAACCCACTCCCCGCCCCCACCTCCCCTCACCCGCTCCCATGCCCCCCCACCAGAACACAGCAGCCCTTGATTTGTTCCTGTTGTTTGAAGTCCCGACCCGCTGATCTAATCCCTCGAATGGATGTGAATCTTAAGTAACGTTTGTCTTTGACCCGATGCTCATCTGATTCCTTCTGAGAGAGAGAGAGAGGGGTATTGATCCATCAGCCAGCGGTTCAGTGAACATTCGGGTCAGTTGTTCCTCACGCTAATGTCAGAATTATTATGTCGGAAACAGGAATTATTTGTATCACTTAAAAAACTGGATCGTTTTAGTTTTGCGGCCTTCACAGTCGTCCTGTTGAAAAGTGCATGTTTTGGGGAAACTGAGGGGATCAAAAAGAGATCATCTTAATCCTGCCACATGCGGTTTAGACAATCATACTGTGTCCTACAAATCAATTACAAAATTAGATGTTTGAGAAAAGAGACATAGGGTTTAGTAAACATATTAAACAGAGATATTTTTTTTATTTCTTAAACCTTTAATAAATGGTAATGAAATAGCAAAAGCAGTTTTACAAACACACAATCATTTTTTTTTCTTTAGCTTTGCAGTTGACAAAACTATCTCAACTGAAGGTCAATATTCAAGCTTTTTGCTCTCGCTGTTCTAAACAGCAGACTTTCACTGTTATCTTCTATTTTAGTTTTTTTTCAAAAGGTTTCCATGCGGCCTAATCTGTCACAGAAACCAGTCCAGCCTAAGATTTTCATGAATGCTGAGTTTCTTGTAATTTCCCACACCGCCGGTCTGCAGCAGCTTTTGCAAAGAAGAAAACCGAACTGCAAATGAGATTAACGTCCAGATTGCTTCAATATTGATCCGCGAGTGAAATCCAAACTGTGTGTGTATTCAATATTTACATGGATGCACTTTCCATGCACTCAAAAGGTGCGTCTGCTTAAGTGGCCTTTCTAGTGTTTTTTTCTGTGGTGGTTGTGGGCAGATTGCCTCTTTGGAATTTAGACAGAAGTATCCCGTTTGTTGTTGTATGAAAACCTCGTAACTCCAGTTTCTGTTTAAACTGCATACGTGTGACTCGTCGTCGTGTTGGTTTGATCTGTGATCTTTGCACGCGTAACCAACAGGGGGAAACTCTGCTTTGGAATTGTAAAAAATTTAGATGTGATAGTAGCGCTAAATGAATAGTAAAGGGATCACTTTACAGATTACAATCAATCATGACCGGAGAGGGGGCACAAATGTTTGCGTCAGATCATTTTTTTGTGGCATAATTGTGGCTGTAGTGGAAAAGTCAGTGCGATTCAACCTCTGGGAAGCATGTTTTACAACATTTGACTCCCACCCATCCAGTATTTGTATTTGTTGCAGCCGGGCCGCTAGCGTACAAAGCTCAAGTTCCATTTCCACCTGGAATACAGATGTGATACCTGACTGCCGGTCTGTCTGGATGGAAGAAACCAGCATTACAAGATGGTTCAAATTAGGAATTGATCATGGATAAGGGCTCTCATTAGCTGCTGATTGAACGTCTGTTTAGCGGCGTCATCGAGGCTTCTATCTCCTCAGCATGAGCACACTGGAAAATGCTCGTGTTAATGCAGTCATTCAGGATGTCAGCCTCATCGTAAAGCAACTTTGGAAGCTTTTATATATTACTGCTAGGGTTGTTCGGAACATTACTTCAACATCCCGACAGAGTAACGGCACTCAGAGGGCAGCCTGACGCCGCGCGTTGCCGAGGACGGTTTGTGCGATGACTTAAGAGGTCAAAGGTCATTGCGACGTCGCTCCTCTAGTCCGGTATCCGTGCTTTCACGACACAATGGACTCCTCGGGGGAGAAAACAAGCAACAAGTGACTTGAGGAGGAACGTACAGTGTTTTATTGGTCACATTAGTATTTTCACCCCAGAATTACAGCTTTTTACTGTTTTTCTAACTTTTCATAGGGGCCGGGGTCAGGTTTGTTTAGTTACGCTTTCAGAAGCTTTAAATTCAGACTGATAAATGATTTGAGGTTAGTGACTCTTCTGGGAATGCATAACCTCCCTGTACTCACTGTGACAGGTCTTGATTTTCTGATGTTCAAAGTCATTTTTCAGTGTTTGCACTGTGATGAAGTGCTATTCATGTTTACCGTCTTTACCTCTGTCTCGCTCGACGACTCGTACCGCAACCAATGAATTCTTTCTCTACCTTTCTGTGATTATTTAACCCCTGAATATTTTTTTAGTGTCCAAAAACGATTTATTTTTGTTAGTTGTACAGAAATGCATGCAGAAATGTTTACATTTTCTTCTTAAAAACAGGACATACGCTAACAATAAAGATTGTAATGAATGAAAAGCCATAGAGTCACTTTACGTTTTACCATTCGCCTTCACACACGTTCAAGCTTTTATGGAGCAAACAGGAAGCAGCTAATTCATTGTCAAAGCAAGGGAACCATAACATAAACACATGAACCTCATTTCCTCTTACAGCTGAACAGCTTTTACGGGAGCTGCTCAGCAACGTCCCAACGTGAGGACGGATCACACAACAAATAACTGGGGATTTATCTCGTGCTTCAGCTGAGCGTTCATTAGGTGCCTAATGTACATCTAATCCGATTCAAGTTTGATCATTAAGAGCACAAACACTGCTGCTTCCTCCTCTCGAAAAGAAGCAGGCAGAGATTGAAGTTGAGCTTCAACCTGCGATAGGCTAACCTTGTTAGGAGCTTAAAATGATCTTAAAAACCCAACCAATTAGCAGGCGCTGCATTAGGTTTAATGTGATTGTAGCTGGGAACTAAGTACTTTGTCAAAAGGTTTCCTGCTGATCCTGCATCGCTCCAGCACCTGTTTTTATTCAGACAACATTTATTTATTGATCAGCGTGGTGAAAAACACAGAGGGGTCAGCAGATACAGGCTAACTTATTTATCTTGAAGGGAGAAAATCTCATACAAAACAACAACACTAATTTTAACGTTTTCATATACTTTCTTTTTTTTAACCACTCAAGTTTTGTTTAATTTACTAAGTGCATATATATCGTTAATATAAGCCACTGTACCGGAGAACAATTTTGATGGACCCTAAATTATTTTCAGCTAATTCACATATGAATTCCACAATCATTTAGAGAGAAGCTCCTTTGCCTTTCTTTCAATCATTTTCTCTTCCCAGGCTGCAAACTAAACCCCCCTTTTCTACTTTAAACAAACAAACAAACAAATAGGTTTGAATAATAAAGTACCCAAACAAAATGAATAATAAAGTACCCATCACATAAATGATGTATTATCATAAGACCCCAGTTACCCCTTCACTCCCCTGCAGCGACGTCGGACACGTGTTATTTACGTGTGACGCGGTGATGACCACAGGGAGCCGACAGGGGGCGCAGCGCGCGCGTCACTGTGGACCAGAGGAACGGGAGGAGATCCAACATGGCGCCTCTCACAACAAACGCACCGCTGCTGTTCTGCTTCGCTTCACTTTCGTTGCCCATCGGCTCCTGTCGACTTCTAACCGAACCGTGTTATAAACTCGTTAATGACGACCGACCGGACTCCGTCAAGTAAGAGCAGAAAAGTGTACATTTTATTTTCGCGAGCTTGCATAATGTTAAAGTAACGTTAATGTGTTTAGTCATTTAACATCTTCGGCTGTGATGTAATGTTAACGCGTATGTTTACGTTGTCAAGGGCTTTAACCTCTACTATATTTATTCCCATGTTATGCTACTTTTAATTCTTTATTATTAATAATGTTAAATTATTAATACATTTTTCTATTCTATATGTTATGTGTTTTAACACATGACCAGCTCCTTGACAAAGAACTCGATGCTTCTTTACAAATTACCAGATTAAGGCACAGACCTGGAATTACCTTAAGCACAAAAAACAAATTAAAAGTTCCTCTAAACAAAACGCCCACTGGCCAACCGAGTCATTTAAGACACAGAACAGATCTAGATAACAAAATAATAATACAAGTGGTGAGTGGCTTCACCGTCAAAGAAGATGACATCCTTAATTCTAGTTCCGTGACCCCGAAGCATGTTGGTGCTTGCAGGGCTCAGAGCTGTTTGCTCAAGACCAAACAAACAGGTTCCGATTCACTTTCACCAACGGTACGTTTCATAAACAAGTGCTGCAACAAATACAAGGATAAAACCAAAGCCCGCAGAGCCCAGGTTCAGCGGCCCCACCCAACGAGTCACTCGGCCAGCCGGCCTCAAACCCTCGTCCCTGCAGGATGTTTGTGATTCCACCAGAACCATAAGACCCAGAAAAAAAGGGGGGATCGCTGCTGGCCGTTCGGCTGTGACTCCCTCCGAGACAGTGGGAGGGGGATACGACGTGACTTTTCTACTTCTTTGTGAAATCCCAGTTACGAGATCTTATAACACACACGAGCCTCGTCCTTCTACGTTTTGCAGGAGTCGGCCCCGCCCACACGAGAAGGCCGACGCAACGGACCTCCCCCCGTCGTGGGACTGGAGGAACATCGACGGGAAGAATTATGTCAGCGTCACGCGGAACCAGCACATCCCCCAGTACTGCGGGTCCTGCTGGGCCATGGGAGCCACCAGTGCACTAGCTGGTAACCACGTGGCGGGCGGAGGAGGAGGGAGGAAGCGGGATGGGGATGGCGGGATAGACAGAAGCTCTGGGCTGATGTGTTTGCCATTTTAATGTTTTTCTCGCTTCTTCTTTTCGCCGTGATAGACCGCATCAACATCAAGCGCGGGGGAACGTGGCCGTCGGCCTACCTGTCCGTGCAGAACGTGATAGACTGCGGGGGGGCGGGCTCTTGTTACGGAGGAGATCACCTGAGAGTCTACGCCTACGCACACCAGAGAGGAATCCCCGATGAAACCTGCAACAACTACCAAGCCAAAAATCAAAGTACAAAAACATGCCATTTCCAACTTCCCTCTTACCGTTCTGTCCGTCGGTGATTCTTCAACATGACAGTGTGCCCCTGTGCTCAAGGCGAGCGCCGGAAATAACTAGTTCTCATGCAGCCCCGAGCTCAACCCCCGTCCAACACCTTTGATGAAGTGGAACACCCGCTGTGAGCCGGGCCTCATCACCAGACATCAGTGGGTGACCTCACCAACGCTGCCCGGGATCAGTTCCCTTCATCCAGGTTCCACACTTTGGTGCAAAGTCTTCCAGAAGAAGTGAAGTTGCTGTTATATATATATATAGCAGCATATTGACCTCCTTTATATTGTCATGAGACACTCGAATGGCTAAATGGTAAATGGACTTTGCACCATCAGGACGGACGTTCACACACACACACACATCGGTGTGTAGTGTCATGCAGATCACATGGACTGCAGGATTAAAGAAATGTATCTTCATGGATATTGTGTGGGATTGCAGAGCGAGCGTAACGTTGTAGTTGATGTTGTTTGTTTCAGAGTGTGAGCAGTTCAACCAGTGTGGCACCTGCTCCTTCTTTGAGTCGTGCGCCGTCGTGAAGAACTACACCGTGTGGAAAGTGGGCGACTACGGGAAAGTTTCTGGGAGAGACAAGATGAAAGCGGAGATTTACGCCAACGGGCCCGTCAGGTAGAGGAAGTCCCCCCCCCCCCCGGTCATTTTCTAATCCGCTTCTTCATTGAAGGGCCGTTTTTATTAGTAGGTACATATTTTTTATCATTTAAATCTTTGTAGGAGTTTCCTTTTATTTCATTTACCTGCATGCGTCTGGAAGTACAGTGATTGACATGAATTGATTCTATCAAACTTTGACACACATTTTTCACCATGTATCTACTTTATTAAACACAACTTTACAAATTGATATCATCCAACAATTTAATTATATTTCCTTATCCTCTCAATTTATAGCTCAATAGTCTTCATTAGCTGTTACTTTACTATGACTATTTACTATTTAACAAAGTTCTGGCTTTGATAGCCTTTACTACTTGAGATCATTGCACTTTGCTGTAATACCTGTAGATTGGGTTTTAAAACATTTTTGTCCGTTGTCAGTTCGCTGATAATATTCTAAGATTAAGAAAAAGCAAAGAAAAAGCTATATCTATTACTTATCGCCACGAGTCAGTGATAACAATAATGTGAAAAGAACAGAAAGAGGAGATTGAAGGATTTCAGAAACCCTGCATTCTCTCTCTCAGTTGTGCCCTGATGGCCACCGAGGGCCTGGAGGAATACAGCGGAGGGATCTTCTCAGAGTTTCACCCGCTGTCTTTGCCCAATCACATCGTCTCTGTGGCTGGTTGGGGAGTGGCGGAGGACGAGACCGAGTACTGGATTGTGAGGAACTCCTGGGGAGAGTTTTGGGTTGGTCTCTCTCTCTCTGCACCCCACACTGCCTGTACAATCCCTAAATAAAACTTTTGTTTTTAATTTTGTTTTGTTTGCAGGGAGAACACGGCTGGGCAAGAATAGTGACCTCCGCCTATAAAGCAGGAAAAGGAAATTGGTTCAACCTGGGTATTGAGAAAAACTGTGCCTATGGAGATCCGCTTGTCGCATTAAAATAGTTGAAACACAACAGCTTTGTCACGGCTCGTTTTTTCTTTTTCTTTTTACACATTGAAACTCATTTTGATAATGAAGGGATTGTGTTGGGGAACACATTCATTTTTTTTTTCTATTTGTGTACCGCCAATATCCGCCAAACTATTTCTTGGACATGAGCTGTGACTTTGTGGAGTCACTGCTGGTTGCCAGGTAGTCAAATTAAAAGCAAATTAGAGGCAACATGCTAAATAGAGAACTTAAAATGACCTAGTTGCTTTTTTTTTTGGCCTAGTTGCTAACAACATATCATTTATTACGCGCTGCAAAGCCAGAAAGTAGAACCTGAATAGCTGACTTGCTTCTCCTGAATTCAATTTTAGGCTCAAAATATAGGAGGAAAATAAAAACACCGTGTGCAAAAACTGCTGGTTCTTCACGATCCCTTTTATAATGAGGGTCTGGTAGCTGAACGTCCAGAGGTAACATGAATCCACAGCGGTTTGGACACAGTGTCAAAGAGGCTGGAAATAGTGTCCCACAAACGCACTTTACTATTCGCCTTACTCAAAGCTTCATATAGAAACATTTCTCTGGCCTCTCACAGCAATCCTTTCAGTTACTAATGTTTACTGAATACCAACCTAAGAACAGACATCGGCCTCAAAGTGTGAATGTTTAACCCCACCCAGCAACTTGTCAGAATGTTGACTCAGGAAGTGATCTCATTGTCCTCCATGGTAGATAAAACTGACTTGGAGTTAAACGTGGGATTCAGTTATTTTTCTTGCTTTTTTCAAAGAAGAGCGACTCCAAATTAGGAATGTGAGTGTGGTTTGTTGGTTTTAGTGCGTTCTCCTTAATGCCGCTCTGTTAATCAGTTACAGGGGTTAAACCAAAGCTGCACATTTGGAACTCTTCATGTCCTCTGAGGCTGTGAGTGGCGAGTGGAGCAAAGGCCGGCCGAACATCTGGAGGGGTGCAGAGCTTTGGGTCTCCACCCTTCTTTTTGGGGGGTTTTTAGGCGAGGAGGGAAAAAAAAGGATCATTCATGATCACAAACAGATCTCAAGTGTGAAAAGCGAGATGCCTCTCTCTGTAATTATGCTGTCAGGCGTCCGTTTCCTCTCTGAGCTGCTGTTGCATCGCTCTACTTTTAACTCCTTCAGCTTCCTAATTCTGCGCGAGTCAAATCTTGCAGGGTGAAGACAAGATGTGAGTTAAGGGGCCCACCTAAGCAGAGGATAGAAGGAACGTGCATAACCCGTGAATGCAAACCAACTGGTTTGGCGATGAGCTGAATGCTGTTATTAGAACAGTTTCATTGTGGGAGTTTCCTGTGAGACTCCAACTCCTCTGTGGTTGTAGTTTCATGGCTGCACACACACACACACACACACACACACACACACACACACACAAGCAGTCTTCTGCTGATGGGATTCCTACTCTTAATCACTTAATCTCATTTGGCCCATTGGTATTGGCTCCTTTCCGTCTTTTGTTATTTCTGTGGTTGGAAGTCACATGTATCACTGATCAGATATATCAGTGTTTACAGAATTGACTTGCTATAACTTTTAATTTAAGTTTTTTTTTTGTTAGTCTTTATCTTGTCTTGCATTCCTCCACCTCGCATCAAACGCACAGTCAAGTTAGCAGGTGTTAACCAAAAAACATACCGGAAATTGAACCTTTAAAAAAATTATTTAGTTTTTCATTTTTTTCATTTTTAAGTGCTGTTTCGTGAGATTGACAAATAATGTTAAGAGAGTGTAACATAAAATGTTATGTTAGGACACAATATTAGTGATTGCACATTAATAGCTAAATGACTGCCATTCTTTATAATTAGTGGAATTACCTTTGAACCTTAAAGTATAATTTGATGCTTTTCTTTTTGTGTTTTAGGGAATATTTTGAATGCAGAACTTCTACTTAAATACCAGCCACTGGTCACAACTAATGCTATTTTACAGCTGTTATTCTTTTAGTACTGTTCGCATGCTCTATATGTTACAGTTGTCTGTAGTTTTCACAAATGGTGAAAGAAATAAAAACGCTTGCTCTTAAAAGTCATCAACCACCATCTTATATCTGAAAAAGCCAATAAATAAACCTGATCATCATTGCATCGTTTTTATTTTTGAGTTTTATTTTGAAAAATGACCCCCGGAGTAAGTATCTCTAGCTTGACTGTTCAGACCTGAAAGGAGCGATTTGGTTGCGCATCAGCGGCAGTCTGCCGCTCCTCTCTCTCTCTCTCTCTCTCTCTCTCTCTCTCTCTCTCTCTCTAAAAGCAGCGGGGTTTTCTTTATATAGAGAATTTTTTATATAGAGACTTATATAGAGACTTTTTATCTCATATGCTGATTCCTCGGGACTCGACGAGGAGCCTTTTTTTTTAATTGCACCGCCAGCAGCCTCGGGGCAACTTGCCCTGAGCATCCCGCGGCTGGAGACCTGAGCAGTGGGGTCTGGAGGAGGGGAAGATGCCCGATGGAGCGCTCCATCGCCGCCAGTGCGCCACTTCAGGGCATCCCGAGCGCCGGATAACGACGAGATGCCGAGGTTCAGCGTCAGGTGGACGGCGGCGGTGGTGCTGATCGCCCTGGTCGTGGGCGCTTTCTTTTTCTGCGAGTACCTGATCTACTTCCCGACCATCCTCAAGTGCGCCTGGCCGAATACCGGCCATGCGCGGGGGGGAGAGGGCATCGACGGCCGGCCCGCGGACTCGGCGGTCCGCGCCATGGTGCTGTCGGACACCCACCTCCTCGGAGCCGTCGGGGGACACTGGTTCGACAAGCTGAGGAGGTAATGTCTTTTTATTCTTTCTTTTTTTTATAGCCGTACATGTGTGTGTGTGTGTTGCCGGATCCGCGGGACTGTAAACAAAAACAACGAAATGACGCTTGCTTGTCGCCAAACGCACAGGGAATGGCAGATGGAGAGGGCTTTCCAGACCGCTCTATGGCTGCTCAAGCCCGAAATAGTGTTCATTCTCGGGGACATCTTCGACGAAGGCAAGTGGAGCTCGCCGAAGGTAACGTAGCGCTTCTCTTGCGTTGTCTGCAAACCCCACAGTGCTTTTGATGACGATGATGACGATGATGATGGTAGTGATGATGATGATGATGGTGATGATGGAGCTGTTGGTGGAGGAGCAGTTTGTGGATGCAGAGCAGAGGCCCGGTGCTCTCCGGGCAAACATCAGCAGCATCAGCAGCAGCATGTTGTACCATCCAGGCACCGGAGGATGCAGGTTTTACAAGTAAAAAAACACCAACAGCAGCGACCTGCATCCTCACGGCCCACCATGGCACAACGTCCTGCTTTAGGAAAGACAACATCCCCTGGGAAATCTCACACATCTGTTACTGGATCGTGTGTGATCCGTTAAGTCGGAGTGAAGAGAGATGCGGCGCTGAGTAAAGCACAGAGGAAAGCCTCATTAAAACAGGACATATCATTTGGTGGCTGTTACATCTCCAGTAATCGTATTGTGTTCCCAACGTCCGATTTGGATTTGTTGGGGCATGTTTTGTGAGGGAAAGTGAAAGTTTGCTTTGTCTTTTTGTGTGTTGGAGGGGAGGGTGCATGCAAGAAAACTTAATAATAAGAGAAAAGAAAGGGCAGGGGGGACCATCTTCACGTTTTAGAACCACAGCTCACCCCAAATCAAATATGTACAATTTGTATGTACAAAAGCTCTATAGCTTTTTATTAGTCTGGATTTTCTTAGTGTACGTTTTGCAGACACTGACGTTTCTGCCTTCTCTTCGATATAATGGGACTAAAATACATTTTAAAACCTCACCAGCAATGTATCTTTTCAGAGAGCAAAGTCTGAAGAGTCAAGATAATTCACAGATCCTTTTGTGTACAAGAAGTTGTACATTAAACAATTCCCTTTTGGAGAGTTCAACAGAAATAACCTTACAAAGAGGGCTTCGCTAATTTAAAATGATACTAACCATAAAAAGGTCAATCTTCTCCGCATAACCCAGAGATGTTCTGCATCACTTAATTGACAGTAGCATCAGGGAGTCACTCAGAGACACATCAGTAGGAGAAACATCACGTAAACCCACAGCACGGATGTAATTAAAGGTCCCCAGTGTGCGACTTCGGCCCCTGCAGGTGCAGAATTGAATCCGGAGTCTGAATCGAAGCCACCCATGGGAGGGGGGGGGGGCTGCTGGGTGACCCGCGGAGATCCCATTAACTCTTATGAGCTTCCCGGGGGAGGGCGGTGTTATTAAAGGCCCGTGCTGTGAACCGTGTGCTCGTCTTGTTCTCTCTGCAGCACTGGGAGGACGACGTGCGGCGCTTCCACAGGATGTTCAGACACTCCCCCGACACCGAACTGGTTGTACTGGTCGGCAACCATGACATCGGCTTCCATTACGAGTAAGAACAGGTTTTACAGCATTATTGTTTGTGCTGTCAACCTTTGGTCTTCCTCATTAGGCTCAGGTTTCCTCTGACAAGACTGCACTTTGAGTTCGGATAAAAGCAGGACTTTGGCTTCTCCATTTTAAGTTTGTATTTTTCAGTTACAGACATATCCGATAACGTTATTATGCCTAAAGAAGACTATTGGCTGCCAAAGAACTACTGTGGGGCCCGAGAGCAGAGCCAGCAAATGATAAGAGCTGATGAACTAGACGAAAAGGAATCATCTTTACAAAACAGTGCCTTAAAATAATGTCTTACTTTGTGTTCATATTCGAGCCTGCACGTCTGCATTGCAGAAATGTTGTGTTCAACATGTCCACCCCCTCCAGCACAAACCCTACTTCACACCAGACGTGTCGTTCTTAAGACCTCAGGGGACCAAATCATCCCCCAGTTTATTGTCTGACGCCTCTGTGATTCATTAACGTGGGATCAGCAGCTTTGATGGAACGCCGGCAGCAGGAGGTGAAACGACTCGGGCTCTTATGTAACGCCGTGCGACAGACAGACAGACAGACAGACAGACAGACGGGCAGACAGGCAGACTGAGCTGCGTGTTGGTTGTCTCTATTTCCATGTGGTGAGCGCGCTGTCCGTCTCCCCGCAGGATGGACTGGTTCAAGCTGCAGCGCTTCGAGAAGGTCTTCAACGCTTCCTCCACCAGGATCGTCACCAAGAAGGGAGTCAAGTGAGTGGCGGTCGGGTGTGAAAGACACGCGATGACCCCGCAGGAATGTGACTGAGCAGACTGGAAGGTCATGGGTTTGATCCCCTCCACCCCACCCCCACCCCTCCTCCGTCAGTCTCTGACAAAAAAAAAGTGCTTTCCAATAAGACAACAGAGAGTTGACTGTTCCTGGGATCTTGGATGTCTGCTAACAGGAACAAATGGCACTTTTCATTCCTGTTTTCACACAGTGTGCCGATGAACTAACTGCAAAAATCCATCAAGTCACTTTAGTTTGTTAATGCACGTTCCTTCTCATGTTAAACCAGAAGAAGTATATTAAACTAGTTTCAATGATTGCATTTCCATCGAAGATTCCGTCATTTATTTAAGGCTCAAACATTTTAGTATTTTAGCATTTTAATTTAAATATAGTTTGACGACATAGACAAAACCTTCTTAGATTTTTCTTGTGCGATTCCCATAACAGGCGAGAATGTCGTACATGTACATATTCTACACGTGCCTGTTCACGTTCTGTCTGCTGCTGCCTCAACAATCAAGTCAAATCATGACATTCTGAGCGTTGCGTGTGTTTTTTTTCCCCGCTCTCCTCAGCTTTCTGCTGGTGAACAGCGTGGCCCTCCACGGCGACGGGTGCCCCATCTGCCAGTCGGTGGAGAAGGAGCTGATCAAACTCTCCAGGGACCTCAACTGTTCTCTTCAGGTGGGAGAAATATTTCTGGCCGGCGCACTTTTCAAGCTGTCGGGCACCTGGAACACACTCTGCTGCTCATGTGGTGTGAAAGACTCAAAGTCAATAACACCTCTATTCAAAGCTCAGGCATGTCTGGAGCCGGTGTTTTTTTCTGAGCATTGATGGAAGGCATTGAAAGTGTGTGGGGAGGGGGGGGCGATTAAGTAGTGAAGGAGATGTTGGAGGACGTGATGGAGTAAGACAGTCTGGTCTCTTCTGCAGAGCTCCCAGTCGGGCGGCGGGGTGACGGACAGCTGTGAGGCCACGCGCGTCTACCCTCCCTCCCCCCCCATCATGCTACAGGTAGACCGCTGTGCACATTTTTCTCCCTCCATGTCTGCACAAATAGAGCAGAGACCAACCTGCTCTGTATTTGAAGACATTTGCCATTATTTTCTGACAATTAGACATTTATTTTAGATGAATGCTGTCAATGATGAGCCCTTGGTCAAAATACACATCGTTTTGCGAAGATCCAAACGTTTCTTTTGAAGATAACAAACATGAATTGAGGATAAATGTGCAAAACATAACTTAATTTTGACTTAATTTGATTCACAGCTACAAGCATTAACACATCAATCAGTATAGCACAATTATACTGTTGTTCAAATTACTATAATTGTCCAAAATTCAAAAATGTGGGGTCGTTGTGGCGCAGGGGTTAGAGAAGGTGTGCTGTGAAGCACAAGGTTGGTGGGTCGATTCCAGGCTGTCCCATGATCCATGTCGAAGTGTCCCTGAGCAAGACAAATTTAAGAAGATCAAACCAGAAAACAAGTCAGCAACAAAGATATATTAATATTAATTTCTTGCTGATAAATAAAAACTAATTATTTGTCACGCATAATTTCCATTCAACTCTTTTATTTTCATTGTTGTTGTTGTTTTTTAAACCTCCTCCCTGTCCTGCAGCACTACCCTCTGTTCAGAGTGAGCGACGCCAGCTGCACGGGCCTGGACGCCGCGCCGCCGGAAGAGCGACACCTGCTGTTCAGAGAGAAGTACGACGTGTTGTCTAAGGAGGCCTCGCAGAGGGTGAGCACATGTCAAGAACATTTCTCTACCCTGGATGATGAAGACGACGACGATGATGATGATGAAACGGGTGATGTAAGAGAGCAGCAACCGACCTCTGAGGGTAAATGTGGGGTTTCTCCCCTCAGCTGCTGCAGTGGTTTAAGCCCCGCCTCATCCTGAGTGGACACACCCACAGCGGATGCGAGGTTCTCCATGACAACAAGTACCCTGAGATCAGCGTGCCGTCCTTCAGCTGGAGGAACAGGAACAACCCGAGCTTCATCCTGGTGAGTAAAGTCCACATTTGTGTAGAGAAACAACTACATTTCTTTAATGATTTTTTAGGAGCTATAATTAATATTTTCATAGTGTGTGTAGTTTTTGGCTTGCACCACTAATACTATCTAGCTTCTTCATTCCAGTACTTTCAGGCCTTATCTTTTGAGTGGTTGACCACATTGAAGTGATTCTATCAAATTGATTGTCATCAAATATTTATTTTTAGTTTAATTGTCTTTTTTAAGCTAACACTTAAATCACAGGATCTTCGCATCCCTCATGTCAGTCTCCTTAATGTTCTTTTTTTTAACTGCAAAACATGCTTTAAAAAAACGACAGCCATACAGCCAAACGGTTCCCGGAGCACTCTAGACATATTGTAATAAAAAATACCTACAATGAATAAAGATAATGGGACATAACATCTCCAGAACTGCTACAAATGGAACTAGTGGTGTGATTTATTTTTAAAATATATTCTTGTGAACACAAAATACAAAATCTAGTATACAGCCCGAGATTTTGAAAAGTCGTATTAAATTGTGTAATGGTGAAGAAACAAAAGAAAATGAGGGATTGTATTTCAACTGAGTGAAATTAACAAGCAAATGTGCAGACTATTGGTGGCCCTCTGGAGCCCTAAGAAGCCACCTCAGCCAAAGGATCCCCCTGAAACACACTGATCGACTCCCTCCTCTCAGGCGTCGGTGTCACCCGGCGGCTTCGCTCTGTCCAAATGTTTCCTGCCGGAGGAGAGCACGGTGATCGGCGTGTACTGCTCGGCCGGGGCCTGCATGCTGCTGCTCTTCTTAGCCCACTGTCTGTGGATGAAAGGCCTGCTGCAGTGTCTCAGCCTGTGCTTGCTGGGGAAGCACAAGTCCATGTGAACCACGGTCACCCAGAGTGCACCAGGGCAGGCCCTGCGAGAGGACGGAGGCGCGCTGGACCTCGGTGCAATGCAAGACGGGAGGATTTGGGAGACTTTGGGAGACTTTTTCTCACTTCAGCACAAAGTTTTGTGACACCCTGGGTTCGTTCTTCCAACGTTTTTACGGTACAGTGAAGGAGCGCGTGTTTTAATAATACGATATGATAATGTGGTTATAGCCTCCGGGGACAAGACAGATGTTGAGCCTACTTGTTGTTACAAATCATCAGCCGTGTTTTATCTTCCTTTGGAGCGGCAGACGGATGCGGCTCACAAAAACAAAGCTTTTCAGGCACACAGACACACATCAAGACAATTCAGCACATATTTAAACTGTGATCTGATGAAAACCCGCCGTTCCTCTCACCTCCCTTTGTTTCTGTTGTTGATGTCTGATGTTTTTATGATGCATATGTGAATATATTTATTGATCACTTTCCGTGCCAAATGTTTGTCAGGGTCAGTTGTTGAAACGTTTCTAATGAACTGTAAATAATAAATAAGAATCTAAAGCTCTGCTTTTCAAAGAGTTTTGGCTCCAGCTAGAGAAGGATGATCAATCATCAGCAGCCATGTCACGCAATGGATGATTATAAAATATCACGTAATGTTCTCTACACTGTCCTCTTTTCAAATCCAGAAATTTGGCATCAGAGACGTAAACGACTGTAAAATAAATGTGATTGAAACACAAATGAGCGTTTTTTTGCAAACACAAAATCATGTCAAATAAAAAGTTGTAAAATATATTGGGTACATCTTCCTGAAACGGTTCACATTTGCCTCTATTTGTTTACATTGTATTTAGGCCTGGACAGCACGAAGCCGTGTGCTGCAGGATTTCATCTGTCGATTATCGGGGATTTCTCACTATAATATCTACGTGCGTTGGAGGTCACATTTTGCAATGCTGCGAGTCGATGAGCAGCAGTGTTTGATCCTAAATGTGACCTCGATGAGTAAGATTCTTTTCTTTTACCTCCACAATTTAGAAAATACGGGTCACAATTTCTGGTTGAGCAGTTGTCCAAAATAAACACTTATTCTTCGTATTTACATACTAAATTTAAAGAGACAGCTGAACATCACCCTGAGAAGCCTGACTTTTAAAATTGTCATCCAATAGTCTCATATCAATCAAGATTGAACTAACTGAATAATCGTCTCAGGTCTATTTAAGAATAATGCCTAGTTTTTAATTCATTTAGAGAAAATATATTTTTTTGATGAACCTACATTACCCAATTCTAACCTCCGTTTCAACAACAGGTTTAATCTTACATCAATAGGACCAGGGAACATTTTTTACAATCAGTATCAGGAGGGAAGTATTGAAATGCACAACCTTACTTTTTTCAGTTTAATCCCTAGTTATTTAAAAATCTGACCACATTCAGTAGAAAACGCCGAGCAGCACTGGTAATCTCAATAACTGAGCGTTTATTGGACGTCTCCTCTTTGCTTGATTGACTTCTCCCTGACTCCCCCGTTTACACCGTCATCATACAGTGGACATACAGCGGAGATCGGCTCCCTTTTAACCCGTGATGACGTCCAATCAGAGAGAAACTCAAAACGCCCGTGAGTGGCCCGTAGATTCAAACACCCCAATCGTACTAATCGTGCTTTATCAGGATTTTGTCGAAAGGCCTTTTTTCACGACACTTGTCAGAGCGGGAAAGGTTCAGGCAAAAAGTAATACAATGAAAGCTGGTTTGATTGTGTTTCAGGGTCCAGGTATTGTTCATGCTGGCTCACTGTCACTGCTCGGAGGGAATGAAATGGATCCAGCTTTAATGTTATTAGTAGAAACCTGTGCTTTCCCTCCTCGAACACGTCTAAATGTCAAAAAGTGAAAGTGTTTATACCAAAACAATTCTGCTGAAACAGGGTAAGAAGGCAAACCGTACCCACTCCCCCCCACATAGTACACACACACACACACACACACACACACACACACACACACTACATTCTACGTTATGTGCGACCCCTCACATCAACGCCACTGACGCATCCACAGAAACATAAAGAACGCAGTGTAAACAAATCGGGACACCAAGATGGAAATAAAGCAAAGTCCTCTAATGTGCCTCTTTATTTAAAGAAAATAAAAATGTCATTTAATCATCCTCCCAGGCCAAACAAGGTTTTTGCACCTCCAGTCAGTTCACTCTCTTTTGGGGATAGACGTGTACTGTAGCAGAAGAAAAGGCTGATGCTGTTTGTACAAGGAGAAGAGCTTGTCTTGTTGGGTGCTGCTCACACATTCATAGTGCCTGTGCCATCGGGTATGGCTCCAAAGGACCAAAGAATTACTAATATTGCACGCTCTCATTTATTCATCTCCATTCTAAACATGCTTTCCTATGTGTGTATGTATACATATTTACCGTATACATACATAGGTATGTACACCTAGGCACACACATAATTAAACATGTATAATTGTACATATATATTTATATAGACCTATAAATTTACATGTACATACATTTATAAAACTTTACACACAACGCACACTCGCACTCGCCCTCTCACACACACACACACACACACACAAAATGCGTCTGTGACTCTATGTTTGTTTTATGTACACATGCGCACAGGCACGCACATCAGTACAGATCTCAGACACACTTCATATCGAAAAAACGTTGGTTCCTATTAAAACAACACCAGGTTGCAATTTGGACACTTTCAATGGATTTCCAATGTTTGTTTAAAGCTGTGAAATTCAAAAGAAATAAAAAGGAGGAAAAAGAAAACCGGAAAAAAAAAGAGAAACAAAAAAGGCATGGCGCTGCAACATCTGGTCTTCACTGCAGGTAAGTGGTTAATTTGCATAATGTATACAGGTTTTTAGGATTTTTTTCCCTATTTTTTATTTTTTACTAAACAGCATTTCCTTTTTTTATAAACCAGAAAAAACTAAACTCTACAGAGAAAGTCCCCCACCCGCAGTCTTCCGCTGCTGATAGAGATTGACATCAAGCTGTACAGCGCAGTCGAAAACATACTTACATCTGAGCTCATTTACAGGTACAGCCATAATCAAGGCACAAAGATCTACAAGTAGATTTGTTTTTCTTTCAATTAAGTTGTACAAAATAATATTACATTTTACAGTCTGTACAGGATAATTCAACCTTGCACAGTGTACAAGTTAACAAAAAATAAAATAAAATAAGAACAATACATTTTTCTCTCCCGTCCCCTACCACCCTCCCCTCCCATCAGTATTTCTAAGCTAAAAGGATGGTTTGTGTGGTAAAAAGGAGGCTGGTCCGAGTCCGTGGAGGCAGCAGGGCTAAGGTGCAGAGAGCTCAGTCCCTTCTCCTTCATTTAAATCCTTCTTCGTGTCGTCGTATTTCCTCCCTACTCCCACTTTAATCTTTCGCTCCGCATGTCTCTCGGCTGCTCGATGCGCCCTGCAGCTCGGCAAGCTAACATCGTGACAGGGTAATAAATATTGTGATGCTACATTGTGTGTATGCTTCCTCTGGAGAAAAAAAAAACCCAACAACAACCCCCCACTCCCCCCCCAAAAAAAGTTATTAAGGAACCTGATGCAAAGTGCATTTATCTCTTCATCCACTCGGTTCCCCTCCGTCCGCTCCCGTTGCTCCCCGGTGTCGTCCAGTCGTCTCCCACGCGGAGAGAAGAAGCCGGCCCGGAGGGGATGACGGGGGGGTAAAAAAAGGGTCGGAGGGTGGGTGGGGTGGGGGTCAAAGGTCATGGTGGCGATGCCAGCTTTAACCAGCAGGAGACACACAAAAATAAACACACACACACACTCGCTCACATGGCATTCCTCCTTCTCTTCATCTCCCACACACACTCGCACACGTTGCCTCTACACTGAGGTCCTGTAGGTGTGTTTTTTTGTATCCACACCCACCAGTCCAGGTCCAATGACAAAGCCAAAAGAAAAAAGGAGGACACAAAAAAAGGAGGTAGCCCAAGGCTTAGTGGAATGACAAAAAAAAATATCAAGGCATTCAAAAGGGAAGGATTAAAACAATAAGGAAACAAGAATCGGCACGCAACAACTTTGCTCCCCGACCTTCGTCTCACGGTCGGTGAAATGGGGATGAATCGTTCTCAGAGAGAGAGAGGGAGGGAAAAAAAAAAAATAGTACAAAATGCTAAGAAGTTAAGAAGAAGAGGATTTGACACACTTCAGTAGTACTTCATAGTCCTCGACAGGAGGGGTGGTAAGGGGGTTGTTGAGGGTTTTCTCTGGTGTGGGCGGGGGAGGGTCGGGAGGAGGGGTGAGGAGGAAGGATGAGGGAGGAGGAAGAGAAGGAAGGGAGTTCGTCGAGGATGCAGAATGACGGAGAAAAACACAGAAGGCTAACGGAGGCGGTCTCCCATCACAAGAGTTCGTACTGCCTCAGGTGCATTCTCTGGATGATGTCCCGGCAGTCGTTAAACACCCGCCGAATGTTCTCTGTGTCCACGGCGCAGGTGAAGTGGGGGTAGCAGTAATGTCTGCCGTCGCCACTCGCAGTGCTGATCCGCTGAGGAGAAGAGACAGGCGCCCGAGCGTTTAGGGCGATGAAATATACGTTGAACCTTTAACAAGTCCCTCTATCTGCAGTTGAGCTGCTCTGTTGTCGTTCCTGACCGTTGGAATTAGAAAACTTCCCCCTTAGTTTTAAAAAGGTGAAATAACAGCACTTCCTGTCCCTGCAACTTCTCGAAGTTGTCATTCATAACATTCAAGGTTGTCTGTGAAACAGAAACTAACTATCTGCATACCATCGGTGCGGCTTCACTTTCAATATTGTAGTTTTCCAACTTGTGCTTGAATTATCTGGTGATATGGGCCTGAGATAGAAGTCACATACCGTGGCCTCACAGGACCAATTGGTACCTAATAACAAGATACACATTCAGATTCATTCACCTTTTTATAATATGTTTTTGAAAATTAGAATCAACAGTTGGCGGAAGAAGATATGTTACGTGTGCGTGTGTGAGGCTGTGGACACTTACAGCGAGGACAATAAGATAAGTGAAGCAGTTGTGCCCGTTAGGAGCGGTTTATACTTTTAATTAAGCTTGTTAAATACGCGCAGCCCAGCTCGGGGGCAGCGTGCAGAAGGCTGTCAGCAGTGGTTGGTTCCTTGTGTGCAAACAGGAAGTGGAACATCAGCCACAATGTTGCATCGCTCCGAGTTGTCAGAGGACGCCATTATTCAACTCCAGAGTTCCCCGACACGCACCGACTGGGGTATTTTCGGTGGAGATCTTAATGATATGGTTTCTGTCAGATTACATAAACATCTGCATAAAAAGCACCTTTCCGGCGCAGATGATAAAAAACATCCTGACTCCAAACCTTAGATTCCCCTCTAAATGAAACAGAGCCTTTATTTTTTTCTGCGGCTAATGCATCAAGTTATTGTATGAAAAAGAGTGTATGAGTAGAGTCCCAAAAAAAAAGAAAAAGATTGACTCAATACTACATCTGTATTATGAGCCTACAATTGCTTCAATCCCCCTCGGTGATCCTTAAAATGGTGGCTCAGGTATTTCATGGCAGAACATCTGTTGACTTCAGCTCACTAGAAAACATTCCCGGAATAAAGACGTCTACTTACAAGAAACTCGTCTCGGATGAAGAACTTCGCTCTCGTCACTCTTGGGTCTTCGCCGGGTTCAGGAGTTGCTAATGGAACGAGAGATTCACAGTTTAACATTAACTGACGTAAAGAGCAACTCCATCATTCCTTTGTGTATTTCACCGGGGCACAAACCTTCATTTGGTATGGTGTAGCGAGCATATTCGGGGAAGTAGTCTTCAATTTTGGATTTTCCAGCTAATACTTTCTCAGCCAGCATGTCCTGCTTGTTCAGGAATAATATGACCGATATAGTGCGTAACCATCTAGAAACCAAGAAGAAGACAAAACGGAGATGAATGGACGCAGGAGGGGGGGTGATGACATTTCAATGTCAGCTGTTATGTGAATTTACACCACCACAATGTTGTTGCACAGAATATTTAGATGTTTGGGATTTTTCAAGGTAAAACTTAAAATGTGATCACTGAATTCAAGAGTTCCGTTGGGTTCAGTTTCTATGACACGGGGCGGTGCCAGTTATGTTTATTCAGGGAGGGGGTACAGAATACCTTTCTTTATTTCCATTAGCAAGTCTGATGATGCATAAAGACTGGCGTGTAGATATTCAAACTCGTCATTAAAATCATGTTGGCATTACGATGGTAATTCTTTTGTAAATTCTTGAGGACATTTATATTCCAATATAATATTAGTTGTTATTATTATTATTATTATTATTATTATTATTGTTATCTGCTGTCTAGGTTGCGCTCGGAGTCCAGGTGGTTCGAGATCGCTGCTGTAGTGGAACTGGGACGATAAATGAAGTTCATCGAGCATTTTAATTCACCGAACCGAACGGCGCAGCAGCGACAAACACAGGAAACAACCAACGGGCTCAAAACTCACCTGTTGTTCCAAATACTGCGGAAGAGGTCCAGGGCTTCCCGTAGCCGGTTGGTGTTATTGTCTTCCCTTATTACCATGTTGTAGCTGCTGCTGGCCACCACGAAGATGATAGCGGTGACGTCTAGAAGGAGAGGAGAGGAACTACTATCAGGACAGCTCGTGTGAGAGGCAGAAAAGTCATTTTGAGACGCACGAGATGGGATGAGAGGTGAACGGGTCGTACGGCAAAGGCTATTCGAAGGCGATCAAGGACAAAAAGGCTGAAAGTCTCACCGTTAAAGCACTGGATCCATTTTCTCCTTTCATCTCTCTGGCCTCCAACATCAAACATGCTATGGAGGAAACATAATACTGGGTCAGACTCACAACAAACACACTCACAGTTGCCCTCTTTAATCAAAGAGTTCATATTGCCAGTGGGACGGAAGGTACATGTTGTGCTGCAGTCGTCTGGCCTGAGAATGTTTACATGCTAGTGTTGTTTGGAATTATTATTCATATAAAGAAACATTTGTTAGATGGTCACAAAACATTTGTTTTTCGGTCTTCAGCTAAATTGGCTCCTGATCATCGGCCTGCTACATGAGATTATAGATCCGAATGGGACAAGCCTGGACACATGAATAATCAGTTAATGAATAAATAATATGAAGGACAGCATTATTTGCACATACTCAGCACCGCTGTGTGACCCTGGCTGGATATTTGAAAGTCATCAAAGCTGAATAATGAAAAGGGGGAAGTCATGTCCCAGGGCTTCATTCACATCATTTTATACAAAGGCCTCTTTCAGATGGTAGAATATATTGGTTGTGTCTGAAGCTCAAAATGGGCTATCATCCACATTTGATGAAACCTTTACTGGTTGCTCAAATGAAAAGAATGTTCATAACTTTCCACTGTGCTCAGAAATCACACCGGTCAACCAGAGATTTCATCTCACATTTTGGGTGATAAAATTAAGTCCAGTTTCTGGCAGCTGAGCTGGTTCAGCGTTTGGTTCTTTATTGTTACAGGGTGAATACAGCCAGAAGTTACTAACAAAGTACTTGCTTTAATAAGGATTCATAAAAAAATATGGACGGAGCCTTTCTTTGCAATAAATAATTAACCACAACAAATTAGAAAGCAAAGAGAAAACACGTTTGTCACTTACTGAAAGTTCACTTTGTCTACTTGGAACCTCGTCTCGAAAATCCCTGAAGTTAACACTCGGCAGCGTAGCAGGTCCTGTAGGACATGGACATGAAGACGTATCGGTTTCAGTAAAACGTAACAGAAGCAATTTACTGACTAATGGGTTCAGAACAGTGCAATGACCTGGTCCGTTGGCGTGTAGTCGTTCTGTCTTACAGAGTCAATTCTGTCCAGGAAACTGCAAAGAGAGGAACAATACACATTAAGATTTTGCATCAAAAGTTTATCGTTTTTCTTATATATGCTGGGGGAACGTGAACGTTATTAAAATTCAACAACACACAACCATTCAGCGTAATTCCCTTTAAGAAATGAATTACATTCATTCATGAGTACTGATTTCTGAACCAGATCGTCTCACAAAGAAACCAAGGGACCACTTTCACCGAACACAAACTCCATTTATTATAACCGCTCTCTTTAACGGCAATATCCAAACCTCACCACATGGCAACCGTTCATTCATTAAACTTGTCCCGTGTGCAGGTTACGCTGAAAATATTATTTTGGAGGTTCATGTGAGCCACACCGGATGCTGCAAAAGGCGGCCGCCATCTCTGACTGCCGGTAGAGGCTCGGCAGGCCTGTGCTCAGGCAGCCAGTAGCCACAAGAGGGCAGGGCTGCTCAGTCTGGGCTATTTTGGTCTGTCTCTAGCCAGAGTGATTACATAAGGCGGTTATTGTGGAGGTTAGACGGTTGCCGTCTCTTCACTATGAGAGAGAATGTGCAGCGGCGGCAGCGGGGCCTCTGCACAGCACAGCAGGCTCAGGACACCGAGGCGGGGACACGCGGTCACACGGGCCCCTGGATGATCTGGATCACACAATTAAAGGAAGGCCAACAGCGCTGGGCAAAGGGCCACTATATACACATACAAATACACACCTTTTTATTTATTTATAGATATACGTATGTATTCATTTTCTGTTCACCCTTTACTGAGCCAGGATGATCCCGTTGAGATTTTGAATCCCTTTTCCACAGGGGCACAACCCAGATAAAAGAACCAAAGTCAAGAGTCAAAAGTTTAGATAACCATGAACCGCAGACATGAACAATGAACAGAACTACTATGTGAGAATATTACAAACAAAGAAAAATATACAACAGAGGAAATAAAAGTGCACCAGTTATTGCTGGAGAAGAGTTCCCCCGAAAAAAAGCTGAAGTTGATGAGTGAAGGTTTGTAGGATGTGGACCAAACCGACATCATCACACTATTCTACCGTAACCTCATGCAGAGGAGATTAGCACGTCAGGTTTGTTAATATGGTTTCAGCCGGTGTTGGCAGTCAGTTCTTTTCTCAAGTCAACCCCTAAAAGTCGCACCCTTAACACACAGCGCAGAATGGACACAGTTATGAAGCATTAGATAACACAGACAACCTGCATATGCTCTGACAACACTGTTTTCGTCACACCGACTTTATTTCTGCACACAAAAGCAGAAGTACGGCTATTTCTGAAGGAGCACTAGGCTATCTCACACACTATAGATGCATGTAGTGTTGCAGGAGGCAGAAGGTTGAATTTATGATAAAATGTTATGCAAAAAGATCCATTTCTGTCTTTTGTTGGCTTGTTGATTTAGTTTTCACAATCTCACAGAAATGATAAATGCACGCTGCTCTATACATTCCTCATTTTAGTGCTCACAACATTATGTACTTATTAACCAGATCTCGTATGTGTGCCAAGTCTCCCCAAGCTGAGAAACACCCACAATTCTCCACACCTGTCTTTATCTTACAAAAGGACCTTCGGACGCTTGTTACCTTGTTTAAGACCTTCAACAATTGGTCCATTTATTTTACTGATATTAGAGGTAATGATCATTTTCATACTATTTTTCTCTATTTCATTGAAAATAAAAAAAATATTAAAATGATAATGGTGTATGGTTTTGCAGGGATCTGTACAAAAAATATGTTTTTGTCTTAAGACAACAGAAAACAATGCATAGACATCTCTGCAGCCCAACAATATTTAAGCAGCATTCTTTTAAATCAAATCATATTTTTAGATTTCCCTACGCTTGTGACCATTTGAATACAAAGCAAGCAATAACTCCTTGCAATCCTTTCACCATAGTTGCTCATCGACAAGTAGTGAGAAGTTTAATCTAAGATTCATTCATCATGTTAAGAGGTCTGAAGGGGAAAAACTCTTTTTTATTTAAACCAATATGGAAATGTTCCCTATTGCTTACCAGGGTAATTATTTAATTAAATAGTTAAATAAGTTAACATGATTTTCACTGACTTTAGAGGTCTGTAATAACTAAATACAGAGGGCGACGACCGGGGAGGATCGCATAGTCAAGGAAGGTGATGTAAATAATGCAGGTTTTATCATCACATAAAACAGAGAGAAGCAAATTCTCCCAACTGAGAAGCCGGAACTAGGAACCAAATAGGAAAACCACACACACACACACACACACACACACACACGTTTACGTTGGCATCATTCAGGCACCACAATTAGCAAATCACACAATTAATTATATCCACATTGCAATTTGGGCTTCCTGGGAACCGAGGCGAACACATACAGCAAACCTATTAAAACGTCACACAGTCGAGTATCACCAACACTCGTCTCCCCTGAGCAGACACTGATTCACACACAAAGACATCAACTAAACCTACAGAAATCTCCCGCTTTCGCCTCATCACTGCGACAATGTGGGAGTATTTTTAGTCAGCCTTCCTTGCAGAAACCTAGCAAGGTTATAATTACTGAGTGCCATGTGACACGGTCCTATTGGTAGAGCACTGGAGAGCCAAAAATAGACCTTGTACCCAGGAAACAAAAAAAGAACGGGGGTCCTGGATCCAGAAAAAATAATTAGCAGGTCTACCTTATCAAAAGGTTTGGCTGCAGTTGGGAGAGGCCATCGGTGCTCCGGTCCAGCTCTACAAATGGAGGAGCGGGTTTTCAGGTCCAATGAAACCTGCAGTTTGGTCTGGGTTCTCCAAAGTCCTCCCAGAACTGTCGTATTTGTGGATTTGACGGCCACTAGTATTTCGACTTTGTTCTCCGTATGCCTACGATAAATATACAGTCGTTTATTTATTATCAATTTGTCACATTGCTTTTTCCACTCTGTTCAACTGTCAAACCATTAATCCAGCTGTAACTTCACATTATCTTCTACTGGTCCATAACAGTTTACACAGAATTTGCAAGTGGGATAAAAAAAAAAAAGGCCAACTGCACTTACTGTCTTGACTATTAAGAGTCCCTCTCTTTCTGTCTGCGCAGCTTGGTCGTCCCTGTATTCAGCTAAAATAGACTGTACTCGTCCTGCAGGTCTGTGATGCTATGTATAGTCTTTGTGAGGACTTTGCCTGACCATTCTGTGTTGTTGGACTCATCTTTCCATAAAACATGAAATGTACACACCTCAGGACCCACGAGGTCCAGGTCACATAGAGGTAGCAGAGGGAAGACGGTGGTGGTACTGGGGTGGGAGGGGCATTAAAAGGCTTCACACGGCTCCACAGGGGCTTCTGCCTGAACCACAACGCTGATACGAGCTCTTTTCGGAGAGCCCAAAACAAACAAATAAACAAACCGGTTGAAATACAAATAGAAGCTGCAAAAGTAGCCAACTGGAGAAGAAGTGATCTAATCAGTTACAATTTCTTTTCAATATTGCAAACAATTGGAATGCAGAAGGGCGTGCGTTCCAAAACTTTTTTTTTTTAAAAAGAGGTTTTGGATAAAATGACAGTAAAAAAAATGCTGAAATGAGACGGGAAAAGTCCGCTGCAAATGATCGGCAACCTTCACACCAACAACAGCTCCCAGCCTCATGTGCTCATTTGATAATTGGGTTGACTTTTTACAAATAGTGGACCATCTTTAATTAGCAGAGCAGAGGATCCGATCAATAGTTTCCATATTTTGAACGGCTCAGGCCAGCGCTCAGGCCAGCATAATGGACTTTCACTTGAGTCCCCATTTGACAGTCCTTTAAAACTCACTGCTGGACACGGCAGCAGGCCCACCACGCTCTTCCCAGCTGGTAAAGCTGTATTCAATTGTTTTTGTCTTGTCTTTCTTTCTCTTATATTTACTGCAGCTCACTTTTTTTTTATTTTCATCATGACAATTTAGAATAAATGGGTAGGCAATCAGAGCAAGAGCAGCGATCGAAACATAGCTGTCGCATTGCTGGATGTAAATACAAAAGAGCACCACCTCAAGTACATCGGAGTTCCTGGCAGAACATTAACGCCTAACGGCATCCTTGTACCGACCACACTGTTTGACAAACAAATTACCTCGGGGAAGTGCAAAAGCAGAACCATGACAGTAACAACAATGACTGCTCGTTATTAAACAGCACACTAAATAAACAGATTGAAAGGGAACAGGATCATCATTTCAATTGGCAACGGCTTTAACTAACAGTCACTTTTGTTATCGATTAAGAAGCAGTTTATTTTTAAAACAAAACGATATATAACAGATGAGTAGAAAATGGATCAATGAATCAATTACATATATAAGAAATGTAAGCACTCCTTTGAGGATTCCTTATAAGATTTTGAATTGTGATCCAATATAAAAACACTTCCTTCTTGCTTCAGCCATCTGGTCCAACAAAACACACCCAGTAGCCCAACAAACCCAGCCGCACGGCACATCAAAGGCTGCCCGACTTTTGGAACTGCCACTGCGCGCACACCCACGCACACACAAACCCAGCGAGACACGGTGAAGGTGGAGCTGTGCAGGATCCTGGTCACCTGTTGGAAAGATCTGAGCCCCGGGGTTCAACTCATCCATCCAAACAGGAACACTGTGCAGTTTGGGAGATGGATCTGAAACTGTACAAATCCATCAACAGCTCAGTGGGTACTTCCTAAATATAGGAGCAGGAACGGAGACACTGGTGAAAGTCAAACCAAATCTTGTGTAAACAAAAGTGCCTGCTTTATCTCAGGGCCACCGATTCGCCTTCCAGGCCCGCATCAAGTCGTGGTTTTGAAAAGTGTTGTATAAAAATGTGAAATACATTGCAATGCCCTTTTGTATCTGCTCAACGTCTATGTGGACGGTTACATTCAGCCTGCTTAGAATAGACTCAGCTCCCTGTAGCTACAGTGGGAACTCAAGGATTCGGTCAGGTCTGTCCCAAGTGGAGCTTCCAGCTGCGCTTCTCA